CGACAGAATAAGTTTCTTTTTCTTCTGGCTTTTCTTCTTCAATTTCTTGACCATAGCTAAAGAGTTGCTGAAGTGGCGGGAGATCTCTTCAGGCGTCCCTCGATGAGGCGGCGCGTGTTGTTCCTGCTGTACGCGAATCCGTCGAGGCAGGTGTACTGATTCGTCATGGCGCCGCTGAGGAGCGTCTGCAGATCGTCGTAGTACTTCTCCGGCGGGCTCCCCGACGATAGATCGGAGAGAGTCTTCTTCAGCTCGGCGACGGTGTCGGCGAAGAGCTCGAGGCAGTCGTCGAGTGCGATCAAATCTCGAGGGTCGAGCTTCTTCAGTAGCTTGCGGCGGAGTCCGCTGCAGTTGGTGGCGGAGTCTCTCACCTCCTTCATGGTGACGTTGATGGTGCCGGCGATGATCTCCGGCAGCGTTTTTTGCCGGAGTTCCGGGAAGGCGGCGACGGTGGAGACGCAGAGTCCCGGGTACAATGTGCCGTCGCATGTCGATTCGGCGATGACCTGGGCGTGTTTGTAGACATGGAGTTTTTTTGGGGTTTTAGTGGAATTTTCTAAAAATGTGGGGTGGAAATTGAAAGAAAAGAGTGTTAGTGTAAGTAGAAGAAGAAGAGCTAAGAGAGGAAGAAGAGTGAGCAGAGACTTAGACATATTTGGACAAGTGAAATGTGGTGGTGGACAAAATTTAGTGAGGATATATTTATATTGTGGATTTTTTGTTCAAGTTGTTTTTTTTTTATACTTTTATTAATTAAATTAGATTTTCTTTTAGATCTGAGAAAAAAATACAGCTATGGAGCAGGACCCCTTTAATATTTATGATTATGACTTGCTATATTATCCAATATTTATTGATTTCAGATCTGCATTTATATTCTTAAATAAATAAAATAAATATTACCCTGTTTTAAATGTCTTACACTCTTTAGTCTTTACTTACCGTTGCAATATTTTCAGAACACGTTATAATACCCAGAATACCACTGGGGAATAAAGTCTTTTAGTAATGAACGAAGATGCAGTCGAACAATATAAATTTAAATAAATAAATTTGTTATAATTTACAAAATTAGTTGAATGTTGTTTCCATCAAATAATTTTAAAACTTAAGGGTATTTAAATTTTTATTATGTGATTAAGATCCAAAAGTCAAACAAATCTTGCTGAAAGTTATGATAGTTGCATTGAATTTTGCATGGTAGGGAGCTACTGCTTAGTTTATAAATCTAGACTGAAGAAGAATATAGTATTAATTAATTGAGTTTCAGATTTGATAATGTTAAATAATAAAATATTGAAATTAGCAATTAGTCAGAGGTTAACGTTGCAAAATTGTAGTAGTTCACACCATTTTTTGCAGACATTGCAACCTCGAATATTGATCCATAATAACTGCCTTACAAATATAGTAGTAAGAGATTAATGCAATGAACAAAGTGCTGGAGCCACGAGTTACCTTAAAAATATAAAACAACAATAAAAAGGAAATTAATACGATGAATTCAAATATATTTTTATTATTTTAATATGAGTTTTATATGTCCGATGAAAAAACCATACTAAAAATAAATCTTCAAATTTTGCAATTTGTCAGAACGTTATATAAACTTCAAACGAGTGTATTATTTTTTGAACACACAAAAACCTCGAGTGGCCATTAATATTATTTTTTCTAAAAAATATTTGATATATAATTCTTAAACAATAATCACTGCAATTAACAAGTTCTAAAAAATCAAGATTGTCCGATTGTTCGGCATAAATATCGCTTAACGCATGGGTGATGAACTCATATACATAAATAAATTGAAACCAATCAAATTTATAAATACCTAAAAATTAAATTGTTGACTAAAAAGACTAAGAATACTGGAAGTACTACTGCAAAATATATTTTCAAAAAACATTATCAATGAATAATCAATTGTAATATTGATTGATTAAATATATATTCTAATTCATTAATTTCTTTAAAAAAAATCCGATAATTTAATATTATTTAATTTACAATTTTATCCCTTAATGGGCCTAAACGACCTTTGTAGCGAGTTCTAAAACAATTTTGGTTTATGTGTATTGTATTGGGCCACATTTGTTCTGGGCCATTTTGTTCTAATTTTTATTTATTAATTAATGTACCAATAATTAAATAATTATTAAAAAATTTGACCGGATGCTAGAAAGTTTATTTATTTATTTTTTTTTAATTAAAATACTCTCACTAACAAATAACAAACGTTAAAGAGTTTATAAGAAGAGTCGGTGGTTTCTGTTTAGTACAATTAACGACAAAATTTAGAGTCAAGCAAACATCGCCAGCCTGTACATATATAGTGCAATATTTACAATGCATATTATGTGACGTGGCCAAACGTTAAACTACGCTTAATAATATGTATCGTAAGCGTGTTGGAAATTCAAACCCGGACCCGTTTTCTAAATCTGGTTCGGACTTTGACTTTTCTTCTAGCCAAAAATATTAAACCCGACTTCATTTGATAATAATCCATATTAATTTCATCTCAGATCCATCAGTATAAGCGCGTCCCGTATAAATTTGTTTTTTTTTTATTTTTTTTTAATAATATTAATTAATTTACAAGTCCACAGAACCTTAAAAAGTGATTAATCATTAATCTAATTAATTAGAGTCCTAGCTGGCTAAATCTTATTTAAAAACTCACATGCTACGACATTGACTTTGTTTCTTATTTGATAGTAAATTGGTAGGCCATGCATGCATTGACTTAGCCAAAGTCTTTCTATCTCATAAATATTGGTACTGTAGAGTTGCTAAAAGTTTGACTAGGATTTTACATTATTCTGTACCTAGCCCCTCAGTAGCCTCAACAACCTCTATTCTCTACTATTATTATTATTATTATTATTTTCAATTTTCATCATCAATTAAGTGCATTATATATTAAATATTAATTAAATCATTCATAAAAAAATATATATATTAAATTATTAATAAATCAAGATCCAAGTAAAATTTTTCCACAATAATTTTAATTTTAAAGTAAAAATTGGGATGAATTGTCTCCAAGCTGGCCTAATTAATCATCGATCTATGTTCGATTTCTCTTGCCAATATTTTTTTTGGTCCGAGTTTGTAGAGAAAAAAAATTAGGATGAATATTTTGCATGCATCAAATGTCAACGAAATTTGGCGATAAATAGTCCCAAGGCAATATTATAATTAGTGTTTAATTTGTTGCATATATATATGAATAATTTTAGATTGCCTACTAAGCAGAATCCTAATCCATGTACCAAACCTAAGCTAAGTAACTAACTAATTCAATCTTCAATAATTCGTGTGTAATTTATAACCCTTTTAATTAGTTCATCTATTTACACAATGAAGTTATTTCTTGAATTTAATAGTGTTATGGATATTCACAGAAAAAGTTATTAATTTCACCTTACGCACATCCGACGTGTATGTTGAATGATCTTGTGCAAAATTATGATGAAACAGTATTAAATAGTACAGTAGAATCTCGATAAATTTATAACTTCACTTAAATAGTAATGTTTTTCAATCCCGACTCGATAATGACGTACTAAATTATTTATTCGCTAAATTAATTGTATTTTTCGTAATCCCGATAATATTAATTTATAAAGGTTTAACTGTATATTTTATCTTGTGTGGCATAAGGTTAACTTGAAAAATGGAAACAAAATTATAAATTTGATAAAAACTCGTTGGTCATTCTAATTTCATAGTATCACTAAATTCCATGATTACCTAAAAATACAGTCAAGGGGTTGACGATAATATATATGTATATGCCACAAGAAGGCAAAAACCCTGGAATAATTATTGTATTGTCCAAATTCAGAAGAAATAACATGCAAAAAAGACATATAAATTAAATAACGTAATGTAAAACAAAGACAAACAAGTTGCTCCCTTTGTCCAAAAAAACCAAAGAATACATTAGAAAATCGTTCACAGATCTTACGCGCTTTCAGTACAGTATGAATATTGAAGCTAACTGATTAAGTTGACTCTCCTCCATAATAATATTACTTTATACCAAATTCATTAAACAAATATAATAAAATAAAAACATTTCACGGATTATTATGCAGTAACAACTCATTGCATGCAACCTCACTTCAATCTATATATACAACACATACAATTCACAAATTATTATAAATAAATAAAATCCATTGCAAAAAAAAAAAAAAAAAAATGGCCCAAATTCTGCTAAAATCTCTCTCAATCTTATTTCTGATTCCATTTTTCATATCACAATCTTGTTCACAAACTCCACCAGCACAAAATGTACCACCTTCAACCATATGCAAATCCACTCCCTATCCATCTTTCTGCAACACTGTTCTCCCCACCAACAACACCACTTCGAACGTCTACGATTTCGGCCGTTTCTCCGTCCGAAAATCTATTTCCACCGCCCGGAAATTCCTCGCACTCATCCAGAAAAACCTCAAGAAATCCAAAAGTCTAACCACCACCGCAGTTAGAGCACTCGAAGACTGCAGGTACTTGGCCGAATGCAACGTGGACAACCTCGTAACTTCTTTCCAAACGGTGGACAAAACTTCCAAAACTCTCTCTTTCTTACAAGCCGACGACATACAAACTTCCCTCAGTGCGGTACTTACGAATACACAAACGTGTATCGACGGCCTCCGGGATACGGCTTCCGCCTGGAGCATCAGAAACGGCATCTTGGCGCCTCTCTCTAACGACACGCGCCTTTATAGTGTCTCGTTGGCTTTGTTCACCAAAGGTTGGGTGCCTAAGGGGAAAAAAATCAGGCAATCTTCTAACACCCACAATGGGCACACAAACCCGGGCAGTCTTTTGCGAAACGGGCATTTGAACTTGAAAATGTCGGCCCGGAATCAGGAAATTTATCGAACTGCCAGCAACAGCCACAACAACAACAACAATAACAATAATAACAGAAAGCTGCTTCAGGTAGATGGTAGTGATAATAATAATCAGGTTCTTGTGAGTGATATTGTGATTGTTAGTCAAGATGGGAGTTGGAATTATACTTCGATAAACGATGCGGTGGCTGCTGCTCCGAATAACACCGACGGCTCTAACGGATACTATCTCGTATACGTCACTGCTGGCGTGTACGAAGAGTACGTATCTGTTCCCAAGAACAAGAAGTATTTGATGATGGTTGGCGACGGAATAAACCAAACAATTATCACCGGAAATCGCAACGTTGTCGATGGATGGTCTACGTTCAACTGTTCAACATTTAGTAAGCACTTTTTTTTTTTTTTTTCCCAAATGGAATCTATATATTCTTTCGAAGGTGTTAAATGTCAGTTTTTCAATTTATTTTTATTTTTTTGGCAGCTGTGGTAGGAACGGGATTCGTTGGTGTCGGAATGACGATCCGTAACACAGCCGGAGCAATCAAGCACCAAGCAGTAGCCGTACGAAACGGGGCGGATTTATCAACATTTTACAGCTGCAGCTTCGAAGCGTACCAAGACACACTCTACGTTCACTCCCTCAGGCAATTTTACGTGGAGTGCGATATCTACGGCACAGTAGATTTCATCTTCGGAAACGCGGCAGCTGTTTTACAGAACTGTAACCTCTATCCACGTCAGCCAATGGCCAATCAGTTCAACGCAATAACCGCGCAGGGAAGAACCGACCCGAATCAAAACACGGGACTGTCGATCCAGAATTGCACTATTCGGCCCGCAGACGATTTGGCTAACAGTAGTTATACCGTCAAGACGTATTTAGGCAGGCCCTGGAAAGAGTATTCCCGGACAGTTTACATGCAGTCGTTTATGGATAGTTTTATCACTCCGGTGGGATGGAGTATTTGGTCCGGAGATTTTGCTTTGAACACTTCGTATTACGCCGAGTTCGGAAATAGTGGGCCCGGCTCGAATACTAGTCGGAGAGTGACGTGGCCCGGGTTTCATGTTATCAATACTACTGATGCTGTTAATTTCACTGTCTCTGCTTTCTTGATTGGAGATGATTGGATACCCCAAACTGGTGCCCCTTACACATCAGGCCTAATCTGATTAATGATTATATATATTTTTATTTTATTTAATGTTAACAAGATTCTTGTAATTGTTTATTCACATAATTATAATAAGAAATATATATTAGTTTCCACCTTCCCAACACAAACTGCAATGTCAACTTTGAATTTGATAATCAAATTATTCCAGTGATGTCAGTTGAATAATTTATTTTAATTTTAAAATTAATATTATCATTTATTGTTGGAGATATCGAAATTTAATGATTCACCTCACTAACAACATAACAAAACGAACAAAAATATAACTCGACCTCGTTTAGTTTGCTAAGAAAAATATTAATCAAAATTAGATTATATAACCTTGTGATAATATCATACATCACTAGTGCACTACTATCATACCATAAAGTATGAAATGATACAAAACTGACAAATCAGTTACTTTAGTCCAACAGGACAACTAATACATATATTAAAAAAAACATCATAGAAAGTGTATATGTAACATGTTGATCAACAACAGAGTGTATGTACCTTAATTAGATTTAAGAATGTTCATAGCAGCAGACAGCATTTTCTTGAGGAAGAGGTTGAATTCTGTCAAATTCTTGGCCAACTGAACATCTTCCCCTGTTTTATTCTCGGCTTTCTCCTCCGAATTGTGGGCTTTGAGCTGCGCATCACACTGATTAATATCAGTGATTGCAGCATCAATGAATTGTTCGGCATCAGAATAAGCCTTTGCTAGAATGGCGTTTATTGCGTCCTCGATTAAGTCATCGAGTGGATTGTATTGATCCATGCAATCGCTTAAAGCCGATTGAAGCAGTGGGGCCAGGTCCGGAACTGCGAGGAATTTCTTGATGTCTGTAGTAATGTTAACTGCGTGATCTTCTACAAACCTGCATAAAATGGGGGAAGCAAATTACATATTAAAAATATTGAATCTTGAATTTTTTTTTTCATTTTTTTGGTTTATATAAATTTCTACACATCCATAAGTTGCTAAAATAAGTATGTATCTAAATTTACATAAGATAAGAGAATTGAGAAGAACATAAAATTTGGGGGGAAAAACACACATTTACAAAATATAATGTCAAAAAGTAATTAAAAAAAATATTATTTTTTCTTAGAGGGGCGGCTGCCCCCTGCCCCTTCATTGCTACGCCACTGATCAGAACAATCAAAATCAGCCCCAATTGTTCATAAAATTAGGGATTTAAAATAAAATTATAATAATTGAAGATATTGTACCTTAGGGCGAAGAAAGCTAGGGCATCGCCATCAGCCCTCTGGTGCGGCGGCGCCGATTGCAGGGTGGATACGCATTCCGGCTCGAATTCAGCGGTTCCCGCACACGCAGCTTTAACGAGGGGATCACCGGAAAGCTTGGATATTTTCTGAATACGGTGGAGCTGGAGGTGTAGGCTGGGGCGGGCGGCGGTGGTCGGGGCGGCGATGAAACTGAGGCCAAGGAGGAGTGCCGATAGGAAAAACAACTTGCAAGACATGGCGGAATTCTTCATTTTTGTTCCTTTCTCCTCCTCTTTTAGAGCTGTATATATGTAATTTGGTTACTGCTATTCGACGACGATTATGAGAAATCAGGGCGAGATAAAGAAGAAGAAGAAGAAAAAGGCATTGTCCTGCATGGGGGCTTGAAATTGAATGGCTGAAAATCAAATGATTGTCCATGGAAACAGGGTTACCCATCAGATGGCCGACATTTCTGAGCAGCCGATGGAATCATAAGGGCGTGTTTGTTCAACAAATAAATATATATACGCTGCAAAATAATTGATAATACTATAAATAGAAAATTTACAGTTTTCATCTTTCCTATTTTCTTACATTCAATATTTGATCCCCCAATGTTCATAACAAATACATTTAGACCCTTATATTTCAATAATTTGACATTTTTAGTCATTTTCATCAATTTATCGTTAGTCCGTCAGTTAAGGTAGTGATGGAAACACGTTTAATTCCGTTAGTTTTAACAGAAAATTGATGGGAATGGCTAAAAATATTGAATTTTTGAAATATGAGAGACCAAATGTTGAATTGGAGAACATTTGAGGGGTGAAAACTGTATTTTTCCCAATAATAAATATATGAGAATTACTGAAAAATGGGCTTTTTGGGCCTTAAACATTGGCTAACGGTCCAATTTAAGAAGCCCAAATTATACAAAGGTTTTACTACTGACAATCTAAGCCCACATTTTAAATGCTGAACAGCCTCTTTAACACTCGAACGGTTGAGTTGGGTCCGGATTCAATATCCGGGCCAATATTCGGATCCAAATTCGAAACACCTTCAATTTTGGTCGGATCTTGCCCCGTTTGACCTGGCAGTTGACCTGTAACATCCAACGTCGGCGAAGAAGATGAACAGACCGTATGAAGAATCCCATCGTTTTCGCACGTGTGGTGTAATTCAGTATTCGACCCGGAACTACCCGCATCCTCCAACACGTAGATGGATAGGATTATTTGATCCGGATTTTGAATGGGCTGGATCGGGTTTCGGGCGCCGGGTTGGAACTTAACCTGGGCTCTGCAGAGTGGGCAGTCGCGGTGACACTGAAGCCACATGTCTATACAGTCAACGTGGAAACAGTGCTTGCAGTCGGGCAGAACCCGACCCGTTTCGTCGTCTTCAAACTCCGACAGGCACACGGCGCATTCCAGCGGGGACTCTTGGCCGCCTTTGGATTCGTATATGAAAGTTGGGAGTGAATTCATGACGCGGAGATCGAGACCCTGAGAGAAGATCATGCCAGTCGAGGTGGCGTTGACGCGGCGGTGGTTGACAGGGCGGCGGCGAAACCAACGCGCGTACACGTGAAACGAGACTACGATAAAACATGCGAGGAATAATATCGCGATAGATGATATCATGATTTTACCGTTGGAAACATAACCGTTTGAATCTTGATTTTCTTCATCCATTTCTTACACAATAGTACATCAAAGAGTTGAATTCTATTTTGACAGGATTGTTTATGAGAGTTTTCTGATGACATATATATATATAAGCTATATACATACCTTTCACAAGTTGACACGGAAATTCTGAAAAAAAAAAAATTTAATTTATGACATCTAATGATCTATTTGAATATTATTTGATATAAAATTATAAAATATTGCAATTGACCTAGAATGTAGGAAGTGATTATATGAGGATATGTTTAACTGGCCAGTAATATAGACTTATTATTTACAAAATTCGATCACGATTAATTTAGTAATTAATTAGAAATGGCGAGGATTATGTGCTTAAATTAAGCATTTGCAATGTTAATCATATTGATTTAGCCTGTAATAAAGTTGAATAAAATTAGATGAATAAATTACTCAAAAAAAATTAGATGAATAAATAAATGGAAATTAATCTTTAATTTGATCCAAACCTCTCTCTCATTTGTTTATTGGTTTTCAAGATTGAGTGGAATAAAGAAAAAGGGCAAAGAATTAAGAAAATATCCAGCAAACTATGTGCGATCCTATCGGTTTTGGTGGAAAATATAGTCAAGTTTTTTTTATTGATGTGAGATATATTATTTTATTTAGTGGTATATTGCATCGAATATTTCTTTAATGTATTTTTAATGTGTACAAATGTATTAAAAATAAATATTGTAATTAATGCACTGAATAATAAAGAGTAAAGGTAGAGCCTAGAGTTTGCTCCCATGCATTCATCAAGTTGGATAATAATTATTCCCCTTAATCCTTCTCAACCATAAAGTTTAGCATGGACCATACTCCCCATGCATTAAAATTCTTAGACTATATTCTTATTGGGTGAAATGAGTTTACTACCCTAGCTTCTTCTATATTTCACCAACCGGTCAATTTCGAAACTAAAGATTCAGTTGTAACCATCAGTCGGACCTATCCACAAGACCGGGTCGATAATGACCTTTTGAACGAAATTGGTTTTATCAAATAAGTCGACTTTTATCATACCAGTAATCGATCGATCCAACCCAATCTTAGTCTTAGAATTTAGGAAGTGTTGACTGAAATGGCTGCTTTTTGAAGCAAAGTCAAAGCTTCTCGCTTGAGATCAATTATACGGCAATAAGTTCAATCACTTTGACGGTGATGAGCTGTCCCTCTTTGCTCCATAGAATTTTGAATTTTAAATTTTAATTTGACTTCAAAATATATCCACAGTATCATCAATCACTAAAACGGAGTTAACAAAGTTTACTCCAGAAATTAAATTTTGTTAACAGAGAAATTAAATTTTGTTACTTAATATTTATGTACTTATATAAGTAGCTGATTAATTTCATTTCACAAAGGGATAAAAAGCTGAAGCCAGAAATTAAAAGTGAGGAAAAAATGGAGAAAATCAAACACAGTAACATGAGCGTCAACGGCATAAACATGCACGTAGCTGAAATAGGCGACGGCCCCGCCGTACTATTCCTCCACGGCTTCCCGGAGCTATGGTACACGTGGCGCCACCAGATGCTCTACCTCTCCGCCAGAGGCTACCGCGCTATCGCCCCCGACCTACGCGGCTACGGCGACACCGACGCGCCGCCCTCCCCCGCCGATTACACCGCCTTCCACCTCGTCGGCGACCTGGTGGCACTGCTGGACGCTCTCGGCCTCGAGCAGGTTTTCCTGGTGGCCCACGACTGGGGCGCCATTGTCGCGTGGTGGTTCTGCCTCTTCCGCCCTGAACGGATTAAGGGTTTGGTGAATATGAGCGTTCAATTTCACCCCAGGCACCCAGAAATTAAACCTATTGAAATGTACAAAAATCTCTTAGGTGATGATTTCTACATGTGCAGATTTCAGGTACCATGTAATTTTCAATTTGTTTTTTTAGGGTTTTTGATTTTGGGGGAAAAATTGATATATGTTGATGCTGTTATGAATATGATACACAGAAAGCAGGGGAGGCTGAGAAAGCATTTGAATCAGTTGAAGCAAGTCAAGTGATAAAGTCGCTATTCTCATTCCGCGGTGGAAAACCGATAATCGTGCCTCGAGAAATCGGGCTTGAAGCACTTTTCCAAGCTCCAGCTGAATCGCCGCCATGGCTGACGGAGGAAGATCTCGATTACTTCGCCGGAAAATTCAAAAAAACAGGATATACCGGCGGACTCAACTACTATCGAGCAATGGACCTGTAAAACCTCCTTTAATTTCTTGCATAATTGCTTATTTGTTTTCCGGGAAAATGCGATTTATTTTTTTATATTGTTTGATAAAATTGGATTGAATTTGCAGGACATGGGAGCTGGCGGCGCCATGGGTAGGAGCTCAGGTGAAGGTGCCGGTGAAGTTCATAATTGGTGAACAAGATATAACGTACTACGTTCCAGGGATAAAAGAGTACATACACGACGGGGGATTCAAGAAAGATGTGCCGAATTTAGAACAAGTGGTAGTGATGGAAGGTGTGGCTCATTTTATCAACCAAGAGAAGCCTGAAGAAGTTAGCCAACATATCTATGAATTCATCACAAACTTCTGATCCATTTGTTATAAAATCACTTGTCTTCTTCCTCGTTTGTTTTCTACCTATAATAATTGGACAAGCTTGTTTTTTCTTTTTAATGTTTTCACTTTTCTATCCCTCATTTCTCTTTGTAATGAAATTAACCGGTTTTGGTTTTCTTTTGAATTAAGTTAAAGTGACGTCGTTTATACTATAAAAACGTCTTTGCTCTTTCGATTTATTTTAGCGTCTTTTGCTTAAAGAAGACTGCATATCAGCAATCACATGCAAAATGAAATATATAAAAAAATATTTTTTTTTTGAAAAGGAAACCGAAAATTAAATTAAAATTGAAAGAAAAAAGAAAGGACAACTTAGGTATTTTACAACCAATGGGTTTAAAATTTGAATTTATCACGATAGGGAAATTCATTGGGGTTTTTTCCCTCCCTAATATTTAATTTGCTTATGATCTCTGTCAAATTAGTAGATAAACAAAATAAAACTTTATAAATACATACATAATACCTGTGGCAGACCTGTTGATTTTGATATGCAATTTGGCAATTCATGTAAGTATATATAAATGCATCTCCTAAATTTGATACAAAAAACCAGTTCCCAGCAAAAGATAATTGAGCAATAGATAAACTGACCTCACCACATCTTGTACAGGTTAGGAACTTTTTACCTGGGAAAATCAGAATCAGACGAAAACTTATGGATGAAATCATAAATATGTTGACTGGTTTCCTCAGGCTTTTCTTGGTTAATAAAGTGAGCCACTCCTTCCATAATCACTAATTCTTGCAAAAACGGAACTTGTCGTTTGAAGCCACCACCGTGTATATATTCCTTAACACCAGGTGTATTATAAGTAAGGTCAAGATCCCCTACAATAAACTTCACCGGTACTTTTATCTGCACACTACTCCACGGTGCTGTGAGCTCCCAATTTCTACATCAATAGCAAAATTAATTACATTTAAATCGAGTATTTCAAGAACCCTCTAATTTTTCTTTTTTTTACTTACAGGTCCATAGCTCGATAATAGTTCAATCCACCGGTGAAGCCTTTGAGGCTGAATTTGCTTGCGTAGTATTGAACGTCTTCTTCCGATAACCAAGAGGGCATTGTGATTGGTTTGTGAGGCGACCCTCCAAATCCTACTTCTTTAGGAACTATGAGAGGAGCTGGATTTCTCGATGTTAAGAATTTCTTGATCAATCTTGCTGTGTCAACACGAGCAAATTCCGACTCAGCTTCTCCAGGTTCCTACATAACAAACCAATCACTCGTCCAATTGAGGAAAATAATTAAATAAGACCTCGTTTGGTTACTGAGATAAGATTAGCCAATATAAGATTAAATAATCAATAAAAAAACATGCCTACAAGGCAAGATAAGGCATGATAACGTAATATTTGCGAGTTGACCGAACAACTTATTGGGGATACGAAACATCAAACAAAGTCCCATTAATTAGTTAATCATGGCTAATCTCCCCGACCAAACGAGGCCTAAATATATATAACTCAAATACCACATAACAAAGAAGGAGGTGCATTTGCAAGGATGAAACCTTCATTACTGCTAAACAGAAGTAATTCGATAACCTAAAAGGATTGCATTACACATTCAATACAACTTCTACACAAATTAGGGTAAATGATGATCCAAAATCAATATACAGAAATTGAAATCTGATTGAACGGAAAATCGGTATACAGAACCTGAAATCTGCAGATGTAATAATCGTTGCCGAGAATTGCACGCATAGATTCGACGGGCTTCCTCTTCGGATTCCTCGGATGAAACACAACGCTCAAATTAACCAAAGCTTTAATCCTATCGGGCCGCAACAAGCACAAGTACCAAGCCATAACAGCTCCCCAATCGTGGCCAACCAAATAAACCCGGTCCAGTCCCAAAGCGTCCAACAAACCGACCAAATCGCCGATGATGTGGAAAGCGGTGTAGCTGGAGGCGGACGGCGGCGCGTCGGAGTCGCCGTAGCCGCGGAGGTCAGGGGCGATAGCGCGGTAGCCCCTGGAGGAAAGGAACAGCATCTGGTGGCGCCATGAGTACCAAAGCTCCGGGAAACCGTGGAGGAATAATACGGCGGGGCCACGGCCGATCTCCGCCACGTGGATGTTTATGCCGTTCGATCGGATATTTTTGTGTTGGATTTTATCCATGGTTCGATTGGCCGGTGTCTTTCGAGAGATGTGCCCAATATTATGTCAAGTTTCTAAAAGTAATCGACTGTGTTCTTCATTTTTCTTTTTTTCTTTTTTTTTTGAAATTAAAAAAAAAAAATAATATAAAACAATTTAAATTAAATTAATGTGATTCATATAGTGCAATTTTAATGGATCATCGTTATGGGCTTTATAGCCTGTCCAACTCGTGGCAATATTTGATCGAGACTAATTAGTGATTTTGTTCAAAGCCCAATTAGTGTGGGCCAAACATTAAAAACCTCCAAAATCGATAATTAAATTAAATTATAATTAGGATTTTAATTTTGAAAATAATAGAAAAGGTATTACATGCACGACAATTATTTAATTATTTATTGAATATTTAAATTGAAAATATCTTTCAATCATCTACATCATAAAAAAGATTTTTTTTTCTCAAAAAAAGAAAAAGAAAAAGAAAAAGAAAAAGAAAAGATTAAACGGAGATAAATACAAAAATAATAGCATAATTCATAAATAATTTGATCAGCCACTCTGGCAGCTGAGTCACCACGTCGGAGTTTGTACCCATAATTGCCTGGTAGTTCTCCTACACAACTCAATTCCGATTTCTCCTCCGTCAACAAATTCCACCCAAAAAACCTGAATTTAGTTCCGTTCAATCTCTACTTTTTTGGGGGGGAAATTGCGTGAAATTCATCGAATTTTCTTTCTGTTATAATCCGGCGAATCAATTGGGAATCGGAAAAGAGGCAGAATGGTATCGAATTGCGAAACCACCACCGCTTTAATCATCTGTCTGTTCGTACTCTCCGCCGCCGGTGGCGGATCCGCCGTTCTCACGGCGTACGATGTAATCCAATCATTCGATTTTCCCGTCGGCATCCTCCCAATAGGCGTAACACACTACGATCTCGACCCGTCTTCCGGCAAATTCAACGCCTACCTAAGCGGTTCGTGCAGTTTCTCCCTGGAAGGATCGTATCAGCTGAGGTACAAGTCCCAAATCAGTGGTTCCATCTACAAAGATAAGTTGACTAATTTAACCGGAGTTAGCGTCAAAATCCTTTTTCTATGGTTGAATATTGTGGAAGTTAGGAGAAAAGGGGATAACCTTGAATTCTCTGTCGGAATTGCATCTGCCGAATTTGGGATTGATAATTTTCTTATCTGTCCGCAATGTGGGTGTGGGTTGGATTGCAAGACTTTGGGCGATGATCTGGAAAGGGGAAATCATGGAAGTAATCCTTCTATTTCTTCGATTTAGCTGAGGTAAACTTCGTCCGCTTGTCCTGTCGAATGTTCGGTTCGATTCTGTTGTCTGTTTTCCTTTATGAGTTGTATATGTGTTGTTGTACTCTCAACAATGTGTATTCTTTCTTAATTGTTATTTGACATTTTATTGCTTTATCTTCTCTTTATGGGGCTTTCATTACATGATTAATTGTCTCAACATGTGGTTTGGCTGGCTCGTAGGGATGCAAGTTCGAAGATATTGTGATTTATGATCGACTCTGACTGATAGCTAATTTATGTCGAGGTCTAAGAGTAAAGATTTCATTTTTTGGTTGTTTTGTTATGTGTTCGGCACAAGTTAAAGGTATAATGAATTTAAGTAAGTTCCGAGGGTCGACTGGATTGAAGGATATTCAAGATTGTTGATTGTGAGTTAACTCGTAACCGGTGCTGACTGCTGGATTTCTGTTAAATTGCAAGAAATTGGAATAAGCAAGTTATATAGTGTGTGTTGGTTAATGGTAAGTTGATCAAATTCCAGAGTGTAAGATGAGGTCATAAAGTACTAACATGGGTCGCGGTAACTTCTTGAAATCAGCTATAAAAGAAATGACATCCCAGTAGTATAATACAGTTGAGCTCAAATTAGAAGACTTAAGTATTATTATTAAATGTGACTGTACAACACAGTCAATAACGGGCATGTTAGTAAACGAAGGCATTCTCCTAATAGGCAGGATATAAAAGTTGGTATTTCAGTGATTACAGAGTAGTTCATCTATGAAAGTGAACATTGGTAAAAATAAAACGAGAAGATAAACTCTTCGATATGAAAGTAAACATTTGTGAGTGCCTTTCTGTGGGAAATGAGAAGCTTGTCTTGTAGCTTCCCTCTCTCACTCCTAATTGCTTTCTCTCTCCTCCCTTGCAAAATAAGTTAAATTCAAATGCATACAGAGGGTTTTATGTTTTTGTGGATTATGGAGCCGTACTGTGTACCTATGGGTCCTTACACGTTAATTGTCGTAGGAAATTTATCTGCCGTTTTCACTCAGTTGCCATGATCCATCTCTCGTATGTTCTTGAGCAACAAAGTGGTTGTGATATTGGGACTTAGAATAATTTTATGTTGCTAGTGGAAATTAGTGAGCATCTATAGGTTCGGAATGTTTCCTATGATTCTGCATAAGCTATTGCAGGATTCTGTTTTAACTTGTTAATATCCATTCTAGTTTTTTTATTCATACCCATTATCGATCATACACTCTTGTTCTCTATCTTCATCTTCACTGCAGATTGTACGAGAAAAGTTATCGACTGTATCTTGAATTTTCAATAGGTCATCCTGCAGTGAACAGTGAGAAGAGCTGAAGATCGTAATTCTCAAACGAGCAATTAAAACAATCACAATCCGTCTAATCCAATTTGCACGCAACAGTATTGGATGGACTCGATCGCGTTTCCTCTAACCGAAATTCGTTGCTTTAATTCTTGTTTAGTGTGATAAAATAATGTACGGCTTTACTGTAATACTCTTTAGTCTTTTCTTGTAAAACAATATTTGTAAGTCTAAATCTCAAGCAACCCCTTCTTGTATTTGACTCTTCTCCACACACAAAAGTCGAGAAATCGAAGTGATCATTTGACTTGGTCACAAGAAATGGCCTTTTATCTTCCTGAAGTGATTATTTGACTTTAGCAATAAGTGCTTAATAATACTCTAGATGAAACTTAGACGCTAATTTAAGAAAATCGTCACAGTTTTAATTTCTCTATTTCGGCCGATTATATATGTGTACAGTGTAAACTTACGCCATCTTGCAATAGTTTACAAATTGTACGAGAAATGTAAATTACAATAGACATAAATTATGTGTAACAGATAGGATCAAATGTATGCAGAAAATCATAGGATGCACTTTCGTAATGAATAATTGAAATGCATTGAATATTTGGACCTAATTAAATCCTTACATAGCAAATTGGGGCAGGGGCCAACTTGTGCATTATTACCTTAGTTGCCACATGGATGAATCTACATATACTATTATAGTTGCCACGCAAAATTCGATGAATCTAAGCCTTAAACGCCGGCCGACTTCATATTCTTGTCGTTTTCAAATACCAAAATATGGAAATAACCTAGCTAAACATCCAGCTCGATTCTCCACTTGGGTGTCATCATCATGATTTAGTCTAAATTTGTTTGAAAGTGAGATATTCTTCAATTATAACAAGCCCAAATTAAGGCCAACAACTCACTTATGTGATGTCAAATTACGAAAATACTCATATATTTGGACTTCGTAAGTGTGGACGTATAAGAAAATACATAGTTGAGGAATGACAGTTGTAATTAGCTGAAATGAATGAATTTTTTTTCTGTAATTTGACATTGGCCGTAATATGCCCTAACAATAAAATATCAAGCAAATGAATATTTTTAAGAGAATAATAAATAGTAGTGATAATGAATTATAATACGAAAATAAAACATATCGGGTGAATATAGATAAGATTAATTAGTAGGAGATTGTCTCTTCATTACAACTAAGAGTTTGATTCATTTCTCCAATTTCTTTACACAGGCGGGCCAGGATTCATAATTAGGCTCCAATCAATTTTTCTTTATTAATATTTAAAATTATTCCATGCAAAATTAGAATCAGATACAAGGCCTACATTCCATTCATATATATATATATATAGACTCTACATTTATTTAATATAATATAAGTGGAATCACTTCATTCTACTTATTTGGTCCATTATTGCATGAAGTAGACAGCCCAGGAATAGTTTACATTCAGATATTATTTTAAGGTTTCTATGTTTTTACTCGATCACGTTAACCACCATCTTCTTTTACATATTGAATAATATAAAACTATATATTAAAATAGACAATAATAATAAAATTCAAAAATAATTTATTATTATTATATTAAGAAACGTAACAAATATCCTTCACCACACCAAGTCACACCACGGAACATATATAATAATAAAATAGGAGAAAGTAAAAAGCTATTAATAAGGGATATCTATTTATTCCCACAATATCTATTTTTAAATAACTGATTAATTAATTAAAAATATTCCTTGAGCTTTTGAACACACCTATTATTATGCTCTTAACAGAAAAAAAACCCGGTTCGGTCATGTCGTCAGATTTAGTTAGTTTCCAGTTCCACTGGTTTTGTTCTTGATGAGAATCTCCCTCAACTCAGCAGGATCCATTTCATTGCCCTGATTCTCGGGTCGGTAGTACCCGGTAACCGGGTCGGGTACCCATGCAGTTTTGGAGGAGGGCTCTTCGGATCCTTTCTTCAACATCACATTCGGAGCTCCACTTCTCACGGTTCCCGAAACAACACCTTGTGTTGACGCAGCAAATCCTCTCCTGTATTTGTTATACCCAAATCCAATCAAAATATATCCCAATAATTAAGAAATCAACTTCCTCTGTTTTACGCATTAACAATTATTAATTTAATTTTTCCTTATTAAAAATAAAAGGGGGAAAATTGGAAGCGGTGTGCATACCTGATTTCATTGGCGAGGAAAGAGGAAACGGACTTAGCGCCGGAGAAAGAGCGAGCCATTTTTTCTGTCTCGTTTTCTTAGTTGAGAATGGAGAGAGAGAGAGAGAGAGAGAGAAAAAAGTGATTAATCGCAGCTGCAAAAAAACTGAATCTGAGATTCTGCAGCGGCGAGATGAAGAAGATGAAGAAGGAGAGACTCTTTTTGTATGGGAGGGTGGTTACTTAGGGTTTTAGTTTTTGATGAATTAATGAGGCACAAAGGCGCCTTATTTATAGAAGAAAACGGAGACGTGTTGAAATAAAATTAATTAATTAAGGGAAGAAATATTATATAAATATCAATCGAAAATCAAATATTAAAATAAATAATAAAAAATAAAAGTAATTGGAGAGTTGATTAATTGGGCCGCGGTTGTTTTTTTCGTATGGTCATTGACACCTGGTCAGCAGTTTTAGATGGGCTTTTGTAGTTTAATAAGTAATATAATTTACGTATTTATTAAAAATATAAATTACATTAATTAATTAAAATCCATAAAATATCTAATAATTATATATATTATTAATCTATTATTGTAGTAAGTATATTTTAAAGGGGGGCAATTGATCCAACGGTGGATACGCGGAATCAAGTGGGGTTAGGGCAGACGTCAGGTAATTTCCGAGGATCAAGACTCGGCGAATGCAAGTGGCGAAAACCCCCAGTGATTGATTCCTTCCTGATGTTTTCTTTGTGGCCAATCATGTGGTCTGGTCGCCACGTGTTGCAAGAGGATTCGAGAACATTTAGGCGGCGGAGTTTTATTTGTTTGATTTTGCTTTTTCATCTATAAAGAAACTTCTCACCCTGACCCGGTCAAGCTTCGTGGCGCGGTTCAGTGAATCTCAGTCAACGGTGAAAGGTCACGCAATGTTGTTTCTCGGGTGGTGGCTTCTTTTTCTTCCTAAATAAACTTAAGACTTTTTCTCATTAATAATTAATAATTAATAATTGCCCTTTCCAATTATCATTATTTCTATCAATTCTTTGATCAAAAATATATTTTATTGTGATAATTCTTTAATATCTTAGATATTTGATATTATTTCCCCACTAAAAATATTGGAGAAATGCATGATTCACAATAAATAAATAAATCAAATGATTATTATGGCCAAAATTTAAAGCAAAGGTGGCAAACCCTTGAGAGAGAGAGAGAGAGAGAGAGAGAGAGAGAGAGAGAGAGAAATGGGTTATTATTAAAAAATTCATGCAGAAAAAGACAGAAGAAGGAATCTCCATTGTTGACCTCAGGTTAACCATGATTGGAGTATACCACAAATTAAGGCTAACTCAACTCTCCACGGCTACGAAGCAACATAATCATAACAATTATTCAATAAACAATTAATTTATTATACGATCTTATCAGCAACAAATATATTTTATACTGGATGATTGATTCTGATGATATTAATATATATTCGATGACTTTTACGTGTTTAAATTTATATACATATCGCTTTTGATTACAAACTTAAAGCTATGAAAATAGTTAAGCATGTCGTCATGGTGAAGGTGGTGGTGCTTTCATAGATGAAGATTCATCCTTGCCTTTTCTAATATTCTTTCGATGTTGCGATTTGATAAATTCATCCAAGCAAAATCGAAGTAATGACCGGATATTTTTTCGAAATAAATCGAATTATAACGAATTTTAATCGAGTAAAATATTAATCATGGCGCCAACTTACGACACTGTTCAGAGATTTGCAGCTTGGACCACTGTATACAGTGGTGCTCGACTCAATGAAATATGCATAAAGAATCTAGCTAATCGAACTTGATAATCAACTCATGGCAAATCAAGCAATAGGTTAAAGCTCGATTAAATTTTTAAATAATTTATACCTAGAATTCGACTCAATTCATTCACATCCACATAGACACACATATAATTAAAATAGTAGATAGAATGAAATATGAAATTGCAATAAATGTGGAATTGAAGATTTAAAGGTAGAGGGCAGAGAAAGGGTTTGATACTACTAGAGGCTCTTGAGAACCAAAAGACATTTTTTTAAGTGCTGTCCCCAATTTACATAATATTGTTTTCATTGCATCCTTATCTTCGTTTGTAATAATTCATAAACACCTATTTTTACATAGATCTTCATTTCATTTTCTGTGCTCTGTAAATCATCAATCATCGCACTCTTTGTTCACCTAATGATAGTTATTTCTATGTTTCAACCGGTGAACTTACAACATTTCAACTTTTACTGTCAATCTACGCTTCCCCGGGTTTAATTAGTTATAAGAACATAATGCTGTAATTAGTTATAAGAACATCATATATTAACTTATTAATTTGCTCCAAGTCAATGATTTCACAATGTCAATTTTCATATTCAGCCACCAACTCACGTAAACTAGTAACATTTCACCAACCGTAAGATCAACACAAAGACTACGAGACGTCAAGGAAAGATAACATACCACGTATAATAAATATCAAAACTCAGGACGAATAATAAAGTTTGTCCAATTTCTTGAAGAGCACATTAGTAAGGGGCACACACAAGATATGAGAAGAGAAATCAATCCCAAAATTTTCAAAACAACAGATTCGTAAAAAAGGCATGTCTAATCAGTACAAGTCTATCAAATAATATTCGAAAAGCACAAAATCGAGAAACAAACTTGACTGGTAACGCAAATAAATCAAACCCTGAAACCCCTGCTCTTTCGCCTACCTCTGGCCTTCTCAAACTTCCTGCCCTTAGAGCGCACATAGGGCTTGGTGTGGCTGTGAGGAACACCAGGTGCGGCACCAAAGTGCCTCACTGCTTCACGAGCCTTCCTTGAACCCCTCAGAATCACCTGTTGCAATAACATAATCAGCTACATTCATTTCTTTTCTATTTTAAATAATAGATATACAACATTGTTTTACAAACCAAGATTAAAGACTCAGACAGAACAGAGTAACATGCAGGAGAAGCTAGAAGATGCCATTTATACTCCTAGAAACCGTGTTACATAACACTCGGTTGGTTACCCACCAGCGTGTAATTAGTTCATTTCATGTTTGAGTTCCTATTGAATATTTAATCATAACATCCATTAACTATTGAATACATGTTTCTAGAACAATAAGTAGATACGACGTTGAATTCTGATTTTAATGTAAACACTGGTATTCCAAAGTAAGGTGTGGAACATCATAAAGTGAAATTACTACAATGAAAATTTGTAAACCAGCCAAATTACTATTAAGATAATCAACGAGATCAACTGAAAATCAGGAAACAGATAACACCAAAAAAGAAGTAGCGAAATCGGAAAATCTTACCGTGTTCTGTCCAAGTGGAGCCCTAAGAGCAAGCTGGTCAAAAGTCAAACATTCACCACCAGCCTTCTCGATTCGAGCTCTTGCGGTCTCGGTGAACCTCAGAGCAGCCACCTTCATGGCTGGGATTTCATGAACACGGATGTCGTCCGTGACACTACCAACAAGGACTGCAATTTGGTTCTCCTGCACACCATAAAAACAAAAACAGAAATCTGTAATATTCAAATTGATCTATCCAAGAAAAAAAAATAACAAGTCAAATTCCGACTATAACATCGCATTCTTTTAAAACTACACTAGCTAAGCAAGCAAAACTCTAAGCATTGCTGCCTTTAAACTTCAGCTCACTATTCAACAGCTACTGAATTAATTGTACAATTAAAATTCTAACTAATGTAGCTAAAGATTTGTTAATTATCCAGGTTTAAACATGCTTGTACATTTGATACTCAATTAACATACTAAATCTATCACTAAACAAAAAACCAAGAACATGAACTAAATCCCTAGAGAAACTATTAAAAACCACCAGCATGTTGTTGTTAGTTATTTTCTTTTGATAAATTGCTAAATGACACAAATTCGTAGTAACATTTCAGGGTGATTTTTTCATCAAAATGAAATAACTAAGTAGAATAAATAAATCTAGGGTTTAAATCAGTATAAAAAAATACCTTGCCCTTCATGAGAGCGCTGAGGCGAGAGAGAGAAAGAGGGGGCCTGTTAACCCGACTCATAGTCAGACGCTTACGAACAACTTCATTGAACTTGCTACCAGTCCTCCTCACCAGAAATGAGTACAACTGCACAAATACTCAGATCATTTCATTCAATATCTCATCGTTCGATTTAATCAGAGTAAAAGTTTAAAATAAAATGCATATATATGAGACCTTGACGAGCAGTTTGATGTAGATATCATCGGATTTGGGTTTAGTGCGCTTGGTCTTCTTGCTCTTGCCTCCGGCGACTAAATCAATACCCTGTAATTTCCAGTAATCAACAAATCAGCCTAACATTATCGCCGGAACAAAGAGGAAACAGAAATCAGAGAAATGGAGGATAATTACCATGGTGCTAGAGCGCCGCTGCTAGGTGTGGAGTGATACAGACGGGGGATTATTAGGGTTTTGTCCAACTCCTACAATTTAAAAGGCAGAGAGAGAGAGACAGCGAACAATGTTAAGTGTATGGGCCGAGAACCCTAAAATTGATTAGGCCCATTATTACTGATCAGTAAATCATTTTATTATTGAATGGGTCGATTGGGGTAAATAATAAATAAATAGCCTAAAATTTGTTATAAATTTAAAGCCCAATAAATATGGCCCAAAAAGTAAAACCCCCAAATTTCCCAAACCCCCAATTCGGAGCATTTTGGTGCTGCAGCAGCTTTGGAAGATTCGATCACCGGAGAGAACACAGCTAACCTGTATCCATGGCGGAGCCTACCCCTACCGGCGGCGACGTTTCTCCCAATATGACTATCTACATTAATAACCTCAACGAGAAAATCAAGCTCGACGGTATATCTACTATCTCTAATACATTCAGATATTGTATATATATGTATTGGAATTTTTTTTGTTGTTTCGCCGATTTGTTGATACATTTTGTTTTGTTCTCTTTTGTGTTGATGATAGAATTGAAGAAATCGCTGAACGCGGTGTTCTCGCAATTCGGGAAAATACTGGAGGTTTTGGCATTCAAAACCCTGAAGCACAAAGGGCAGGCCTGGGTTGTTTTTGAGGAGGTTTCTTCCGCCACCAATGCCCTTCGTCAAATGCAAGGCTTCCCATTTTACGACAAGCCCATGGTACCAATTTCTCTATTTTTTTTATTATTCTACTTATCGTTTTGCATTGTTTGACAGGAAGGTCGTTTTTTTTTTAACATGCCAGAATTTGGTTCCAACACCATGTCATATTGTTAAGATTCATAACTATGTCGGTGCTATGTTATGTTTTACGTGCTGTTTTACACTGTACCTTCTCAAAATCCAAAGCTTCGAGATGGATTTTAATGAAAAATTAGCGGATGTGAATTTGACATTCGTTAAAGTTCATTTTCGTTTATAGATATCTCCAAGCACGAAACGTTGGTGTATTTTCCTTAGTTTCACTAGGATAATCTTCTTCAAGTTACAACTGCCTTTCTGACAGCAGATCATAAACTAAGTTGAGGATATGTTGTAGTGCTTAAGTTATGCAGAACTTCTATATTTTTTCGGTTTAATTGTGCAATGCTTGTCACAGCGTATACAATATGCCAAAACAAAATCGGATGTCGTGGCGAAGTCGGATGGAACTTTTGTGCCTCGAGAAAAAAGAAGGAAGCATGATGACAAAGGTAAGACATTTTTCTGTTTAACATTTGAAATCTTGAAAAAGTAAGCATTAACCTATTTTAAGATGAAACAGCTATGTATATTCGATCTGATTGTTGTTTCTTATTATTATTTATATTTATATTTACTATTGACAAAGTTGGCAAGTTATTACCTTCCTTGGCTTCATGGTAATACTGCATGAAATGAAACGTTTGTGCCTTTGTGGCTACAACAACCATTTCAATTACCCGTCACGAATTAAATACTACAATTGTACAGAAGAGAATAATTAAGTTAAATGGAATGAAATGTGTCTATCTGATGAATGCTACTCAATGGACTATACCCTTAAAAGTTTCAAACTCTTGATACGAAGATCTCGTGGCTAAAAAATGTTATTATTTAGGATTGTGGTATTAAAACTTGCATAGTATTTTGAAATGTAATTATTGTTACCTAATCATACTTGCTACAGTCTGTTATACATGCGATACTATTTTCTTCATTTTCGGCTCAAGTTTGTTTGTTCTTGTAATACAGGAAGGAAGAAAAAAGAGCAACACGATGCTAATCAAGCAGCAGCGAATCTAAATCCTGCATATGCTGGTGGCTATGGTGCAACCCATCCTGTAAGCATTTCGTCAAGGACGCCTCATTCTTTATTTCTAAAATGTTTTCTCTCTGTTTCGTATATGGTATTTATTTTCCTTGTTATTTATGATTTAGATGTTTTTACATGTATCCTTTTTTATGTGGTGCAGTTATCTCAAATGCCAATGATGGGTGCTAGAGCGGTGCCAGATGCACCAGCCCCGCCAAATAACATATTGTTCATTCAGAATCTTCCTCACCAAACAACTTCGATGATGCTGCAAATGCTTTTCAGCCAGTGTCCTGGATTTAAGGAAGTTAGAATGGTGGAAGCGAAGCCTGGGATTGCTTTTGTTGAATACGAAAACGAGATGCAGTCTACTGTTGCAATGCAGGGCCTTCAGGGTTTTAAGATAACCGATGACAATCCTATGTTGATTACCTATGCAAAGAAGTAGATTATGTTTTCTTTACCCGTTTCTCTCTCTCTCTACAGAAATGTTGGTGAAACCCTCCATTGACAGGGATCCGTTGTACCGGTGTAATATTAGTGTAGTTACTTGGTATTAACTAATTTCACATTGCTTTCTCATTTGATTTTTTTAGTTATGAACTACAAATACCAAGATGTATAATGCTTTTTATTTCTTCTGGTTCGTTTTACACCTCCTGCTAGTTGATGCTCCTTTTTTGAATTATGTTAACAACATGCACCGTTCTGTCCGCTTCCTCCATTTTCATGAACTTGTTTGTCAAAAGAGTGAATTTGAATTGAAAGATTTGAGATGGGTTGATTTTAAATGATTACAAATCATAAGTATATAACTACACCACAATTTCATGTATAAACCTGATGAAATTACATTACATTACATATTTCCAATACCGACACTACCCTCACAAGAGGTCGATGCTGGTTGCCATACGTTGTGACAGTAAATGTCTAAATATTTTTAAAAATAAAAAAGATAGCAACAATTCCATAATTTACCATTTGCAAAACAAGGGACGGAAAAATTCACAATTTCACATAACACCAAAATATAAAGTCTGTTCAATCTATTACACTTTCTCCAACTCGATATTGTGTTTGTCTAATTGGTCTTTCAACTCTATTTCCCATCCTTGAATCAGCTTCTCTTGCTTACTGATAAGCTCACTCTTTACTTTCAACTCTTCTTCCATCATAGCAATCTCCTGAAATATCATAGCGTTATTGAAAATTACTAATCGGGAATCTGTGAAAAAGTAACAAGCACCATATTGCGCTAAACGAGCTTATATGTGTATATTACCTTCCGAAGGGTTTCTGCTCTTGTAGGTTGGTCCTCTCGTTGTAAGCCAATGAAATAGAGCTGAAGCTTTTTGGCTGCGTCCATGAAATCTCTAGCATGTCTCTCAACATCAACTAAAGCAGTTTTAAAAAACAGTACCTCTTCAAATGGCCAGCAGGTATATATATGGACATGGTACTAAGAAAACTTATAAGGAAAAATTAAGTTCTGTAATTTTCAATACTAACTGCATACGAAAAAATCTGCCTAAATTAGGGTGGTATTGACATCACTGACAACAGAGCTCGGAAACTTAAACAGACACCAATCACAATCTCAAATACGAATATAATTTCTCGCTCCAGGTTACCACTCAAACAAAAAGAAAGATATTTTTGCAGGTCAATTAACTTTTCAAAGTTATATGATATTCCAATAGCCAAATGTGTAATCACCGCTCCCCTAAATAATGAATAAGAAGGGAAATTTTACTTGCATTTTTTCCAGTGATCTTTTATTTTTTGCCCACTACCTCCTTCCCATATCCATAAAAAAACTATCTAGATTATAGATAACCCAAATTTGCAACATATCAGATAAATGGTTACTTACTCTGATGAGAAGGATGGGGAGAACGATCGATTGCCTGAAGTTCTCTAGCAGGCAAGCAAGGCAACAGAGCAGCCTCCAATGCCATCACATAGGAGATCATGTCCTCCTTAGAAGGCTGCACTTGTGGATCAGTATCAAGCTGATGTCTTTCAGTCATATCAATCATTTAAGCGCTATCAATCTGGACGGACAAAACTGCAGACAACCGAAAGCAACCCAGATTAAGAAAATAACTGTCTTTTGTACGAAATATTCTACTAATTAAGTTTCAGAGTACTCATGTCTACAAAATGCATTTAGCCAAACGTGGAAACGTGATTGTGGAGTGGCTCAACAACCAGTAAACCCAACATAAAAAAAAAATGCCCACATAGGAACAAAAAGACCATGTATAAAATTTAACAAACACCTGGTGGGCAGTATAAATAATTCTTTGAACGCGAGGAAAACCAGGCAAATCGATAACCCAACAGCGAGCAAAGCTCAAATCTCTGTCTAGAGATACATCATCTTCATCTCAATTGAGGAACAGCGTTCGTCCAATCTGTCAAAGGAATCAAAGGTGTTGCGTAAAATAATGCTTAAAGAAGGAAATAATGTGCATAATTACCAATAAATATCTGAATTCCGAAATTGAACGTGTTTCAGTAAAATATACCAGATCAAAAGGAACGACGCCGTCTATATGCGACTGAATTTCTCTGCAACACTGACGAGGGTACGTGCGTGTGCGCGCGTGGGAAAGAACCTTGAATGAAACCCCTCTCTCTCTCTCTCTCTCTCTCTCTAAGTTCCAATAAACACGCGACTTTCTGCAATAGAATTATTATATACACAGTAATCGTGTTTCTTTCGCTTTTTCGATTTTGTTTGGATCGATTTATTTAAAAATATTTTTTAAAATTTAATTCTCATTTAAATAGTTATGAGGTACAAATACATTGGTACCTAGCCTTTATCAATAGGGTAATGGTCTAGGGTTCGAGTCCCCCCTCCCCTACTTCCACTTGTAATGGACTTGAATTTACTCAAAAAAAAGGTACAAATACATAATTTACAGAAGTTTCAAAGGGTCTCAGATTACATAACTACCCTCGTAAAGAGCAAAAAATTACGAATTTACAGAATACAAAATAAAGAAAAAGGCTACCAAAAGTAATAAAATTGGTGGCAATTGGTTTGTTAGTACTTGAAGTTGAAGTTGACATGGACAAGATAACGCATTCTGATCTGGTCCACATTGTACACTATGTATTCATTGTATAGCAAACTTCCCTGCAATACAGTAGTAGTATATCAATATGCAGTGTAAGAAATCACAAGATTATATTTCATCGTAGATAAATAAATAAAAAATACGAGACCTTGCGGCCTGGTTGCTCTTTTGGTTTTCCCAAGGGAACAAGGACGCCGTTTTCAAGTGTTTGAGCCTCCGAAAGATCTGGTGCAGTCTGGCCAACTCCTTTTGTGCTGTAAAAATCGATCCAAACGTACATTTCGATCAGCACTATCATTTTTGGCCAGTTTGAATAATATACACTAATGCTTAATTTAGAGTGATGTTACGTAAAAGACGCTATAAGGGAATTGGACGTGAGAGATTTAGAGAGACGGAATATCAAACCTAAGCTTCCCAGCTGGTAACTTGTCAGCGTGTGAATTAGCTGTTACGAGCTCAGCCATATCTCCCAAAGCAACCTGAAAGTAACTCACGCAAAACGTGTTAAAAAGGAGATTTATTTTTAAAATATAGATAGAATACGTTTCACACCTCACATAAAAAATCGTGAGGATCGAGAGAACGAATTAATCACCTCACATAAAAGCAGAACGCCAGCAGATGCAGCTTTAGTCGAACAGCAGTAGTTAGCACTTTTTGAGAACATATCAGCAAAATAAACACCTTTGCCAAACATGTAACCTGTTACGGGTGCTTCTGGAGGAGCTATGCGTAGACCTGGCAATTTTTTAAGGTGAAAGAATATAATCATGTACTGCACCAATAAATTCCATTTCATTAGTGGTGAACCCTAAAAAAAAGGAAGAAAAAAAAACCTTGGGACAAAATTCCGGTCCAGTTTGTGAGTCGGGAGCCATGCCACAGAAGCATTCTGTTTTTGGTCCCTGAAAACTGCAAATCATGATATGGCAAAACTCGTTAGTGTTGGAAAAAAATACGGTTTAAAGAGAATATATCTTTCAATCTAAAAAGTAAAAGAAAAAAGAAAATCATTATTAGGTATCTCTTAGTAGTTACACATTGTTCACCTTCTCAAATCTTTGAGCTTCGCCCTCTCTTGACACGTTAAATATTTGAACAATATCCACATCATAACCCGAATGCGTCTTTGCATGAGTGTTCTTTGTGTATTTCTCAATCTGAAACATGAATACGTTGCGGTTTGGTTGAGAGAAAAAAAAAAAAATTGTGGCTTGAAGGAGACATAAATTTCAGAAAAATTATGTCACTGCAAGTAAATACTAAATAGTGTACTATACAAACAAAAGGAAGAGAAAATTACAATGGAGAATTCCTCTGAATGAACTTCAAGTGGCATGAGTTCACATTGCAGTCGCCTGTATTGAGAATACAGAGGATCCTGTAATACAAGACCCAGTAACAATATCAGAACACCATGTTGCAGGGTAAGAAATCAACGATGATAATTATTATCAGGGGAATGACTACGACAATTAAGATTAGATTTCTATAAAAACACGGCAATAAAGTTTATTAAATCCATGCAGTAAGGAGAATAAATATAATGTACCTCCATATCAATATCATTCTCGATCAACTTCATAGCAACCTCAATTTCACCAAGTGCTTCAACCTATGATTTTGTTACAAGAATGAGATAATGAAATATTCAAATTTGAACTCGAGATCGATGCATGGAGATGAAATTCATTTTGGATGACATTTTACTAAGACAAGCACTAAATGGATAGGAAAAGGAATCACCATTTCCAATTTTCCTTTTAGCTTTTGAGGGGTATCGATGATGAACAGACCTGTCGTACAGCAATTTAGAGCTTAATCGCAGAAATACAGAGTAAGATTTCTTGGGATCATCTGAAAGGGAGAGAACTTACTTGTTTTCTTAAAACCAAAGTCATGCGGGATTACTGTGTAAAATTCCCTGCAATTTAGACAATAAACTCAGCTGCAAATTGTGGCGTGTATCATGCCAATTTTTTTAATTTCCAAATAATAAACCTCCGAATTTACAAAATAAATGTTTACCCGCTTAATTGCTCAAGAGTCTTTCTATCAGCTTGGCCAATTACATCAGCAATCCTTTTCAATACATCATAGCCCTACATAGATCAAATGAATGCAATCAGAAAGGTGCTATTTAAAGAGAGAAAGATAGAGGAAGTTCAGAAAGAAACAAAAGTTGAATATCGTTCGTCGATTAAGCTAGGTTTGATGCTAAAACGTGCTGAAACTAGATTATAATTTACAAAATCCGAAAAATTCCTTTAGTACCCCTCATCCACCCAAAAAAGGATAATAAGAACATACACAAGTTCACATAAGTTTCGAATCAAGAGTATTCAGTTTCTATGCAAATCAGAATAATAAAGTTCTGAGCAATATCTCACCTTTAAAATTGTCGATTTGCTCAATTTACCCAATGGTAATTTGTCAGCATTGTATCCTATTACAAGATAAAAACAAATATTTAAATGAACATAACTGATAACATAAGAAATGCATCATTTTCTATAACAACAGAACAAACACCAATGTGAATACAAACCTATTTCCATCATCTGTTGCCTCATCATGCTCATATTGCAAATAAGAGAGATGAACTTTGCGATACGAGCTTCCAGCTTTGACTCTTGAGGTTCTTGTAGTACTGTAGATTTCTGCTTATCTTGAACCTAAAAACGATTATCAATATTTTAGCTCCCAAAATTCTACAAGAAACTCAAATAATTGCTATAGGCATAAGATAAGAAGGGAATTAATATGTTCTGCCTTCTATGAACCATTTGTGAACCTGTTTTGTCTAAATTAGATAAAAGCTATAATATCGACACACATGTTTTATATATAGAATATATTGTGACCATGAACAACGGAGTCAAGCAACTCTTCAACAAAAAATGCACAAACAAAAAAAATTCCGTTAGAAACTCACAGGTGGTAAATTTTTGGTTTCGCTGTAGTCCATTTCTAACCAAGTATAGGTACGTGGATAACTAACAAAGTCTTTCCTGTCAAGCCATCTGTTCTTTGTCTTGTCGAAGAACTTATTCTCAAACTCATAGATGGCAGCTTGCTGTGAGTTGTAGGGGCCATTCAACTTATTTTGACCCTTCACACCAACTCTTCCCCATCTATAATAGACCATGTATTTGCCACCATCATCAGATTCTGCCATTAGACGTTCAGACCGTATAAGCAAAAGATTTTACAATTCGTCTGTTTTCCCTGAACTGAATTTCAAGTATTTAACATATGAACTAAACATAGGGAACAGAAGCTTAACCTAGAATCTGAATGACAAAGAATTTGTTATTGTTCGCCCCGACATTTGTTTGATTCAACAAGGCATCATAAATTTCATCACCCTACATCAAAAATTAAAAGGGTCGAAACCAAATCAAAATGCAATACTTATTTCCTTTTTCTACGCCTCGTTAAGTAAAAAATTAAATGGCTTACTACGTGCAGAACGTGATACTGCGCCTTAATATGGTCCGGCAGCCATTGATCCAAGACAGCAGAACCTTTCTTTGTAGCTGTAACAATTTTCTCCTCCTTTTGTTCTTTCACTAATGAATTTTACATAGCAATAGCAGAAGAAAAAATCAGGTTACATATCTACTGAGGCACATTTGATACGGGAACATGACATAGCTCATCCAAATTCGGTAATAATGACATGCAGTATTACATATGATGTATGCAAGCAATTTGATTACCTGGATCTTTACCCGTTGAGATATTGTCGTTATCAGCGCAAAGCCTCTCTAGAAGCTCTTTTTTTGTGCCGATGGTGGAAATTCCCCGAATACTGGCCTCTTCTCGAAGCTGTTTTATGTTCATTGTTCGCAATTCATCAACTGTCTTGACTTCCACTGATGCAGGGGAATCAGCATTCTCCTCTTTGGTTTCAACTGCCAAATCTGTCCCATAAAAATCAGAATTAGGTTTCAAATGACAGTCAAATACAATTAGGTTTGAATTGATCGATTTACCTTCATCATTAGCGGTTGGAGAGCCACCAACATCAGCACAGAGCCTCTCGATAAGCTCTTTCTTAGTTCCAGCAGCAGAGACTCCTCGAATCGAGGCCTTTTCGCGAAGCTGCTTCACATTCATGCTTTGCAACTCATCAATGGTCTCGATTTTCGGCGGTGCTCCTGAATCGGAATCGTTAGCGTCGGAATCCCTCTTCCTCTTGCGACTACTGTCAGGATCGCTGTTCAAATCCACCGCTTTCATTTTCTTCTCCTCCCGAATCGCGGCGTCGAGTCTCCTAACCTACAATTTTGAGAACCAACATTTGAAATCAATTTGACAAATATCTGCTCCTACAATAGATAAATGAGAGGTGGAAAGTGAAATTACCAGAGTAGGCTTGATACCGGCGGTGCTGAGGCCGCGTTCGTCGAGTTTGGCCCGGAGTTCTTCCACTTTCAGATCACGTGTTGCCATTGTTGCTCGGAGTTAACTGTGGGAGTGGGTCAATGAGAATTTGGAGGGTTTTTCGAAATTGGTGTGTATAAGTAAGAGATGAAAATGAAGAAGCTTACAGGAGAAGTGACTTGTAATGGAATCTCAGTGCGGGGCACGACTTTTTGGCGCGTCTTCTACAAACCTAAAAAATTCAAAGCAACTTTCTCTTTTCGGACAACCTGGTCAGCTACTGGTGGGTGCGACGGAATGACTCTGACGGCGCCGTTTACCGAACGTTGGTGAGACTAGGTCAACTTTGTAATTTCAAATAATTTTGTATTTCTGGATTATTATATGTTTAACCACTCTCAATGGGAGAATTACACTTTTCGTCCCTAATGTTTGGAAGATTCCACTTTTGGTCCCCTTTGTTCCAAAGCGAACAAATTTCACCTCCAAAGTTCAATTTTAAACACATTTAGTCCCCTCCGTCCGTTTTCGTTCACATTTAACTGAAAATTTTTACTCAAAAAAAAAAAAAAAAAAACTGAAAATTATATTTGGGGCCAAAATTGAAATTTAAAATTGTTTTGGGCTGGAAAGCAATTAAAATTTAAAGTATTGTTAATATATATATTTTTTTAATAATATTTAGTATGATTAAAACAAATTGAATAATATTTAATTTTCACAAATAAAATGCAAAAAAAATATATTAAATACAAATACATTAGAATTATTTTTTGAATATTATTTTAATTTTAACAAACAAAATGATATGTATGTATATAAAATAAATCAGAAAAAAAAACAAATTGATCCCAAAACAATTTTAAATTTTATTATACTAAATATTATTTAAAAAATAATTATAAACAATACTTTAAATTTTTAATTATTTTTCAGCCCCAAGACAATTTTAAATTCCAATTTGGCCCAAAATAGTATTGTTTATAATACTTGTAATACTTATAATATTAATATCAATACTTATACAAATACTAATATTAATATGAATATTGACATGAATATTAATATTGACACTAATGTTAATCTTCATACTAATATTAATACTAATATTCATCCCGCAAGAGATGATCTAGTGGTTGGAGCAAGTGAACATGCTATTGATACAAGTGTTAGTGTCAGTGTTAATAATTTTCTCTAGTAATATATCTATTTTTCAGATCACATTAATTTTCGTCAATTATTTTGTTTCATTTTCGATTAATAAAAAGGAATAATTAAGTTTTTTATATTATATCATATTATATATATAAAGTTATCAAGTTTTTTAGTCTATTGTTTTTATCTAAAAATATTTTAAATTTTTAAATTACCCCCATATACCACATAGGTGAAATATAAATTTTAGAATCAAAAATATTCTAGGGTAAACCACCCCTGAGGTATGGTCAATTTAAGAAAAAAACTCCTCGTGTTTGGATAATTACATCTACCCATCAACAATGATTTTTTCTTACACCGTCACCCTTATGGTGTCAAATTTAACATAATCGTCTAGATTTAATGGAATGTGCTCTAGTTTGTACTTGTTTTGTGTAAAAATACAATTTCTGATGCACCACAATCTGACATATACAAGCCAAAAAACACATATTATGATCATCTTGCTTCAAAATGTAGAGTTCGAATGGGATAAAATGAGTATAAAAGTGATAATATTCCATATAACCTTGAAGATTCCACTAAATTTTAAACCGCAAGGGTGGACGTGTAAGAAGATTTATAGTCGAGGGAGTGGTTGTAATTATCCAAACAAGAGAGGGATTTTTGTAATTTGACCACACCTTAGGGAGGTGGTTGTAATTTACCCATTATTTTATTAGAGTTTTATTAGAGTTGACGGTGTAAAGTGAAAATTGTCAGACAGTGGCATTTCAGTGGGGCTAATTGCAATTTCATAAAGTAGAGGAAATTTTCGTAATTTAGAAATAACTCAGGAGCTGCTCCTAATTTCGCCTAATTATTATTTGTTTCGGCTATAGATAGGATTTATTTATTTTAGCACATTAAATTCCAAAAAAACCCACAAAAAAGATTTTGAATTACACGGCAAATTGGGGCTCCCGCCGACCTTTACTCCGACTAGCCAGTAGAATTTACTTTCCACTGACTCGCCGGTTTACTGCTTCACCGGCGCTGCGTCACTTTTCGACGATTTTGAAATTCGGATTACTGGGTGCGAATTTTCGCGATAATGCTGCACGAGTTGCTTTTGGCACTCCTAGGTTACACCGGAGATCTCATAATCGACGATAGAGAATACCAGGAATCCCTCCGCGTTAATTTATCCCCCGATGCGCCGCTTTCCGATGAGCCAACTTTCAAACTCGCTCCCGATCTTTCATTCATTCAGCCCAGCGACAGGTATTCAGTAAACCTAGTACACGCATCTTTTAGTTTACTCTTAATTGTGAAGAGTGACTAGGGTTTCTATCTTTGGTGCTGCACTGGGTGTTGATGGGGTATGAAATTGTACAGTGGATAATATTGTGGAGGTTTTGCGATACGATAATTGTTTTTATACTTGATGTAGAAAAACATCAAGTAGTGGGTACTGGGTAGTTATATATAATTAGTGTTTTGCGATATAGTTATTGGCAAGTATTAGGTTACTTAGTTTTTTAGGTAAGTAGTGGCTATGATTTTGTGTGTTGATCCGTGACATTGCGTTTTCATTGGCACGATATTGAGTGTTATATTTTAGTATTCGTAAGTTCTTCATTACTTGGTTTACCAGTGTAAACGGTTTTGAGTTGTCCTTTTTTCGTGTCTCAGTGTGATTTTGGGTTCTGACTGTCAGGGAAGATGTTTAGAGAGTCATCACATTGGCATTTTACTATAAATGTTTTGCAGGATTGTGTTCCACAACTCAATTAGTCAAAATTTACACGTTGGATTCTTATTGAGGGGTAGTTACGCCTTGGTTGTTTGTGCTGGATCTATATTTGTGATAATTTTCATAATTCCTTGTTATTTAGTGTGTAATAAAAACTGGTTTGGTTTTGTATTGCTGATGCAAAATTTGATTCGAATTGGCAGGGAAGTTATCGAGAGAGTAATTACTCTAGGTTTCTACTACAGGGAGCTAGAACGTTTTGCGGCTAAATCTCGAAATTTAAGTTGGATTAGATCTTCAAACGAGTCTCCTTTGTCAAGAGCTACGGAAATATTGAAAGGGAAGAAGGTGAAGCCCAGTGTATATAGGAGGGCACTATCGAATGGAATTGTTGAAGTGCTATCTGTTTATAGGTCCGCTGTTTTGCATATTGAGCAGATATTGTTGTCTGATTCCCTCCCCGTCTTGGCAACTGTGACACAAGGACTCAATAAGGTGGGAAATAGGTTGTGCAACATTTATTATATGCGTTTATGAAGGTTTAATGTTTGTGTGTGTATGATCTGTTGTAGATTTGTTCATTTGAACTGTTACTGTATGCAAATTCTCTTCAAACATGACGAAAGGGTTAAAATATAACTCCTTCATCGGCCTATTGAATTATAATTTCAATTGGTTCTGTAAGAATAGCTTGGCACTCTAGATTTTGTTCATTCAGGGAGTAAAGCTTTCTTGTTCCTTTTATTTATTTTATTTTTTCTCTGCCCTCGCACTAAAACTAGCTATAACTATCAACTTTGTGCATCCTGCATATAACTTGTCTGTGTAGCTACACATGTTAATTGCCCTATAAGTTGAGTAGTTCTGTTTTACCAAACTCAAAGGGTGAGTACACACTTGGAACGAAGCTTTACCTGAACAGTTCACTTCTCATTTCTGCTAGTGGCGTCTAGTCTATTTTAATCTGCACTAACTTGTGAGTATATGGCTCAGTTCTTTGTTTTGTTGCCACCTCTGTATGAGCTTATTTTGGAGATTGAGCGCAATCATATTTATGGAGGCAGACTTCTCAACCTTTTGCACAAACGATGCCATTGTGGGGTTCCTGAATTGCAAACATGTATTCAGCGGTATGCAATTTATCCAGTTATATCTTGTATATGCTTAACAATTTTTTTGACTATCTTAGTAATTATGAGTTGCATATCTCATAAAGCGGTTCAGGAACTTGTGGGAATATAACATGTAGCATTGTATTAGACCAGTGAAAGTTCTGAGAAGCCCTGTTTGTTAAGCAGGTTAAATATCCTTTGAAAGACATATATGTTTGAAAAACGTATGTTATTCTTGATTCATATCACAGCAACTGGTGGGTTTTTCATTTGAGGACTGGTAGTTTACCTCTCTCCTCATAGCATCACAAACTTGAAGGGGTAGGGTTGTGGGGTAAGTATCCTTCTTACGAGTGGCTTGGATAGATTAAGTTATTTTTGGATTTATTTGTTCATAAAATATTCAGTTCTTTGGCAATGCAAATATTTTCTCTTAGTGCACATTTAGTTTGACAAAGAGATGAAGAGAGAATTTTATTTACAATTTGATATCCTAGATCAGAAAGATGATTATCATGGTTTTTATGCTACCAGCGAACTTGCTGTTGGATTTTGAATATTAATCACAGAATCCTAAATGACAAATACTAAAAAATATATAATCGTAGTTCCCTATTACTTTGTTGTGTAGTGAAATCCGCATTAATATGCCATTCAGGTGTAGGCTATTTCCTATTGACTTGGAATGGTATTAGAATAATATTACCATGATAAACAGGCTTCTATGGCATGGGCATCAGGTCATGTACAATCAACTTACTTCATGGATGGTTTATGGGATCCTTCATGACCAGTATGGAGAATTTTTTGTTAGCAGGTATGCTTTTTTCCGAGTGCTATGCCGTTCAGTTTCAATTTGCTTGACAGACACAATAGCTATATGACTTTATTTTTCTTCTCTCAGGCAAGAGGATAGTGATTCTGAACACGATTCACCTGCAAATACACTTGAAAAACTGGCTCGCATGTCAACTAATGATGTATCTCTAACTGATTGGCATCTAGGCTTCCATATTTCTCTGGTATATAATATCTTTGTTTTGTGCTATTGGTTTTTGTGATCGTCATATATATTTAGTGATCCATGACTTAGATTATCACAGTTTTAGTAAGTTTGTATCATTTATGTTATTCACACGAAACATTTCTGTCATAACTAATTTTACTTTAATGGTTCCATCCACCAACAACTCGGACCATGACTTTCTTTTAGATTATTGTTCCACAGCCTGCAATACTGGTTCCCAGTTAATGTGCTGCGTTTTGAATTCGTTTGCAGGATATGCTTCCTGAGTATGTTCCAATAAACATTGCTGAATCTATTTTATTTGCTGGAAAAGCTATCAGAGTTCTTCGGAATCCAAGTCCCTCTGTCCAACTTCATGGTGCATCATCCCATCAGAGCATACAAAAAGGATCACAAAGGGTTCAAGGATTTACCGGAAGGATTTCTCTACAGAAAGACTCTTCTGTCGAAACCACGTTGACTGGAGAAGAATTACTTCCACAAGCTGAGGCTGATAAAATTGAAGTTATGCTTCAAGAGTTGAAGGTTTTAATGCTTTTGAACATGTCGTTATGTATTTCTTTTCAAACCATTTTGTTTCCAATCTTCAAAGATTTGGTTTGGTTTATTATGTACAGGAATCATCTGAGTTCCATAAGAGATCGTTTGAGACTGCAGTTGGCTCAATCAAAGCGATTGCAGCAAATCATCTTTGGCAGGTTCTGATTGCAAACATTTATGTCCCTTTATTGTTAGACAAAAAGTAACTTATATCTTGGTTATATTTGCAGCTTGTTGTTGTGCGTGCTGACTTGAATGGCCACTTAAAAGCTCTTAAAGATTATTTCCTTTTAGCTAAAGGTGATTTTTTCCAGGTAGGATAAACTTAAGAAGTCAACTGTGCGGCATTTGCCTCTATCAATGTATTCGGACATTATTCACTTGAAGAGGAATTTGGTTTAGTTTATAAAACCTTCCAGAATTTGAGCTTGTAAAATAGTTTGTTATGTACATTGTTGCAAAAGATTTACTTTATAACCGTCTAGCTGAATTCTCTTCACTTTTTATAATAGTATACTGAAAGATGTCTTACATGATAGAGTTTTCTTGAGGAAAGTCGCATGCTGATGCGTTTACCACCCCGTCAATCAACTGCTGAAGCTGATCTTATGGTTCCTTTTCAACTGGTAAGTGTTAATCATGAAATGCATCATACCTAACAATAGAATTGCTATTAAATCCTTGCATAAGTTATACACAGTACTCGGCTTATCTTTTGTGCTGCTAACCCGGGAGGCACTCACCAGTTACTCAGCTACTTCAGGTTATCTGCATGCATGATCTGAATCATAAAAGAAACACCACTAACTTCATCCATTATTTATTCATTGCCGACCTAAACAGAATTCATAAAATCATTTTGCTCATGCCTCCTTTTCTGCATATCTTCTGTATATTGTACTAAGCTCAAAAACTCATATCTAATGCAGGCTTCGATAAAGACTATCGCTGATGAGGACAAATACTTTTCCAGAGTATCTTTGCGGTACGACCAGTTTCTTATATTCCAATTCTTCAACTGAAATATAACTCTTCAAGACAATGCTCTTCTTAATTTCTTTTCCACTTTCAGAATGCCAGGAGTCACAGTTAAATCTTCCCATGTTGAGTTGCCTAAAACGAAAGCATATTCTGATGGTGACTCAGGTGTCCAATTAGATACTTCTGCAGGGATGTCAATTGATGGCTGGGATGGCATTGCCCTTGAATATTCTGTTGACTGGCCCTTACAGTTGTTCTTTACACCGGAAGTGCTGTCTAAGTAAGCTTTACATCAGCTCTATCAATACCTCCTTCCAATCACAAAAAAAAAAAAAAATCGATAAAATGAATGTCAATGTTGGTGGAAGTGCCCATCTGCTTAGTTTTTTTGTAGTGTGACATCATTAATGGCTGAGTGAGCAACTTTTTCTTCGTCAACCTCACTGTTGGAACAGGTACCTTAGGATTTTCCAGTACTTGCTTCGTCTTAAGAGGACTCAGATGGAACTGGAGAAGTCATGGGCGTCTGCAATGCATCAAGATCATTCTGATTTTGCCAAACGCCGCAGTGATGGTATTAACAGTTCAATATCTCAACAGAGAAGGCAACGCTTTAGACCAATGTGGCGTGTGAGAGAACATATGGCCTTCCTAATCAGAAATCTTCAATTTTATATTCAGGTGAATTATCACTAAAATACGCCTGAAGTAACTGTGTGAGTAGAAATCCGCATTTGAATTTTTTGATGACTAGTTTGTGGTTCAGTTGATATTTCCTTAAACGAGAGATAACTAACGGCAAACTTATCTTTTGAAACCTGATCAATAAGTAGTGAAAATCCAAAATATACAAACGGAATTCAAGAACATACCTGGCACTTTGCATCTTAAAGTTCCTAAGTGCACCTTTCACTCGAACAGGCTTCTCAGTTGTTATTCATCTAGAATATTAAGTTTTCTTGATTTTGATCTTGTAAATGTAATAATGTGCTGTTATGGTTACATACTCACGTCTACTTATTCATTGAAAATCTCTGTGAAGACTAAATTGTTGAACTAATTCATGTTTAAATTGGTAGGTCGATGTAATAGAATCTCAGTGGAACGTCTTGCAATCTCATATTCAGAATTCTCATGACTTCACGGAACTGGTGGGGTTTCACCAAGAGTAAGTGATGCGGATGTTAAACTTCAATTCGACTATGTAGCGTAATTGGGTCTTGAAATCTGTATTTAACGTGTAAAGATGTTAAGAATATGCTGGATCTAGTTTGATTTGTAGTTAAAATGTGAATCTTATAGCTGTAATTTTTTACTCCTTTTGATGTCGACATCTGAGGAAGTGGCTGGTAATTGTGTCCATAGACAACTGATTTGATTTTATTAGGCTAAACTGCTAATACATAAACTGATTCTATTCTTACAGGTATTTATCTGCACTGATATCACAATCGTTCCTGGATATCGGTTCTGTGTCACGTATTCTGGATGGCATAATGAGACTTTGTTTACAATTCTGCTGGAAGATCGAGAACCAAGAAAGTAAAGACAGCACTGCAGGACTGGAGCACATAGCTGAGGTACTAAAAGCGGGGCATATTACTTGCAACTGTTGTCGCTGATATTGTATTTAAATACCAAGCGAGATAAAAACATATTATCTTTCTCTCTTGCCAGGAATTTAATAAGAAGTCAAATTCATTATACACTATACTCCGCAGCAGCAGGATTGCTGGGAGTCAGCGAGCCCCATTTCTTAGGCGCTTCCTTTTGCGACTCAACTTCAATTCCTTCTTCGAGGTAACAAACAATATGCACTATGCAGATTCTTCTTCTAAAATCATTCCATCTGGAAAACGTTGATTCGATTTGTGTTGATTTTTTTTCGTTTGCAGACAACTGCTAGAGGGGTGCTGAATGTTGTGAGACCTCGCCCAACACTTGCCTCATCTACTATGATTTAGGCTTCTTTTCTCCCTCCCGTACATCTCTTGCAGCTGACATCACCAAGAGGTAGCCATTTTAGTCTTTTCAATGGATTTGTTATCCTCTCCCGTTCCAAATGCAACGCTAGTTAACCCGTGAAATTACGTAGATACTGATAAGGTTCTCTTATACTTTGCAATCTTTGTTGTTGATTTTTTAGCTTGTTTCTCAGGAGGTGTTGGAGATGATCACTACTGATGGAGCACAGTGACTAATTCTATATATAATATATATATATATTTTATAATTTGGTGTATCTATAATCTATATCTGGTGCTGTGGTGATTTTTATTTGTATATTATTATAATACCATAGGTGCCCTTCCCTTGCTGTTTGCACTGCAAATAGAGAAAATCTTGCATGATGTCATATTTGATTATTATAAATTTTTTATTATAATATTTAATTCATCAAATAATTATATTGAATTTCAAAAACCTAAACTCCAAATGCAATATTATTTGCAGGCAATCTCTCCTGAAGTAATAATAGTTCGAATTCCACCAACCCAAACTCCCCCATCCCATCCACCAACCCCATATGTTCTTGGTAGTTGATGGCTCCAAAAAAAAAAAAAAAGAAAAAAAAAAGTGAAATTGGTACAATTAATTAAAATTTAAATAAATATAATAAAACTAATTTATTATTCACATTGAAATAAATTAAAATTAAATTGCAAAAAACTAATCCAGGCATTAACCCATCATCACAAGCTTTGCCAATAAACCAAACAAACCTCAGCCGACGGATACAAATCCACAGCTTATCATCTTCATCTTCATCTTCTTCACCACTCCATTTTTCAGCTTCATTATTCTTCACCATTCACAACAATGGATTCCACAGCCAAAAACGCTGAAACCCCCGAAGAAACCCAACAAGACCAAACCCAGATTCATCAAAACCCACTCCCACTTCTTCCCACTGCTTCAATCTCACTCTCTCTCTCCGCTCTAATCCCTTCCCATTTCCTCCCACCCAAACAATTCGCCGCCGCTTCTTCAAACAAACTCAAAATCCCATCTCAAATCTCCTCTCTCTCCCACTTTTCTCTCTCCTCTTCCCTCCCCCAACCAAAAGCCTTCTTCAAATCCACCATCTCAGCCAACCCTCTCCAGAACACTCTCACTCTTAACCCCCTCCGCCCATCCAACCCCTCCGGCGCCGCCGCACTCCGCCGCGCCGCCGTCGTATGGTTCCGCAACGACCTCCGCATTCACGACAACGAGTGCCTCACCTCCGCCAACAACGATTCCGTCTCCGTCGTCCCGGTTTACTGCTTCGACCCTAGAGACTACGGTAAATCCACGTCCGGCTTCGACAAAACCGGACCCTACCGAGCAACATTTCTGTTGGAATCCGTTGCCGATTTGCGGAATAACTTGCAGGCGCGTGGGTCGGATCTCGTGGTGAGAATCGGGAGGCCCGAGAGCGTGTTGTTGGAGGTGGCTAAAGCCGTGGGAGCTGATGCGGTTTATATGCACAGAGAGGTTTCGCACGACGAAGTTAAAGCGGAGGAGAAGATAGAGGAGGTTATGAAGGATGAGGGAGTTGAGGTGAAGTACTTCTGGGGAAGCACGCTGTACCATTTGGAGGATTTGCCGTTTGAGTTGGAGCAAATGCCGACGAATTACGGAGGATTTAAGGGAAAGGTGCAGGGTTTGGAGGTGAGGAACACTATTGAGGCATTGGATAAGATGAAGGGATTGCCTAAAAGAGGGGATTTAGAGCCTGGTGAGATTCCTTCCTTGATGGATTTGGGGCTCAACCCGAATTCCACATTGAGTCAGGTATGAATATGAACTCAATTATTTGGTGTCATTATTTGGATTATGCAAATGATTGTGATGATCTGAATGAACCGTCGAATTTGAATGTTGATGGATAGATAATTTAATTATTTTGGTTACGTTCTGTGTGCAGACGAATTTGATGCTTCCACGATTAGCCATACGTGTAATAATAATACTAATGTTAGAAGATTGAGTTCTAGTGCTAGTGTTGAATCGATAGAGATTTTCTTGTATTTTCTAGTACTAACACCAATTTTTTTGTTCGGGGTTTATCGTTGATCACATAATATTGCAAATACCTTCATAATTCAATTAAATTGCTATTGGCTGAACTTCTTCTTTCTATATTTATCTAGATGTAAAACACCTCTTGTGTAGTTTAAGTACTATAGAACTTAATATTTATGTCTTTTAATCACTAAGTTTTAGCATAAGCTGGAACCATTTATGTGGCAGACTGCACGCACGTAATCTTGATGTAAAAAACTAGAGTATGAGTATTCGTACTGCTTTGAAAATGCCTAGGCCACAAAATATGCAGATCAACAATAATGAGACTAATCGGTAGATATAGAGAAGGTTAGTGAGTATTATTAGCATTAATGCGATTCTCATTGTCTCTCGTAGAATGGGAAAACAGCTGCCAATGCTTCTCTTGTGGGTGGAGAGACTGAAGGCTTGCAGAGACTGAGAAATTTCGCCTTAGAATGCAAGGCAAAACCGAACAATGGATCTAAGGATGGAACCAATGATAACATTTACGGCGCAAACTTTTCGTGCAAAATATCTCCATGGCTTGCCATGGGATGCCTTTCTCCTCGATCCATGTTTGACGAGCTCAAGAAATCTGCTTCAAGGTATTGCAAGAATGAACACAGTATTCCTTCTTAGTTTTCGCTCTTTCTTTTCGTATACATCAATATGGAAAACCTTGTGTGTTTGCAGCATGATTTCTGCTGCGTCCAACAAGAAAAACGGCGGAACTGGTGCAAGTGATACTGGGATGAATTGGTTAGTGTATGAGCTTTTGTGGAGGGATTTTTTCAGGTTAGGCGAATTCAATAAACTGTTTTTTTTTTCTCGGGGTTTTTTCTTTTTTCAACTAGCTATTTAACTCTTTCTTTCTTTTTGCAGATTCATTACGAGGAAATACAGTACCTCAAAGCAACAGAGTTATGCACCAGCTACAGCTTGTACAGGTGCTGCTGCCTGAAATAGAAAGTAGATGACAAGTAAAATGGGCAAGTTTCTAATCATCCATCCCTTTGTATCTTGTAATCATTATCATATGTTAGCACTGTCTTTTGTAATGAGAATAATAATACTGAAAAGTTGCTCAATTCACCAGCAAGACTACAGGTGAATTTGATTGTACTGTGCTACTGAGATGAATGCTCAGGTTTTGGGGGATTTTGAATTTTTTTTTTTTTTTTTGCCATTGATGGAAGCAAACGGATCGAACTTGGTTTTCTTAGTTCGTAACCGTGTTATTTTGGGGTTTCTTATTCATTCGTGACATTTTGTAATCCGGTGTAAGAAAACAAAAGAACTCCAAAGAAATGAAACATAATTTCTTAAATTATCACAAAATGCAGAGAATGATTACACTCGCATAAAGAATAATAAAATGCATTTATTACAAAAATACTACGTTGAGGGATATCAAGCCAAACGCAGGAAAAAATAATGAACTCAAATAAAGCCAGAAACTCGTAAAGATGACAATACAACAAAAATAAGCCATAGGAACATGAAATAAGCACAAGTAATCCAAGCCCAAATTTTGGGACCTCCGAGCTCGGCTCCCAATGTAAGACGCCTAAATACCAAACCGCCAATACAACCTATAGATGTAGCAAAGAACACGAGCAACGAGAAACTGAGCCCACCTGCATTTTCTATCCTCAATGGTTCATTGTATGCAAAGTAGTTGTACATTGTGTTGATCAGCCAAGGTACACCGATGCCAACATATATATTCACCGAATTGCTACCAAAAAAGAAAATTAAAGAAGTTAAGTAATATAAACTCTAAATCAAGAATGACTTTTGGAAGATGGAGTAACTCAGAAAGAACCTGCAAGTAATATTAGCTATGGCAGAATCGGCTGTCGTCTGCCGCTCTGCTGCAATCTTGCTTGCGACTAAATCCGGCCACGATGTTCCCGCGGCCAATGCTGTAAATGCTATCACATAAGCATTAATACCTGCATATTGAGATTTGATTGTGTTACTAAAAAAGTGGTACCAAAGAGTAGTGTATAATTCTTTTTGTGCAGAAAACATGTGAACCTGTGACACAGCTTATTATATCTGTAAGCTTCGTCACAACATAAGCTATCCCACTTATGAAAATGAGAGAAGAAATGAAAGAGATCCATCCGTGAGCAATCTGACAAGGTGGTACAAAGGCAAACAAAATTCTCCATGGTGCGAGGAGCAACTCCCATAAAACTTTTGCTGCCCTTAGGTATGTGTTATTCAGTTTTCTTGATTCTTGGCCCTCCAACTGCTCAAGGATGAAAAAAATTATTCAGCCAAGAAAAAAAAAGTTGTATAAATACATGAAAATGGTATGTGCACAAAAGGAACACGAAAAGTAGTATATCAAATTGAAAACAAAGATGTGGGCAAAATGAAAACGGGAATTCAGTACCACAAATGCATCAACGAATTGCTGCTTCCAGATTGAGATTAAATTATCTTTCACATGAATATCTTCGTGAGACTGGCCCGAGGGTTCACCAGAGTCGGAACCAGACAAGTTTTGATAGACATGATCTGCAGGTTACGCTTTCAAAGTGTTTATTAGAAAGAACCAACCAAAGAAATGATGCCACACCAAAGTAAAATATAGTCGCATTTTCTCACTGTGACAACTGACGAAACAAAGTTCAAATGGACAAGTATTGTGTATTACCAGAATGGACGGAGAAAATGTCAACAATCCTCCCGCTTTCATGGTCATCTTCAGGGATTTCAGAGTACTTATCACGATCCTTGTATGGAGCAGTTTCCACCGGTACCCATTCTTCTGGCCTCTCAGTTCTTCCTCTGATTACAAACATGATGTCAGAAGCAGAAAGATCATGGGAAAATCGAAGTTATAGGTGTTGATTAACAAAAGACCTACATCGGCAGAGACAAATACGGCCAACGCTTATCTTGTGCATAGGCATGTATTAGCAGCAGCCCAAATTGCAGCACTGTCAGTAAAGCTTCCAAGAGAGTAATGATATTTGGAGTCCACACCTGCACATCTGAAGTTATTTGACCTACAAATGTAATTTCTGTTTTATGTGAACCTCACTATGCATTAGGGGAAATGCTTGTTATCTTACAACAGATATGCATGGATTGTAAGCTAAACATGCTTGACAGGAGCTCAACAAGATCAAATATGATAGACTGACAAATTAGGCTAGTTATTTAATCGAAATGAGCTTCAGATTGATGTTACACAGGCACAAATAGTGGAACCAATAAAAGAAATCCATAAGCAGTAAAATTGCGTTGAGAATAAACAATATCAACATTCACCTCCAATATTATGTATAGCCAGATGTAAGCCCAAAAAGACCAAAAGAGCTCTACAAGCCAGACTCCAACGTCTGATATCTTTTTTAGCTCTCCAGCTTTGGGAACCACAACACAGACAGCATGGATCGGGAACAAATCAAAAGCAGCAGAACCAACAAGTGTTCCAGGACCTAAACCTGTTAATCCCATTGGCGGAGTAAAATTGATATTCACGAAAATACCAAGATTCTTGACAGAAATTCAGACAACTTACAGAGAATAAGAAAATCTAAAGACAATTTAAAGACAGTTTGAAATATGTAAAACATGAAAGAAAGACAAACCTCCAGCATACAAGCTTCCAAGATTCCTTATTGCGTCTATGGTGGCCAAAGAAATCTGCGGAAAACTAGTTCCGAATGCCAGCAGGGTGATATCAGCAATGGTGTAATTCCAAACCTTTTCATGTCTAACAGTTTTGGTATTAGTGCAAGGATCTATCTCTTCAACAGTTCGAGTATGCTTAACAACATTTTCCATAGACTGGAAGAAACGAGATGTTATAGCTGATAATCCAATAAAACAGTAGGCAAGAGCCATAAAGTACAAGAAGCCCCGGAAGCCATCACTAAGCACAGTTTCGTCATGGAAAAGCAAATACAATTGACATTTCTCGACCCCAAGGATATTGGATCCTCCATCTATGATTTCAGCAGTACTATTATTAAGAGGGTCCATGTCAATCTGAGTAGTTTATATTTCACAGCTCACTCGTGACATGGAAACAATCTCCCCGAACAAATAGCAGCATACCTGTAAAACAATTAAATGTCATTACCAAAATACACGTGAGTATATATATCAGATAATCAAGAGAAATCAAAGTAAACATTAAGCTACCGTCATTTGCAGAATCGTGAAGCTGAAAAGTGCAATGCATATGTAAGCAAGTTCATACATTGTTCCATTCAACACGAATATGCATACTTGGATTTACTGCTCGACATGGAAAGCTAAGTATAGATAATAGATTTTTCCATCATGAGATGCACTCAACAAGTAGAACTACAAACTATATATAAGATAAAGAGAACACCAAATCTTGTCACAACACTTATCAGACACAGCCAAAACAAAATTGCCTACCAGAAGGAAATTGCTTATCGATTAGTAAAATTCGAGTTTTTTTGTACTGTGTGGTTCATCTGTAACCTCACATCTCTACAATTACACCATTTTTAGTGAACTAATTTTAGGTAATAGCGAAAAAATTGCCAAAAAAAATACCACATGCTATCGATTGTACTGAATCGAAAATCAGATCAAAAATACATGGCAGCAATTAATCAAGGTCCCACAGTTCACCATCGCTCGAGAAAATGTTCAGTTCATCCGACAATTGATTTGGCTCCTTCCATAATCAAACAGTTAAATCACTTCCAACAAGTGAAAACATAAAATTTAAGTCAATAATTTAGCACAGAGAAAAAAAATTCAAAATTCTCCAAACTTTCAGGATGACCAAACCCTGCTTTTTGTCAGCAGATTATTTTCAAATTCACGGAATAGAATAGTACACATTAAATAATCATTTAAAAAAAAAGGCGAAAACCTTACCGCCGGGAAGCGTGCGTGTAGGGAATCTACCCGAAGAAAGCTTACAAATGAAAACTCAAAATAGATGTTAGTAAAATAACATTATAAGATAAGTAAATATGAATGTATGGAAAAACAGAAGTATGAGATTGAAGACAGCTCAGTCTTCCAAACCGATTCACACACACAGATCCACAAAGGTATCCACTGTTACACACACACACACAGTCTAGGATTGCACCATACTCAGAACCAATCCTCTCTCTGCACTCAAACCCCTCAAACCACCCAGATTATCAGTAAGACCACGAAGAAGATGCACTCAGCTTCTTACCCACTCACCACAGACCCAACTCACAGAAGAATAAGGTAAGGTGTTTGAATTTAGGGTTTCAATCTAGGTCTTACCCTCTGCCACACATCTCTCCGCATTAAATAGGGTTTCCAGTCAAAAGGAGCCGTTGAAGAGACAACCACTGGGACAAGCACGGCCAAGGACGGCGGCGAATGGCCCATGGTTGCTGGAGCAAAAGAAGAAAGAAGCAGAGGGGGACCAAAGGAGAGAACAGAGATTGTCTAGGGCACAAAACGGGAAAGGGGGTACAAGGGAGAGGAAAGGTCAGCTATAATGAACGGCTGAGATCACACCAGAACCAACGGTTCAGATTCAAGCCTTCTAGCACATTCCCACTAATGGGCTGGACTTATTCTGGTTGGGCCTTTCCGAATAGACAAGTGTGTGTGTGTAATGGGAAATTGGGCTATAGGCCCAAGACAAATTTGGGCCACAACCACAACAAATCTCCACCTTGGACCAAAGTGTATCATTAGTGAATTTTATGGTTTATTGGAAGTCATCATTGCTGTTTTTGATATACAAGTAAAACACAAAGTAGTACAAGTATATCTTTCTGATTTCACATAGAAGGTCAGAAGGAGATGTCACATAGACAGAACATGTAGCAGTTCACACAGAAAAGACATGTACACAATCAGTCACAAAGACAACACATAGTCAGTCACAAAGACTGTAACAAATAAAAATAGCACACAGCATTTTAATCTTGGGAAATTAGGTTCAAGTTTTTCAAACAAGAACGAAATTTCTCAACTGGTAAGCACTTAGTACCCATATCAGCAGGGTTGAACTCTGAGGGAATTTTTTCAAGGTCAATAATCCCTTCTTCCACAATACTTCTAATAAAGTGAAATTTAATCTCAATATGCTTAGTTCTATCATGGAAGACAGGGTTTTTGCACAATTGTATACCAGACTGACTGTCAGAAAACACTACCACTTTGTTCCTGTAAAAACCAATTTCAATCAGCAGGCCTTTAAGCCAGATAGCTTCTTTGAAAGCCTCAGTTGTGGCAACATATTCTGCCTCAGTAGTAGACAGAGCCACAATGCTTTGAAGCTGAGATTTCCAGCTTACACAGGAACCATTCAAAGTAAACACATAAGAAGTAGATGATTTTCTGCTATCTCTACAATTTGCAAAATTAGAGTCCACATAACCACAGAGTTCACTTTCAGTTTTACACTTAGAAAACAGCAAACCAAGTTTAACAGAACCTTTCAAATACCTAAGCAACCACTTAAGAGCCTCCCAATGAGGCAAACCTGGATTAGACATATACCTACTCAAATAACTCACAGAGTAAGCAATATCTGGTCTTGTGCTGACCATTAAGTACATAACAGACCCTATAGCATTTGCATAAGGCACATTTTTCATCTCAGACATTTCAGGTTCAGTCTTGGGAGACTGTTCCCTACTTAACACAAAATGGGCAGCAAGAGGAACAGATACAGGTTTTGCAGATTGCATAGAAAATTTCTCAAGGATTTTTTCAGTGTAAGAAGATTGATTAAGAAACAATGAACAGCCTTTTCTATCTCTGATTATGTCCATGCCAAGTATTCTTTTAGCATTTCCAAGCAATTTCATGTCAAATTCATCACTAAGACACTTAATGACATAATTGATTGTTTTAATACAAGGGCTGGTCAGAAGCATATCATCCACATAAAGGAGCAAGAAGACAGGAATTTTGGCAGAGTGTTTGAAATACAAGCATGGATCATATGAACTTCTCAAAAAATTTAAGGATTTCATGCATGCATCAAATCTTTTATTCCACTGTCTAGGGGACTGCTTAAGACCATACAAAGATTTTTTCAATAAACACACATAATCAGGATGTTTCACATCAAGAAAACCTTCAGGCTGTTTCATGTATATTTGTTTATCTAATTCACCATGGAGAAATGCAGTTTTCACATCCATTTGTTTTAATTCCCAATCAAATTGAGCAATTAAGGCAAGCATAATTCTCACAGTAGTAAATTTCACAACAGGAGCAAATATCTCAGTATAATCAATTCCTTCTTTTTGGGTAAACCCCTTAGCCACTAGCCTAGCCTTATATCTAAGTGAATCAGATTCATGTTTAACTTTAAACAGCCATTTACAGTCAACTAATGAACATTCAGCTGGTTTTGGCACAAGAGTCCAAGTATGGTTAACATGCAAAGATTCAATTTCTTCATTCATAGCATTTAACCAAGACACAGATTCATTAGATTTAAGGGCTTCCCTATAAGACTTAGGTTCTTTATCATCCAGAGACTCAAAGACATGAAACACATAAGATGCAAGCTGATAATCATCTAAATGATGAGGCCTAATGATGTTTCTTCTACTTCTGTCCCTAGCAAGTTGGTAATCACCAAGATTTTCCACATCAGGCACATTAGTATCAACATTTTGATCAAACACATCATTTTCAGGCACATTATTATCAGTTTCACTATCAGAATCAGATATAGTTTCATGTTGAGCAGGTATAACAGGGGAAGTCTCCACCTCAGAAGAGGTAGACTCAGAAGAAATAGCAGACAAACAAGGAAACTCATTCTCATTGAATATCACATTTCTACTTATAACAGTTTTAAACCCCTGTTCCCCCTTAAGCCAGCACCTATAACCCTTAACCCCCTCTGGATAACCCAAGAAGACACATTTAACAGACCTGGGATCAAGTTTATCATGTTTCTGGTGCACAAAAGCAGAGCAACCAAATACTCTAAGATTAGACAAACTAACAGGAATACCAGACCACTTAGTTTCAGGTAATTCACCACATAGAGGCACAGAAGGTGATCTATTGATCACATATGCAGCAGTTAAAACAGCTTCACCCCAGAACATTTTAGACAAGCCAGATGAATTTAACATGGACCTAACTCTATCAAGTAATGTCCTATTCATCCTCTCAGCAACACCATTTTGCTGAGGGGTGTAAGCTACAGTTTTATGCCTCTTTATGCCAGATTCAACACACATATCATCAAATTCAGCATTACAAAACTCAGTTCCATTGTCAGTTCTCAAGGTTTTAATTTTCTTCCCAGTTTGATTCTCAATTAAAACTTTCCATGCTTTAAATCTTTGAAACACATCAGATTTATTTTTCAGCAAGAAAACAAACACTTTTCTGGAAAAATCATCAACCACAGAGAGAAAGTATCTATTACCACCATGACTAGGAACAGGGGCAGGGCCCCACACATCAGCATGTATATATTCAAGGATATCAGTGCATTTTGAAGAGTTAGGGAAAGGAGACACAGGAAATTGGACCTTAGTCTGTTTTCCTAAAATGCATGAGTCACATATGGGCAGTTCAGACACACAGTCATTATCAAGATAATTGTTTTTATGCAAAAGCTCAAGCCCTTTAACACTTATGTGACCTAACCTCCTATGCCAAAGACTAGAATGATCATGTTTAACTGAATTAGCATGCAACAAGGGTTCAGCAGAACACACATACAAATTTTGCATTCTAACAGCTTTAAACACAAATTGATCACCTTTCATGATATTTTGGCAACCATTTCCCCAACTACCATGCAGACCACTATCCTCAAGAACAGCCACAGAAAGCAAATTACTACTCAAATTAGGAACATGTCTCACATTTTTAAGCATAAGTTCAAAACCAGATTCAAACTTAAGGATAATAGTTCCTAAACCAACCACATTTACACCACTGCTATCAGCCATAGACACATTGCCATTTTTTAGTTCCACATAGGATGTAAATAGGTGTCTATTAGGTGTCATGTGGTGTGTGCATGCAGAATCAAAGATCCAATCATTATCACATAGAGATGAAATCACAGAGTTCACACAGTCATGCACAGACTCACCAATCATGAAAACATCACCCAGATTGTCAACAACAACATTAGCCTGTTCATTATTCTTATCCTTTTTAGGTTCAGTGCATTCATTTGCATAATGACCAGTTTTACCACAGTTATAACACTTTCTGCCTTTGATCTTGTTCTTACTCCACTCTTTGCCCTTTTTAGGTTTTTGAAAAGACTGATTTTGGTTGTTATTACTGGAAGAGGCCTTGTGTTGAAACTTGAATTTAGGCTTTCCTTTCACAAAGTTAACATCACCAAAAGATTTGTGACCCTTATTGGTTCTTAAATCCAGTTCTTTGCTTTTCAAACCATTTATGACAGTGTCAAGAGTAACCTGATCTCTACCATACTTAATAGCAGATTTTACATCACTATAAGTGTCAGGAATTGCATTTAAAAGCACAATAGGAGTATAATCATCAATGTTTTTATCTCCAGTTAATTTAATGTCCTGAACTAGCTTTGTAAAAATATCCAGATTCTCATCTATATCTTTACTCAAATCCAGTTTAAATCTGAAAAACTTTTCAAGTAAAAACATTTTTGAGGGCAAAGAGGTTTCAGTGTACAGATCTTGCAGTTTTTCCCATAAAGCTTTAGCATCATCTTGCTTTCCTAATTTTCTAATCACAGAATCACTCAAATTCAAGATCATCAAAGAGTAAGCAAGTTCATCAAATTCAGCTTTCTTAGCAGCAGGTGTGGTATCTTCATAGTTTAGAGTAATAGCTTTAAAACATTTTTGCTGAACTAAAACACCTTTCATTTTCTGTTGCCATATAGAGAAGTCACCTCTCCCATCAAAAGGAGCAACAGGATATGCATTCATGATTCACACAGATGAAAGGCACAGAATCACAAGAAATCACACAGAATCACACAGAATCACACAGAATCACACAGAAATACAGAGTAACACAATAGATAATCAGATTGCCCCCCCCTTTCCAGATTCCTGCGACACTAGGTGGTCCGGACAAGAAAGGGTTTGCTGAGGGCAATCCTAAGCTACACTAACAGTAGGAATAATTGCGGAAAAAATAAACCACATAGAGAGCTGGAAAATAAATCAAGTATGAGCACATCTGCCACACAGGGCCAAGTAGTGCCACACAGGGCCTCCACGCCACACAGGGCCAACTCAATGCCACACAGGGCTCCCAACCTCCACAGGAATAAACCAGGAAACGAAAAAACTAGGGTTTCAGAGTGACTTACCTTATCAGAACCCAGTTAGGTTCTGTAAGCCTTCTTCAAGCAGATCTTCGAGCAACCAAGCTCTGATACCACTGTAGGGAATCTACCCGAAGAAAGCTTACAAATGAAAACTCAAAATAGATGTTAGTAAAATAACATTATAAGATAAGTAAATATGAATGTATGGAAAAACAGAAGTATGAGATTGAAGACAGCTCAGTCTTCCAAACCGATTCACACACACAGATCCACAAAGGTATCCACTGTTACACACACACACACAGTCTAGGATTGCACCATACTCAGAACCAATCCTCTCTCTGCACTCAAACCCCTCAAACCACCCAGATTATCAGTAAGACCACGAAGAAGATGCACTCAGCTTCTTACCCACTCACCACAGACCCAACTCACAGAAGAATAAGGTAAGGTGTTTGAATTTAGGGTTTCAATCTAGGTCTTACCCTCTGCCACACATCTCTCCGCATTAAATAGGGTTTCCAGTCAAAAGGAGCCGTTGAAGAGACAACCACTGGGACAAGCACGGCCAAGGACGGCGGCGAATGGCCCATGGTTGCTGGAGCAAAAGAAGAAAGAAGCAGAGGGGGACCAAAGGAGAGAACAGAGATTGTCTAGGGCACAAAACGGGAAAGGGGGTACAAGGGAGAGGAAAGGTCAGCTATAATGAACGGCTGAGATCACACCAGAACCAACGGTTCAGATTCAAGCCTTCTAGCACATTCCCACTAATGGGCTGGACTTATTCTGGTTGGGCCTTTCCGAATAGACAAGTGTGTGTGTGTAATGGGAAATTGGGCTATAGGCCCAAGACAAATTTGGGCCACAACCACAACAGTGCGTCCGGCGGCGAGATCTACCAATGCTGCCGGAACGAGGAGCGGTGAGCGGTGGTGTATGTGAAGTTGAACGGCAAACGTGCATGGAATTCGGTGGAAAAATCTGGGCTCTGTTTTTGTTTTTTTGTCTTCACCTTTACAACATCAGATACTATTAATTATTTTTTATTATTGTATCAATATCTTATTTTATTATTTAATTATTTTATATAATTATACAGCTGTAGCATGTATCTCAATCAAATTCAACAATTCAATTAATTAGTAATTATATCATTTCTCTTATTTACGCGGTTGACATTTGGTAACGAAAAATTGTAATTAATTAATTAATTAAATGAAATGCTATTTATGGTTAAAAAATTGCTATTTGCGGTTTTTCACAAAACCCCCCAAAACTTTTCGAAAAAATCAAAAAACCCCCCAAACTGCAAATAGCAAAAAAAAAAAAAATCGAAAATTCAAAATCAAGCTTGAAGAAGGGTTGGGCTTCGATTTTTTGATGTAATTTCGACTATTTTATGTGTAATATGCATTGGGTAGATCGATTACGGAACCAATTTCATGTTAAAAAGCCCTACAAATCGATTTGTAGGGCTTTTTTTTTTCGCAAAAAAGTGTTCGAACGCCCGGGCGTTCGTACACGCCTTGGGCGTCCATCTTGGGCGTTCGAACATTTAAAAAAAATAATAATAAATAATTTTTTTTGCAATGGACGCCCAACTCGGGCGCCCAAATGCAGCTTGCACGCCCAACTTGGGCATGCACTGCATGAATGGGGGGGGGGGGGGGTTTGGATTTTTTTGGAAACTTTTGTAGTTTTAGAGAAATAAAGTTTTTTTTGTTATAAATCACAAATAGTAATTTTCGAACCGCAAATAGAAATTCCCATTAATTAAATAGCACTCGTTAATTTTTATATTATTTTAATTAAATGGGCCTTAAGAACAGCCTTTTTTCCGGGTCGCGGATAGTCCAGAGCCCATATATATAGGTAAAGCCCAACCCGACTTGTATTATTGGGGGGCAGCCCAAAAGAAAGTTAAGGGCGTGTTTGTCGGTGAACACCAAATCAGAAGATAAAAAAAAAATCAGCTTATCAGAATTGAAGTGAGAGAGAGTGGCTGCAAACTTTTCGAAAGTTTGACCTAAGAAAAGAAGTTTGAAAAGACGGACCAAAGGCCGGCAGTACAAGGCCGTGGGCCCACTTATCAGGTATTTCTACTATTGGGCCCCACAACTATAGAAATTTGTTTAATGGTCAACTATTTTCTTTAGCTTCCCACTTTCCACGTACCCCATTTTTGGCAGTATTCTCTCATTGCTATTATTCAATTTTTTCATTTACAATTTGGCCCCTCGTTGAACGAATTTGGAGTCAAATAACCTAAATCAAATTATTAACATTGTGCTGATTATTAAGATTAATTAAAACCTCTATTTTTCGTCCTTTAAATTTGCATTAATTACATATTTGGTCCTTTTTATTTCAGAACACAAATTCAGTTCCTTATATTTAAAAAAATATATAATATTTTTTTGTCATTTCCGTCAATTTTTCTTAGTACTTACGAAATCTTGCGCCTATCACTGTTTTAACCGACAGCCGACAGACTAACCGTAAATTGGCAAAAATGTTATATTGTTGAAATATCAGGGTCTAAATCTATTTTTAGTGAACAACAGTGACCAAATATGAAATAGTGGTAAAACTTAAGGGGCGAAAAGTGTATTTTTCATGACTGATTTAGTAAACTGTTAATGATTTATTTCAAAATCAATAATCCATCAAAGTGAATTGTACATTAATATTGTCCTACTATAAGTGGGTAATTAAATTGCACATGATTAGTGGGTCCAAAATATTAACTCCATGAGGATGGCTCTATTTATTATGCTTCTTTATTATTATTAGTTCACTCATTCTAATTTATAAATGATCTTCCCTACCTAGATCGGACCGTAAAACTTCAATAAATTAATAAACTCGATTAAATAATAGTTTATATCGGTTGCAATTCGGAGAAAATATATTAAATTATTAACTTAATAATTTAATAATTCGCTAAATAAATAAAATTATCATAATCCCGACTGTATTAATTTATAGAGGTTTTAACTGTAGTATTTAAAAAAAAAACGTTTTTTTATAATTAATATGTTATTTAAAAATTAATGAATATTCAAATGTCAATATTTTATAATGACGTCTATATGTTCTAGATGATGAATGTATCGTTGAAAAAACAAAAAGTAACACGTGTAATAAATAATAATACCTAAAGAAAAAAAAATTAAGAAAGAATGGATGAATGGTGCAAGGGCGGCCCAAAAGAAATAAGGGCCGGTTGATTATTAATGGAATATTGCGTGTGCAATTTAAATTGGCTTTAACAACATTTATAGAAGTAGACTTTTTTCTTGGTTGCCAAATCCACTAATTAGTAATAAACTCTTAGACTCTTCATTCCTTCAATCAAGCTACCCCACCAATCAAACCATTTTGTTTTATTCTATGACCAATTATGTCAAATTAATCTTAATTGCTCTTTTTAAGTAGCTAATTATGAAGCAATCACTTTAAACGGACGCCTGATCTTTGTCGCTGATGTACAGTTTACTGTGTGAATTTGACGTTCTTTCGATCTTTATGATTTATTCAGATGAAATTGCGATAGTAGCACATGCAGTAGTTGAATTTATTTGAAGATCAAATAATAAAATTAATGATTTTTTTGTTTTTATGAAAAAATTAACGCCCTAAAATTAGGTTAAGTTGCGATTACTTACAAACTTCGATGGTAATTATAGTTCGACCACTATGTACGATTTATCATAAAACATATATCCGTTCCATATGCACAAAAATAACATTGGACCATGAAGCATGGGGCAAAAACCTATAACAAATTACCCATTAAATATAAAATAATATTAGATGGCGATTAAAAATAGATTATAAACTAATAATTAATTAATTAAACTAATTATAAGGCCTAGAATTGATATTCCCCAAAAAACGTGAAGCTGGGTGGTACTGAAAATATAAATACAGCAAAGTCCAATCTTTTCACTCGAGGGAGGAGAGAGATTCCCGGAGAACCAAGCGTGGGCTTAATAATTAAATCAAATTATTTAATTAATTAATTAATTAATTAATTAAATTCTTAATCCCATTATCTTACTGCAAAACAATCAACTTTACGTGCATTACAACTCAGCACACATCGTACTTTGATTGGATATTAAAATAGTAGTATTAAATAATATCAATCAGATTTGCACCTTAACTTAATTCCGTGCTAATTAATTGTCCTTATAAATTATGTAATTAATTTGACATAAATTCGAGAAATATTTTATTTTTATTTTTTAAAAAATAGGGACAGAAGTATCAGCTTTTGGACAAATTAAAAAAAGGACAGGACTAAGGGAGTCCATACTGAGACAGTGCCAACCCATTAAACCATGTCCCTTTCATGAACTGACAATATTACCCCTCATTTAGTCCTATGAATGAATTTATTGTCCGAATCTGACCAAGGGTGATTTAGTCATTAGTTCGTGAAAGAATTACCAATGCTGCTTAATAGTGCACTGTCCCAGTACTTGCCCCACTTGATGCTAACGTGGGACACCTCACTCCTTTTGTTATTTTTATTTTAAAAATATTAATATTTTTTTCTAGAAAAAAATATACATTATTCATTTAAAACCCTAGTGTAATGTGAACTGTTTTAATTAATTAATATTTGAAATTACATTTTTGCCCCGTGAGGGTTTTCGCTTCATTTATTAAGGTTGTCCTACTATTGTTCGAGCAACCAAGATCCTATTTTACAGCAGCATTCAATTTCATATCTTACAAAAAAAGTAGTTATATTTGAAACTATGTCCACAAGATAAATAGACTTAAAAATAGACAAGTCATAATATTTTCTCAAGCATTAATTGTATGGTGAGGTATACAATTCGATTATAAATTGAATGTATTATTTTCTTTATTTGATGAATATAATCTTGCAAACTATGCTGCACGGACACGGATACGTGGACACGGCGATACGCGGATACGGAAACGGTGATACGTCATTTTCAAAAAACTAGGATACGGACACGCGGGGGATACGCGTAAATATAAAAAATATAGGGGTATATTTATAAATAATAAAAATATAGGGGTACATTTATAAATTGTAAAATGTATGTATAAGTCATCATCGCATAAGAGAACCGCTCACCCTTGTTGCTTGTGTTCTTGGTCGCCGTCGCATTCTAGACTTTTGGAGTTTTTGGTGGACTCACAAAGAAAACAGAGGAAATGTGTATTAAAGAAAAAAGAAAATGCGCATTTTTTTTATTAGGCCTCTCTCTTAAAACGTAAGAGAAGTGTCCCAACTTTTTTAAAATTGTGGACACTGGCCGACACGGGTGTCCTACTTTTAGTGAAATTACGACACGGCCCGACACGGGTGTCCGAGAAGTGTCCGGGTGTGTCCGAGTGTCCAGGTGTCGGATACGGGGACTCTTCACCTTCTAGAAGTGTCCGTGCAGCATAGCTTGCAAATGCTATACTTTGATGGGATATAAGAAAAAGTTGTAAAAATATGTAATTTATATATTATTCGATATAAGCCCGATATAAATTCGAAGCCCGGAAAAATACATGGACCGATTTCGAGCATGTGATAATGAGGCCCGATAGTACAGAAGTTTAGCCTATAATGAGGCCCAATTTTTAGATTATTCAATATTATAAAATAATAATAAAAAAAAAGAAATCATATTAGATCATCAAATTGCTAATTATAGTTGTGTTGCTAAGAATGTGGAGTTAATTAAGTACGTATCACACGATGATTGGTTAGCAGGAAGTAAATCATGATTATTACATATCACATCAAATCAAACCATTCTCATTTCTCACATGGTGGTAGTAGATTGGATTTTCAAATGTGGCCCCACCTCTAATCTCCTCCGTCAGATCCACCGTGTATTATGAATCATCAGATTCCCTTTCCTCTATTTCTATTTTAACCCCATATTAATACTATTTATTCATTATTTGCCTTCTTTAACAGTAAGTCAATTAATAGGCCACAATATATTTTTAAATATATTTTTATGCAAGTGTAATAGGCCACAATTAGAGGCAAACAATAATTAAGTTATATCCATACATATTAATAGTAATGAACTTTTCAAACGAAATTTAAGTCACGTCATTGTTTATTAATTAATTTTTGTACATCATAACAAAACATTATTATTTTATTTATTTTATTTAATTTGGACTTAAGGGTGGTTGTTGACTACTCTATACACTTTCTCCATTCCCATTTTTTATTTTTATTTTATCTCTCATAATATAAGATTATTACAAATTCTCTAATTTATTGTTTTATATATATATTATAATTTATAGAAGTAGAAATAAAAATTAATCGTTCCTATTGGCCACGTCACAGTCGCACAAATTTTCTACGGTGGCGCTTGGCTTGAATCAGATAAGGGCCCCCACAGTTAAATCCACCGGCTAAAACACACGTAGGACACGTGTAAACTTCCCACTCGTTAATTCAAACACTAGTTAAATTCTAACCTCGCCAAATATAAAACACTAAAAAAAACCTTATCTTCTCTACATACAGATACAGCCCTCTTTCTCTCTCTATCTTCTCTCTCTAACACACACATCTCAGCCAACCCTGTCGTTCAGATCCAGAGCTCAAACTTTACCATTTTTGCCTCCCATGGCGTACTCGTTTCCTGAGGAAGTTCTGGAGCACGTGTTCTCGTTTTTGAAAACCGACAAGGATCGAAACGCCGTTTCGCTGGTGTGCAGGTCGTGGTACGAGATTGAGAGGTGGTGCCGCCGCCGTGTATTCATCGGGAACTGCTACTCCGTCTCCCCTGAGATCGTGATCCGGCGGTTTCCGGAAGTGAGGGCGTTGGAGATGAAGGGGAAGCCGCATTTTGCCGATTTCAACCTCGTGCCGGAGGGTTGGGGGGGCTACGTTTACCCATGGATCGTGGCTATGTCGGTGGCTTACCCGTTCCTCGAGGAGATCAAGCTCAAGCGCATGGTGGTGACCGACGATACTCTGGAGCTAATCTCCAAGTCCTTTAAGAATTTTAAAGTTTTGGTGCTCTCGTCCTGCGAGGGTTTTACGACCGATGGTCTCGCCTCCATTGCGGCTAATTGCAGGTTACTATCGAAAAACTTCGATTCCAATATTTTATGTTCTGTTTTACTATGTTTTGGTTTAGCTGCGATGATTTGGTTGCATTTTGCTTGGATTCAGTGAATTTTTGAGCTCTAAGAAGTAAACAATTTGTCGTTTCCTGCTGAATGCCCATGTTTATTTAGCATAGTGTAGTGTTATAACGTTTTAGATTTATTAGGGTTTATTCGCAGATGTGCAGGCTAATGCTTAGATTTATGCTGGGGTTTACGCACAGGCCTAGCGCTAGAACTATAAGTTCAGCTTAAATGAGGAGACCTTTTGTTTTTTTTTTGCTATAGCTTGTCGATTCGCCATTCATTACTTTGCGGATGAATTAATTGTGGACTTTGTGTAAATTATGTATCCGTTTAACTTGGGGATGTGCAAGTAAGATTTATTTGTATGTGGGGTGATTTGGTATTGTCTAAATTTTTTCATTACTGCATAGATTCTATGTTCTCCTGCTCTTATGTAGGTGCTTTTGAACAATCATCCGTTTCTTCTGTTTTCTTCCTTCGATTTTTACTCGTTGTCTGCAGTTCTGTCAGCTTATGTTCTATATGATATTGAGATGGGTCAACACACTTGCATTATGACTTAGTGAAGTAGTAGGCATATTGGGAATAGTTATTTACTTTGAAATGGTACCTCTGTGGACTATCGACTATGACCGTAGTTACTTACTGTTATACTTGTGAACTTTTAGAAACTCTTTTTGGACAACTGAAGTTTCTATAATGGTTGTATTATCTTCAATGCAGGAATCTCAGAGACTTAGATTTGAGGGAGAGTGAAGTGGAGGACCTGAGTGGGCATTGGCTTAGCCATTTCCCCGACAACTGCACCTCATTGGTGTCACTCAACATGTCTTGCTTAGGCTCTGAGGTGAGTTTCTCCGCCTTGGAGCGCCTGGTTGCCCGGTCACCTAATCTGAAGACTCTTCGCCTGAACCGTGCTGTACCCCTTGAGAAGCTGAGTAACCTACTTCTCCGTGCCCCACAGTTGGTTGAACTAGGCACTGGTGCATATTCAGCCGAGGTTCGATCTGACACCTTTTCGAACCTGACTGAAGCATTTTCAGCCTGTAAGCATCTGAAAGGCTTGTCAGGATTTTGGGATGTAGTTCCTGCTTATCTTCCAGCCATGTCTTCTGTCTGCTCTGGACTCACTTGGCTGAACTTAAGCTATGCTACCATTCAAAGTTCTGATCTCATCAAGCTTGTTACCCAGTGTCGGAATTTACAGCGTTTATGGGTACGTTTCTAGCTATTGATTATTAATCATTATTACCATTAAATGCAGTATTCTTCTACCCACTCAATTATATTTGTCAACTAATCGAGCACATGACACACACACGCAGGTTCTTGATTACATTGAAGACAGTGGTCTAGAAGCCGTTGCAGCATCTTGCAAGGATCTGCAAGAACTTAGGGTATTCCCATCAGATCCTTTTGGAGCAGAACCTAATGTGTCCTTGACAGAACAAGGGCTCGTCTCTGTCTCGGAAGGCTGCCCTAAACTGCACTCAGTTCTCTATTTCTGCCGCCAGATGTCGAATGCTGCTTTAGTTACCATTGCAAGAAATCGACCTAAGATGATTCGTTTTCGACTCTGCATAATCGAGCCTAGAGTTCCGGATTACTTAACCCTCGAACCACTCGATACTGGCTTCGGAGCCATCGTCGAAAACTGCAAGGAATTGAGACGCCTTTCCATGTCAGGCCTGTTAACAGATCGTGTCTTTGAATACATCGGGACCCATGCAAAGAAATTGGAGATGCTTTCGATAGCTTTTGCTGGAGACAGTGATTTGGGCTTACACCACGTGTTGTCTGGTTGTGAAAGCCTAAGGAAACTAGAGATTAGAGACTGTCCGTTTGGGGACAAGGCTCTGTTGGCCAACGCTGCAAAGCTGGAGACAATGCGATCCCTTTGGATGTCTTCTTGCTCCGTTAGTTTCGGAGCATGTAAGCTGCTTGGTCAGAAGATGCCGAGGCTCAACGTTGAAGTGATTGACGAGAGGGGCCCGCCCAATACGAGGCCCGAAAGCTGCCCTGTCGAGAGGCTGTACGTTTACAGAACTGTTGGTGGAAGAAGGGATGACATGCCTGGTTTCGTTTGGAATATGGATCAAGATTTTTCGACCTTTCGTGATTCGCAAGAGCAAGAAAACGGGAATTGAATTTTATCCATAATATTCGCCGATGAGTGAAGAGTGAAGCAGGTATATGGGTTGTTGTATGTGGTAAGTGAATGTACTTTTTAATTTGAGGTTGTGCTTTATGTGATTGCAGTGCCAGTGAGAGTTGGGGAAAGAAGGCCAAAAAGAAAAGAGAAGTTGGAGCTCAAATGCCATCATTTTTTTTATTCACTTGGCTCTGAGCTATTTCACTGCAATCACATACTAATAAAACAATTTATTTATTTTTAATTTATTTATTTGGTGATGAGATTCATTTGTTATCATTACATGTATGAGTAATTTGAGATTTTTGGAAGTAATTATGTAAGAACTTTGTTCAGACTTGTGCAAGCTTTTAGCTGTATTGTTCTTAATTATTTAATGCTCATGTTTTCTTGAGTAGGTTCCAGTTTCAGTCTACTTTCAGATCTTGGCAATAAATTGTGTATCTAAAAATATATATTAAATAATAGTGATGTGTAAAGTAATTTAATGATTATTTATGTTGTTTAATGAGTTGTAATAAAATAATGGGTAAAAACAAAATACATTGGTAATTTGAGTGCAAGTTATATAATATGGACATTGGATAGATGACATGTGACGACCACCAGTGCTAGTAAAAGGTCACATACCCTCTCAGAGCATCAAACAGTCGTCTACATTTTTAAAATTCAATATTAATATACCTAATAATTAATAAATACTCTACACTACCTACCTCAGGCTAATAATAATAATAATAATAATAAAATAATAAACATATAATTTTTTTGAAAAAAGAAAAAGGAGATAAATCATTTATGGGTAGATAGTAACGTAACATAAAAAACCAACTGTTGGAGTGGAAAAAAAAAAAGAAAAAGGAAAAGGAAAGGCTGACATCTGGGGGTAGGGTAGGGGTGGGGTACATAACCATCTGCATCACTTGTGAACAAACACTTCATTGCCTTTCGATTCTCTCTCTTTCTATCTCTATCTATATATGCTTTCATTTATTATTTCATTCACCTATCATTTATTATAACAATTACCAGTTATCTGTCAATTGACCCAAGCTCGAATCCAGTTGTCAGCGATCGCTAGATGTAACTTGACCCAAGTTCGATTCCCGTTGTCACCGGTCGCTAGATGTAACTTGTTGTCGTACATGACATGCCTAATTCAGTTTAGGCCTATTATATATATTCTTGATTATTAGAGATTTAGATAGATGAATGCTGCTACACAAAAATATATACTATCAGGAATTAGATTTTGATTAAAGTGAAACAGATTCAACAATCTTTCTTTGCAGGTTCTTTCTTTGTTTCTTGGGCTAAATACAGTTTGCACCCTTAAACTATAAGGGTGGTAACACTTACCCCCTTAAAGTTACAAATGTAACACTTACCCCCCTCATTAATGAATTTAAAGATATAACTTTGACTTTGAATGATGTGGCATTTTTTCTTCCCAAATTGTCCTTCTAGCCATTAAATAAATAATGAATATGTAATAATAAAAAATTCGGCAACTTTGCCAAAACTTAATTTTATTATTTCAATATTGTAAATTTATGAATGAAAAAAATTGAATTTTAGTTTATTTTTGTTTTACCTTGTGTTCATTTGTAGCTAATAAAAAGTTAACGATTATTCGAATTGTAATTATAATTTTATAGTTTATATAGTTATTTTAATGCGTATATGACTCTAATATAATCATCTCACTTATTATTTTGAGAATCACAAAATGTATTCAAAAGTTAATAAGAAATTATAATTTAAACGTCTAAATATTTAAATATTATTTTATTAAAATTTATATTTAAGTAACTTAAATAAATTTTCAAATCAATAATTATTATAAAAAAATTGGCCATTTAAGTCTTGAATATTTTTTTCTTGCGAATGTTTAACGTATTTTATATATTTTTTAAAATATTGAGATTTTTATTTATATTAGGGTCTATAGTAATTAAAATGTGGAGTTAAACATAAATCAAAATATTTTTTTAATAATTATTATATTTTATAAATTTTAGTTTTTGATATAATATTGAAAATATTTTATTATATATGCATCAATATAATAGCTAGAAGGACAATTTGGGAAGAAAAAATGCCACATCATTCAAAGTCAAAGTTTATCATTAAATTCATTAATGAGGGGGGTAAGTGTTACATTTATAACTTTAAGGGGGTAAGTGTTACCACCACTATAGTTTAAGGGTGCAAAGTGTATTTAGCCCTTGTTTCTTTCTCTTTGACTCTGACAAAACGTGATACTTTAAATCTGTAATTATGTTGTTGTCCAAACAAGTCAAATTTGCTTTAAATATGGATCACTGTTTTTAGTCCTACAGCAACTAGGGGCTTGAGTTTTATTATTCAATGTCTGAATCTCACTTTACATAAACTTGTGGACAATATAAATTAATATTTCATGGGGGCCAAAAAGACTTCTAAATAGATTTTACAAAGTCATCATCGTCACATACAACTTAATTTTATACCGTCTGAATTGTGGGGGCAAGGAGAAAACCCTATAAACAACAATATTAGTGACAACAAAATATAAGAAAAATAAAAAAAAAAGGGATCTTACGAACATTTAACTAGTCGGACCTTGAAGCGATTCTAGAAGATGCTCGATTCTGTATTTCATTACAGGCTGACCGGATTTGGTTTTCTTGTACATTTTCTCCTTGAGAGCTCTTCTTCGAGCTTCAGATTGCTGTTTTGCTTCCTTCTTTGTCTGAATAAAACGTTCCTTCTCCATCTTGGCTTTCTCTTCTTCCTCGTGCTTCTTCTTGTACAACTCCTCAAGACTTCGTGCATTTTTCTTGCTTCTCTTGTTCTGATTAACATTATCACCTTCTTTTGTTTTATTACCACCCTGTAGCCACAGATAGAACCGCAAATTATGCCAAACTTTGACCAACAAATTCACTAACGTTGCATTTTTCATGGAAGAGATTTGGGGGATCTAATCACTCGTATAAATAGGATTCCACGTTTTAAATCGCTCATAAGCTCGTGGGAATTGTGAGTTTTGGATTTCCAATAACATAATTTAGATACTTCAATCCAAACGGAGCATTACATAATCTACAAAAACACATATAACCACAAAGAAAAAAAAACAAGGATTGGATTGAGAAATAAAATCCGAACCTCTACTGGTGTTTTGTCTGTCGAAGGAAGATTTAGCTGCTCCTGTTGCTGATTAACATCATCACCTTCATTGGTTCTATAAACATCCTGTAGCAACAGTAAGAAGTGCAAATTAGACCAAACTTTTCCACAAATTCACAATGGTTGCATAGTTTTATGGAAGGATTTGGATTTGAAGGAGTGGTTTGGGAGATCAAATAACTCATATAACACGGATACTACATATAAATAATCGCCATTGATCTGAAATGAATTACAAAACAAATATATCCAAACAAGTTCGCGGGCTTTGTGATTTCATATTTCCAATAATATATTTGAATCCGTCAAATCAAACGGAACATAACATAATAGCAATACTATAATAAACTTTCACAGAGCATACCAACACAAACACACACAAACAAAAATAAACTAGAGGAGAAAAGAACCAGGATCGGATTGGGAAATAAAATTTGAACCTCCAATGGTATTCTGTGCGCGGAAGGAAGATTTAGCTGCTCTTGTTGCTATAGCGACCTCTTGTACTTCTGCACGCACTTTGCATTTTTATAGAAGGCGCAGCTGTCTTTTCTACAAAATAAAAAAGCCGGTGATTACACAGTTGACGCGTTAATGATAAGCACTCATATCTCAGAATTCTAAACATAACCATAATCTCGGTAATAGGAAATAAAGAAACCAACTATACACAGTTGACGCGTTGGAAATCTACAGAAGAATTAACACACACATGACACAACGCTCACCTAAGTGATGGGTTTGGGATTCAGAAGATACACTTAAACGATTCAATACACAATTTTTTAGGTCTCCGAAACCCAAATAAATTCGTTCTTTGCCCAAAAGTTTGAAACTACTCAGTTTCACCCACCCTCTAATAATCAAATTGGACCACCCATTCACTCTTGACTGCAATCGGACAACTACATACGAATATTGATCATCGTAAACCCTAATCCAAACTTTCAAATGGAAGATACATGTATAAAATAAAAATTAAATTAAACATGATATAAATTCATTGCGGATATTTCAAATTATAACTTGAATTCTCACTCATGTACAACATTAAAACAACTTTTTTACCGCCTATTTTTTCTCCAGAAGATTGATATAAAATCATCATATGGACACAATTATTCATCAATCAGCTCAATTTTCAGCTACTTAATTAATACTTGCCACTAAATTCAACTAAAGCAAACAGAAGGAAAAAAATGCTTCAAAAAAGGGGAAGGAGAAACATACTGATCAAGGAAGGGTTATAATTGTCATTCCTCGTCTTAGCATTCACGAATGATTCGAGCGAAAGGCCGCCCTTTCCTCCCAATCTCTGCATATTTTTCTTCATCTTCTTTTTGTTCGAGATGAAATCCTGACCGCCCATTTTATTCCCTTTAATTCCATTACGCCCCGAATCTCCTCCACCTTTCTTCATTGCGCTACCATGAAAATTCAGATATTTCAATCCACTCTCACAAGCCCTAATTGCAGCAATCGAAATGGGGATTTAGGGTTTACGAAGCAATAATGTTCCGGTTTTCTCCTACCCGTTTTTTTTTTTTTAGATCTCCCGAATACATATTGGGCCGATTTATTAAAAAAATAATAATAATAATAAATATTGGGCCGGGTATTGTACAACCCGCTCTTTGTGCCCATTTAGCCTTATAGGGCTATAGCTGAGTCCGAACGAAATTAATATTGGACTATTATACCCTTTAAATTTTATTTCATGTTACATAAATTATACAGCAATAAAGTAAATATTAATATACAAAATAATATTAAAGTTAATTGAGATTATATTGCTAAATATCATTTTAAAATTTAATATCTCGTTTTCAGATGTTTAGTTTTTTTTTCCATGCTAAATAATAAACAAAAAAAACTTGTTAAATTGAAATCTCTCTCTCTCTCTCTCTCTCTCTCTCTCTCTCTCTCTCTGTTTGTTTGTTTGTTTGAAATGAGATATTAGAATATCTAAGGATGCATGCAATACATAGTAAATGAGATAAACTTAAACTAAGCTCCCTAAAAAAGAAAAGATAAACTAATCTGCAGATAATTGATTATAAACCTTATCTTATCTTATTGTTTGTCTCTACATGAACTACTACTATTATCTTTGGAAATAAAAAAAAAATATCTGAAAATGAATAAAAAATCTCTTCTTTTATTAAATTTTGTATAAAAATGGGATAAAATGAGAAATTAATGGTTATTTTCTATAATTGACAATTTATTAGTTAGCTGTTAAATAGCCTTTTCATCTTTTAATTTTCTCATTATGAAAATATATATATATATATATATATATATATATATATATATATATATATACATCTAAATTGCAATTTTGGTTAAAAAAACAACCAGAAAAAACGAAACTGACAGAGTGCAAAACAAGAATAGATTTGATTACATTGGACTTTGTTACAACACAACAAATAATTATTACATTATTACAAAATTAGGTTCTACATTTGTCTATTATTTATGGCCTCTAATTAATTACCAAAACACACAACATAAAATCATTTACGTATGATCGATATGCATCGATTATTAAGGTATTTAATTATTTCACCACGTAGGTTCGTTAGACTGGAGGACAAACAACTATATTTGCAGGGACTTGTTCACCGTAATCAAGAACGTTGACAACGAGCTCTAGTTCGTGCTTCACCGTTGGATTCTCCGAATCACGATCTTGTGGCTGAGGATCGATGGCTTTCATTTCCACGATGATTGTACTTGTTTGGAGATCATGAACTTTGGTAATTTCTACGGGGAGGATATTCTTTTTCGGATTCTTGTTCTTGTACACGACGTATAGAGTCATCTGTGCGATCCCCAATACGAATCCCACTATGTTTGGTGTCTGAAAAGTATATCATGTAATAATTATAACAAATGTTAGAAATAGATGTTAATTAAGGAAAAATAAAGAGGAAAAAAAATAGTAATTAAAGAAGTATAGATAATTAATTAACATGCATGCACTCACGGCGATGTAGAAATCGTGTATCAGAAATCCGTAAAAGAACCATACGACAGCGCATATGGTTAGGAATAAAGAAAGTGTAAATGGCATGAACTCGACGCTTTTCGTCTGTATGACTCGCCTCTGCATATATGAATACGAATTCGATGTAATATATATAATTAATGAAAATTATTCAAGAATATAAATTAAACGAATTGATTTTGTTTATTTATTTACCATAATACTAAGAGGGGCAGCAAAAACACTAACGGAAAAGGCTGCGCAAATCCATCCAACAATTTTGAGACGTGTATCGCCGTTTGCAAGAAAATGTGTTACTGCAATAATAAATCCGAGCGATGACACATTGAACAGCATCAGCAGCTTCGTCGTAAAGACCTGCAATTAATTATTAATTTACCACAAATTAATAAATATTGCATGAACTGAATTTTATATATAGTCAATAGAAATAGATAAAATTACTCAAATTAAATAAATTCGAAGAAAGTATATAATATTTACTCTGGATTCTTTCGTTGCATAAATCAGGTACGTTACGAGATAGCCAACTTCTACGACGCTTCCGAAAGAGTTTATCGTGACGAGAATCAAAACGTTTGTCTTCAGAAAAGCGTAGTACAAATACAGCATGGCGCTGAATAACGCCACCGAGTAAGGGATCGACTGAAATCCCTCAGTCGATTTCTTCTTGAATATCCGATAAAACGTTGGCCTGAAATGACGACAACGCATGCAAAACAAAAATAAATAAATAAAATCAATATATAAATAAATATCGAAATTTATAATCTTATACACGAAAATAATTAATACGAAAATCGTACGAGACGGTCATTACATTGGGGATAAGTAAACCAAGAACGACACTATGTTGCCTTCAAACGAAAAAAAAAAAAAGTTAGGACAATTAATATTTCATTAAAAAAAATCAAAAAATGAAAACGAGGAAATTCGAAAGGAGTTTATAGTAATTATTAATACCAAGAACGCCGAAAACCGTGGCCACCATGGGAGTAGCCATTCTTGACAAGAGTGAAGTTCTTGGTTTTTCGAGTTTGAATTTAATTTGTTATATCAGCTATGATGAGAAATGCTTCTCATTTTTGTTGAGATTTATATAGCCTTCAAAAAGTTTGGCTTTGATCTGTCTGACAACTGTTCACAAATTAATTACCGTAATTTTTTATTTTAATTTGTTTTATTAATTACAAAGGTTAAGGTTAATTACTAATTAGTTAGAGTTGAACTGGAAAGCTTGGCTTTGAAGCTGTCATATGTTAGTTATCAACTCATTTATGTTTTCTTGTTTAAGTTTGTAACCTTCTTCTATCTCACTTGATCCGCTTTCTCAAGTTATTGCAAATGTGAAAATCTATAGCTACAGTTATTTTATTCAATATTTTAATTTATTCTATAATGTTTTGAAATATATCGATTTTTTATATACAATATGCTTGATTTTCTAGTAGTATGGTTTAATTATTTTATTTTATTTACTAAAAAATACTGTTTTTTTAATACTTTCACAAATAAAAGAATAGAAAGTTAATAATAAATTTAAAAAATAATACTATTATACAATTACATGAGCAGCTAAGCCAAGCCGCATTGAGCGGAGCCGTTGAAAGCCGTTCAATTTCGTGAAGAAACAAAATTGATTGATGAAGACAAAGAAGGCAAACTAACGGTTCTGATTGTTTGTACGTAGAGAATGGAGGGCTGTGATTGCACGGGGGATTTTGATTTTGTTAGGGGGGCCCACTTCCGTTACGTTTCTTTATACACGGCTTGCCTTTTATACCCATTCCCTAAATTTTTCATACTCCACCATTTAATTTCCATATGTTCTCAATATAAATTAATTAATCACATTAATGAAATTGATCCCACGCATAAATAGACAATATATATTTATTTCAAAATTTTCTAAAATGTGAAAAATTCTCGATTTTCGGTCGACAACAGCATAGTACGCTATCGTATGCATGATCATGGAATGGAACACAAAGATAAAAATCGATAATCATAAGAATTTACGTGAAATGTACGAAAAAGTCACAGTGAGAGAGAAAACTAATTCGCGAATCTATCTTACTATAAATTGTTGTTTTAGGATTTATGATTAATTAGCTTTTCGACCAATCATTGAGTAATTGAAGGATTGATGACTACGCTCTGTTTTTTGATCCATGCATCTTTTGTGGTTAAGAAATAACATTATGAAATTTATTTGTCAAATTCAATAATTAGTGTGGTTGTTGATGATGGATAATTTTGCCCATATTGTTAAGTTTACAACTCATACTATTCTCTAATCAAATAGTTTTTTTCTTTCTTTATTCCAATTTAGTTGTACAATTGAACATCGATAAATTAATAATTTCGTTTAAATAATAATTCCTTCCGACTCTGCCTCTATAAAAACCTACTAGATTACTGATTCGATATTTAATATTTTGCTAAATTAATAGGATTTTGCTAGTCCCGACAGTATTAATTTATAAATATTTAATTGTACATATAACGATGTTTCACTCGTGAGGAAATAATTTTGTCAATAATAAATTAAAGCAAATAATCTTAAAGAACATATCACACTTTGTTCTTGAATAATCATCCTTCTGTAAGTTAGGGCAAAGGTATTTTCAGTATTATTATAATGGTCCTATCTCTCCCAACACAATTAGTGGGTTGAGCTCATTATTTGGAGATTTGATTAATGGGAGAAAAGATTATGTTTGAATTTCAATGGCTTTGTATATAATGATTAAATTAATCATGCGATTCACATACAGTGCAACTCATCAATAATAAATTAAATTAATACTCCATATTCTATCGTAGGTGTGTAAAATAAGGTGAAATATATACTATACTAATAAATGGGTGCATTTTATTGAATGTAACATAGGCAGTATTTAATTCTTAAGACATTCTTGAATTTCTAACGCTATTAATTGAATTTGGACATCATCTTGATTAAGGCAATGATTATCTGCAATCATTAAACTCTCTCTCTCTTTGATTATTCGTGAGGCATATAATTATTTTTTCAAGGGCAGATTTGGTAAATTAACATTGCGTCTTCTATCTTAGCACCACCATTAGTAGCACCACCATTAGTGTATTTTAAACGTACATTGTTCTAATTCTATATGCTTGTCGTGTACCGATAATATTTTAAATTAAAAAAAAATAAAATCATAATTTGTTAATGCTAATTCCTATTTCCAAATATCATTGGTAGGAAAATTCAAACTTTGACTAATTAACATATGCTCACTTGTTCCAACAGCTAAGAAATTTCATATGGAACATATATATTGGATTATTTAATTATATTGTTGTGTACGTTACAAGTGATAACTAAAAATGTATTCTTTTTGTAAAACTAATTTGGTGATTTTTTTTGTCTTTATTGAATATGCTTTTTAAGCGAAATTGGTTATGGTGGTGGACCTATTCGACTTCAATTCTTTAGCCTGCAATTTTGTTATTAATTAATACTATATATATATTTGGCACATAGATTATTTTGTGAACAACTTAACTTGCCTTTATAGTTATGGGCTCATTTTGATCACGAAGAACTTCACGTGTCGCCGCATCTTCTCCTACTTGACCTCAATTTTGCTATTAATTGAATTTTTTTTTGTGCTTTTTAAATGCAAAGAAAATCATCCAAAAATAAATTTTAATCATATTATTTTCCATCAATGATAAAAATAAAATACGTATAGTGTATATAAAATTAAACCATCATGTCTCTAAAATCCAACATTGGGTGCAACATCTAAGCATAGTGTTAGTACCAGTATCAATATCGTGATTGATTATTTAATTTTACGATGAATATATCTGTGTGCATCGGACAGGTAAAATACAAAAGTAGATACACTTGTATTTAATAAAGCCCATTAACAAAAGGAGCAGAAGCCCATTAAGGGAAAAAGGAAAGGCCTAACAGAGTTGGGCCGTGTTGTAAATAGCCGTGTCCGTGTGTGTGATCCTTTTTATTTATAGGTCCATCTATTCGCAAATATGTATATTACTAAGCCAAGAATTTACTAATATGCCCATACATTTTATTACAATTTACAAGGCAAAAATGCAAATCAAGCACCCTCACCAGAAAAATCAGAAAACCCTCACCCCGACGGAAAACCTTACCGCTGCCGCTGCCGGAAAACTCAGCCATCATCGTCGCCGCCGCCGTATAATCCGGCCATAACCACCACCGTGCACAACAACCACACTTAGCTGCCCTAAGAAATGAAAAACACGACGAAAAAAAACAAACCTCACTTCACGACCAAACACCCCCACCCCGTCGGATTAGCAACCTCACCGTCACCGATGCCGTAAAATACACAAATCAGTCGCCACCGTCTTCGTATAACCCAGCCATCACTCTTTACAGATTACAAATTGGGGTTTCGAGGTTTTCCTAATGGTACCACCCAATGATGCTGTGAATTAGAATGTACCACCACCTTCTGCACAATACCCCTTTCAACATTGTTCCGGCCAGTCTCCCGTTACAATCGCACTCTTAGTTGGACGATTTAAGACGTCGAGAGTGAAACCCCTTCAGCTTGGACTCCGGTGGCCGTCGTAGCTAGAACGCGAAGGAGATGTGGCGGGTAAGATGGATACTTATTTCTGTGTACCATTCATTCGCACGTGCTAACTTGTTTTTGTATTTAATTCGTTTAGGCAACGATGGGCGGAGTGCTGCCAGGGTATGGGCATCTGAGTGCACCTGATATCGAGGGTAGTGAGGCATTTTATAATTTCAGTTTGGCTGAAAGATTTCCTGATTCTGGCAGAGGGAGGTGTGTCTTGTTGCTCTCGGTACGCACTTTTTAGCACATATCTTAACAAATTGTTTGTTCGGATATATAGTATAGCCTTTTCTTTTAGGTTACTGTGAAGTTTGTTTGTTGAAGTAATACTTGGTTTATTTTTCCCCGCCGGTACTTAGATAATTGATTTTTTGCTACAATGGCTGCAGATTGTGGCTCCGGGATAGGGAGGAGATTGTGGCTCCAGGATAGGGAGGGTCCCCAAAAACCTTCTTATAAGATATTTTAACGAGGTATGCGTATATTCTCTATTAAATATCTTTTACTTTATATTGCATACATCACGTATTGGTAGCTTAAACCATCATATTTGTCTCTGGCGCTAGTGATGATGTTGGTTTCGATTGTTGTGAAAAAAACGACATCAAGAAGCTCTTGATTTTTGGAGGCATTTGTCGACATTTAGATGTCGTTTTCTGCCACAATAATTGACATCTAGCTGTCAATTGCCTGCCCCTTTATATATTTTTTATTCAATGAGCAATGGTCTATTTATATTTAAGAATTATAAGAAAGATGATATATAATATTTTGTGGCACGTGATTCTCAAAATCGAGCATAAAGGATTTTAACATAAAGAAGTTCATGAAATTAAAAACTTGTTACTAGATACCATTAATCAAACTGACATTATTTATTAATCTCAACATGAATAATAAAATACTACATCAAGAATTCTTAGAGCAATCTTCTGGATAGAAAACCAACCTTTTATTCTTGACATCATGGATTATCCTCTGATTCGTTTGCTGATGCGACCCGACAATGGACATCGTATCACTCCGAACCATCGCCAAACAAAAGTACTCACGAAACCTCAAAGGGCGAAACCGCTCCACAACCTCAAACACCGCCTCCGCCTTCATAACAAACCCTGATTGTGACCCTCGAAAATGGAAAGTAACAGAAGGCAGCTTATTAAACCCTTCTGGATTATTCATCCTCTGGTAGCACAATTCCAGCCCTAAATCGCCGCTCATTTTCTTCAAATCTTTAAATTTCATAAAGTACTTTTCGAGCTCAAATATCAGTACGTCGAAAGCAGGTGCAATGATTCTTGAATACGGTGTGCCGGAATCGATTATGCAGCCGCCCAATGTGCCGTTGTTGTTCTTGAAGTCAAACACTTTTGGGTTGATTTTAAGCCTGTTTCTGTTGATGCTAATGCCCTGTAGTTCAAGATAGTAAGTGCTGCTTCCGTTTCTCGTGTGCAATGGTGTACTTTTGTAGTTCTTTGGATAAGTTATATCATCGCCAAATCTTAGATATGTGTGTGGTGTTTTAGTTGACAGAAGTGGCAAACAGTATGAAAATCTGCCTTTGATTCGTGGGCTTAATTGTTTCGCAAATGATAAATCCTCTGTCCCAAGTCCCAATATTCCAGCAACCTTGTTGTTTCTACAATTATCGTATTGAATGACATTGAGCAAACCACACCCGAATCTTAAGTTTTCGATTTTTTCCGATTTGCCATTGTTTGATTTGAAATAGAATGTTTCTTTGGCGATGATCCCGTGAGTGCTGGCTCCATCTGCGTATTCGTATTCGTACTGTTTTGGCACATTATTTACGAGAAGGGGGTGAAAAGAAGAGGAGTTTTGTTTGGGAAATGGACTTGGTGTTTGCTTAAAGCATTTTGTGCAGCCTTCACATTGGATCCATACTAGGCTGCTCCCTGTGTCCATTTCTAGGTAGTACTCTTTGTATGGTGGTTTCGATTTGAATGTTCCGATCCCGATTTTGACTATGTAATGAAACTTTTGAACATCGATTTTGGTTCTCATGATTGATGATGATGTTTTTGCGAGGTAGTTGTTAAAGCATGTGTTGGATTGGGATACGCAATTTTTGATTCTTTCTTCGGAGGAAAGATTGAAACTCTGGAAAAACGGAGATTTTGGGGAGTGTGGATGGATTAGTTGTAATGTGAAACCATTGGAGTTGGCAAGAAGAGCATTGGTTATTACAAGTATTAAGTTAGCAAGAGAATATAGTGACAGCAATTTTAGTACTTTCGCCATTGCTAATATTAATCAAAGTGTTGGATTTGCATAGTAGTTGTCTATGTTATATCTATAGTTGCATTGACATGATGGTTATTTAATTGTTTTTTCTATTTATAGTTGCATTCAAAAGTATATCCCTTAGAGATAATAAGAGATTTTTGTGTAGATGTGATGCTTTTAGCACATAACATATCTGGAAAGTGGATGTAGAAATTTATTACATATAAGTGTACTTCAAATTTATGACAGATCAATCCTTAACTTTCAGACAGATTATAACAGATATGCTTTTAGCAAATGCAAAAGTTTGATGTTTTCCCGTTAAAATGTCGATTCTTGGAAGTTTTAAATATCCATGTTAAATACATATTCTATTTCATGAACTTAACTTATACAACTGCATCATTTATTCTAGAAAATTTGAGTACATAACTCTCTTATTACTCAATGTCATGGATTCTTAGAACAATCCACTGGATAAAAAACGAGTCGCTTATTCTTAGTATCATATACGATCCTATGATTTGTTTGCTGATGCGATCCAATAATTGACTTCCTACTATCACGAACCATTCCCAAACAAAAGTACTCACGAAGCCTGATTATTGATCGACCAACAACCTCAAAAACTGCCTCAGCCTTCATTACAAAGTCTGCTCCTCTAAAATGTAAAGTAACTTCAGGTAGATTATTATACTTTTCGGCCTTGCTCCTCTCGTAGCACAATTCGAGTCCCAAATCTCCTTTGATTTTCTTGAGCCCCTTAAATCCCGAAAAGTACTTCTCCAACTTCATCTTCAATAAATCAAAAGCAGGTGAAACGATTCTTGAATAAGGCATGCCTGAGTCGATCATGCAGCCTGACCTAACATCATTCCTTAATGCAAATACTTGTGGGCTTATATCAAGCCTTGTTTTATTAACACTAATGCCTTGTAGATCCACATAATACGAGTTGTCTTTGTTCTTCCTATATAATGGGGTGCTTTTCGAGTACTTTTCTATGTGGGATACATCTTCTCCGAATCTTAGATAAGTACTAGGTGTTTTGTCTGAAACAACAGGAAGACAGTACGAGAATACGCCTTTGATTTGAGGTCCGAGTTGTTTAACGAACGATATTTCTTCCCATCCGAGTCCCATTATTCCAGCAATCTTGTTGTTTTTTTGTTCCCCAAAATGCATATTATTGACCAAACCGCACCCGAATTTCAGGTTTTCGATTTTTGCTAACCCTCCGTTTTTTGAAGTGAGATAAAATGTTTCTTGGGCTGACATGCCACTGGTGCTGTCTCCATCTTGATACGCACACTCATAAAACGAAGGCTTATTCTCGACGAGAATAGGGCGATAGGAAGAGGAGTTCTGCTTGGGAAACGGCTTTGGTGTTTGCTTGAAGCACTTTGTGCAGCCATCACATTGCATCCATACAAGGCCGCCGCCTGTGTCCATTTCTAAGTAGTACTCTTTGTATGAAGGTTTCGATTTGAATGTCCCGATCCCGACTTTGACTGTGTAATGAAATAGTTGTGTCTTAATCTGCGTTTGCATGGTTGAAGATGATGTTCTAGCTAGATAGTTACCGCGTATATACGATTGGAATACTGAAGTTTTGATTCTTTCTTCAGAAGAGAGATTGCCTTGGAAAGAAGGCGATTCTGGCGAGTGTGGATGTATCAGTTTTACTGTCAAACCATTGGAGTTGACAATAGTTGCTTTGTTTAGTGTAAATATTAAGGTAGAAAGAAAGCAGAGTAATAATAATGTTTGTGCTTTTGCCATTGCTAATCAGTGCGCGTGAGTTTTTCGCATATGATTATTTTTATGAGGGCTCAAGCTATTTTATTGTGCAATTGACATAATTACTATTAGCATAAATCAGATAATGGGAGTTGCTGATTCTACAATATCTTAGTTTTAATTGAATTAATCCAAAGTGTGGCTTCTGTAATCTACAGTCTGTATGCAGATAGAGTTCTCATAAATGAGCAATCAACTTTACCAATGATTGATATCTTCATTTATTACTTCTTGCATTGTTTGTGTGTGTGTTTTCTTTTTTTAAATATTTGTTTTTGCATCCACAGGTTAATTAACCTCATTATTACAGATTTCAAAAGAGAGTACAAAGCTACCAACGACAAACTTGTGAAGTGCTAACAAAACGTTGACAGACGAATACTGGTTTGTTTAAACTGCATCTTCTATATGAATACTTTTTTAGTACTGAACATATCTGTTGATTCTTGATTATTATTTCTAAATCTGACATTGACGCAATTTCTACTACAAACAGTACATTAATTCAGGAAAAAATCAGAGTAAGTAAACATTAATTTATGGATTCTTAGAACAGTCCACAGGATAAAACACGAGACACTTATTCTTTACATCATGGATAAGTCTGTGATTTATTTGCTGATGAGATCCAATAATGGTCTCTGTACCATCCCGAACCATCGCCAAACAAAAGTACTTTCCAGCAACCACAAAACTGCCTCAGCCTTCATAACGAAATCTGCATGCGTGCCACGTAAATGTAAAGTAACACTAGGTAGATTACTATACTTTTCGGTTTTGCTGCTCCTCTCGTAGCACAAATCCAATCCCAAATCAGTTTTGATCTTTTTGAATCCCTTCAATCTCGAAAAGTACCTTTCCAGCTCTAGTTTCAGTACGTCAAAAGCAGGCCCCAGGATTCTTGAATATGGCGTCCCAGTGTCGATAATGCAGCCACCAGAAGTGGCGTTGTTCTTGAAATCGAACATTTTCGGGTCAATTTTAAGCCTAGTTTTATTGACACTAATGCCTTGAAGATTCACAAAATAAGGGCTACCTTGATTTCTCCTGTACAGTGGGGTGATTTTCGAGTTCTTCTCTTTATGTGATTTATCGTCTCCAAATCTTAGATAAGTAGTAGGTGTTTTGTCTGAAACAAGAGGAAGACAGTACGAGAATACCCCTTTGATTATAGGGCTGAGTTGTTTAATGAAAGATGTATCGTCCCATCCAAGTCCCATTAATCCAGCAATCTTGTTGTTTTTGTATTTCCCATATTGAATAACATTGTCCAAACCACACCCGAATTCCAGGTTTTCGATTTTCGCTAATCCTCCGTTTTTCGATGTGAGATAAAATGTTTCTCTGGCCGACATTCCGATAGTGGTGGACCCATCACCATACCCATACTCGTAGTACCTAGGCTTATTGTTGACAAGAATAGGACGAAAAGACGTAGAGTTTTGATTGGGAAATGGCTTTGGTGTTTGCTTAAAGCATTTTGTGCAGCCTTCGCATTGCATCCAGACAAGGCTGCTGCCTGTGTCCATTTCTAAGTAGTATTCTTTGTAGGGTGGTTTCGATTTAAATGTTCCGATTCCGACTTTGACTGTGTATAGAAAATCTTGCTCTCTGATCTCCGTTTTCATGATTGAAGACGTTTTAGCTAGATAGTTACGGCGTATATTGGATTGGGATACTAAGCTTTTGATTCTTTCTTCATAAGGGAGATTTCTTTGGAAAAAAGGCGATTCTTGCGAGTATGGATGGATTAGTGCTATTTTCAAACCATTGGAGTTTACTAGAGCTGCTTTGTTTAGTACGAGGACTAAGGTAGATAGAAAACATAGTAACAACAATGTCTATATTTTTATCATGGCTAATCAGAGGTGTGTGATTATCACTGTCAGGGATCAAGGTGTTTTATAGTGGAATTGGCATTATTACTATAACGTAAAATCGGATAATTAGTGATAAAGGGATAATGGGAATAGTTGATTCTATAATATCTTTGTTTTAATTTTGAATTGATCTGTAGTGTGACTTCAGTACAATCTACAGTTTGTATGTAGATTGAGTTCTCATAAATGGGCAATTTATCAACTTCACAGATGATTCATTTCTTCATTTATTACTTCTTTCATCTTTTATTACACATTTACAAATGTTTTTTTTGGTACCATATATTTGATTACAGATTTCGCAAGAAAGTAAAAAGCTTCCGACATACTTATTAAATCTTTTCTATATTCGAATACCACATTACTTTCTTTTTTTATTGTTAGTTTATAGATGAATTCTTAATATATAACAATCCTCTGGATAAAAAACGAGCTGCTTATTCATTGTATCATAGATGAGCCTGTGATTTGCTCACTGATGAGCTCCAATATCGGACTCATTACTATCACGAACCATCGCCAAACAAAAGAACTCATGACGAATACGAAGCCTGATTGAAGTCGGTTGAAAAACCTCAAAACCGCCTCAGCCTTGGTAACGAAATCTGCATGCGATGATCCAATCCCACGTAAATGAAAAGTAACATCAGGTAAATTATGATAGTAATTTTCGTGCCTGATATATATTTGCATGAATTTTTTGTGAAGGCTCAACCTGTTTTATAGTCTCAATTGACATTCTGGTTCTTTACTTGATTAATGATAGGGGAGAATTAATGATTTACAATATCTTGCTTTTATTTTGAATTAATCCATACTATGACTTTATTACTATGTCGATAGAGTTCTCATAAATAGGGAACCAACTTTACAGATGATCATTTTTTATCTGTTGCCTGTTGGTAAAATCCTAATACACTAGTTAGAATGTATGTGCTTAAGACAGGAAAATTTCTTGCAGTAAAGAAATAGGTAACGAAACCATACAAGATCAAGTGATATATCTTTGTCCTTGCTCAAATATTTGCTAGTATTTGAAGGGCCTCTGTTGATCAAGTAATATATCTTTGTCCTTGCCAAAACTAAATCTAACAGAGACTCATTTATTCTGGAAAAATCTCAGTAACATTATTTCATGGATTCTTGGCACAATCCACCGGATAAAAAACGAGTTTCTTATTCTTAGTATCATGGATGAGCCTGTGATTCGTTTGCTGATGAGATCCAATAGTGGAGTCCGTACTATGAGGAACCATCGCCAAACAAAAGTACTCACGAAGCCTGGTTATCGATCGACCAACAACCTGAAACACTGCCTCAGCCTTCATAACGAAATCCGCTCCTCTTAAATGAAAAGTAACTTCAGGTAGATTATTATACTTTTCGGGCTTGCTCCTCTCGTAGCACAAATCCAGGTCCAAATTCCCTTTAATTTTCTTCAAATTTCTAAACCTCGAAAAGTACTTTTCGAGCTCCGTTTTCAGTATGTCGAAAGCGGGTCCCACGATTCTTGAAAATGGCGTGCCGGAGTCGATAGTGCAGCCACCCAAATTACCGTTGCTTTTGAAATCAAACACTCTAGGGCTGATGTTAAGCCTCGTTCTGTTGACGGTAATGCCTTGAAGATCCACGTAATAAGGACTACTGTCTTTATGTTTCATGTAAATTGGTGTGCTTTTGGAGTTTTCTTGGTGGACTATATCGTTTCCAAATCTCAGGTAAGTACTAGGTGTTTTGCTCGTTAGAACCGGAAGACAGTACGAGAATATTCCTTTGATTTGTGGGCCCACCTGTTTAACGAACGAGGTATCTTCCCATCCAAGTCCCATTATTCCAGCAACCTTGTTATTGCGCCAATTGAGAGCATCTAAATTGTTGTCCAAACCACATCCGAATTCTATGTTTTCGATTTTCGCTAATCCTCCGTTTTTCGATGTCAGATAAAACGCTTCTCGTGCTAAAATCCCGTTAGTGGTGGACCCATCTTCGTACTCGTACTCATAGGGTTTAGGCTTATTTTGAACGAGAATAGGGCGAAAAGAGGAGGAGTTTTGCTTGGGAAACGGCTTTGGCGTTTGCTTGAAGCATCTGGTGCAGCCGTCACATTGCATCCAGACAAGGCTGCTGCCTGTGTCGATGTCTAAGTAGTACTCTTTGTACGGTGGTTTAGATTTGAATGTTCCGATCCCGACTTTGACTTTGTAATGAAATGACTGTGCTGTAATCTGTGTTTGTATGGTTGAAAGGGATGTTCTTGCTAGATAATTACCACGGATTTTCGATTGGGATACTGATTTTTTGATTCTTTCCTTGAAAGATAAATTTCCTTGGAAAAAGGGCGATTTTGGTGAGTGTGGATGAATTAGTGTTAGTGTCAAACCATTGGAGTTGACAAGAGCTTTGTTTAGTACAAGGATTAAGGTAGAAAGAAAATACAGTAACAATAATGTCTGTGTTTTTGCCATTGCCAATCATGAAAATGTGTCTGATATATGATTGTTTCTGTTTTATAGTGCAATTGACATAATCTACAGTTTGTACAATATATGCTGGTTTTAATTTTGTAATAATCTACACTTTGTATGTAGATAGAATTGTGATAAACAGGTAACCAACTTTACAGATCATCGTATCTTTTCATTTATTACTTCTTTCTTTGTTGATTTTTATTTAATATTTTTTTTTTACATTTTTCTTAAAAATTAAAATTTTAGTCTATTTATTAATAAATATTATTTATTGCTCAAGCCTTTAAATTATTCCTATTTGTTTTGGTTATCTAGGTTATGTTATTACATAGGAAAGTGGTGGATCAACACTAAAAGAAACGTATGATGTGGTTAGCAGTGTGTTGATTGATTTGTCTCGTGGGAGGCAAACTCTTCTTGAAGTTGAGTATTCATATCGTTCGAACTTATCACCTATTTCCTCATGCATAAAGTTGGCAATCACTGTTGAGTATCTATAGTACTCTTTCTCATTCTTTGAATACATTTCTTTTTCCAGCATAAAGTTTTTCAAGTTATGAACCTTGTATCCCATTTTAGGGTTTTCCGACCTATGTTTGAGTTTTCCTCTCACAATTAAACTTTCGTTTGTGCAACTTTTGATTACACTTTCAGCATTTAAATACAGCTAAATCTGCTGTCTATTTGCTCATGACACTCAGGTTGATGGAAAGTATTGAGAGTTATGGTGAACGAAACATGCTATCGTGCCAATGAAATCTAAGTAATACTCTTTATATTTTGTACTTTTTACTCCTATATTATTTTCTGAATGATGAGGTGCTCACGATCATATTTTGGCTTTGTAGTTCTGTAATTAGTATTCTGTTACAGAAGACAAATGTAGAATTGAAAGATATTCTATGTTCTCAGGTGAAATCTATGCATGTTCTTAGAACATAACATCTTTTTTGAAGTGTTCTGCATTTTACTTTTTATGGAGATGTTGATTATATAGGAATATGGAGTGGATCTTTTTATGAAGTGCATTTTACTTTTTATGAAGTGCTTCAAGGTATGAATCCTGTGTTACAATATAAGTGTTACCGTTCTGACCCTTGTTGAGTTTTCCTTTTCCAATTTTACTCTCACTTTTGAAACCTCTGACAACACTTTCTCATTAATGATTCTGACAGTTAGCAGAAGATTTCTATTTATGGTGATCGCATCGTGCAGCTGCTTCCAACATCTTATTAAGACATGATTGGGCGAGTGTGCTCCGAAGAGCCTGAACTTGCCTCTTAATCAATAATTCTTTAAATTTCTATGGTTTTGTAGTTGCACATATAAATTCTAAATTTAAAATGCTTTCGTAGGTGGGAGTAATTTCTTAGACTTTTTAGAATTTTCAGTTGCAGACTTATGGGATCATAGCACTAGTACATGCTACGTTGGAGAGGAAAAAACAACAAATATAATGGTCTTCCAGTTTGCCTTAGTGAGTGCAAATGATTATCTTCAAATAACCATCTCACATACAGGATCATTCACAATATTGGAAGGTTTGTGAACTCTTTTTATTTGCATCTTTAATCACTTTTAATCGAACTACTGAGAGGTTTGTCTTTAATGGTTTATGTAGATGAAAACTATCGTCAAGACCATTGAAACAACTCCAGATCAAGAATTAAAGGGATCTAGGGATTTGATGCTTCGAGTTCGCCGGAGAGATTCATACCAGGTTTGATAAATTTAATTACTTGATGATTCTTGAATGGTATACCACCCTTACTATTTGTATTTTGCAATTTTACTCTTACATTATTTTCTGAAAGATGATGTGCTGACAATAATATTTTGTCTTGAATGTTTTGTAACGAATATGGTGTTCAAAGGAAAAATTGGACAAGTACAAGAAAGTCACTACACAAGATTGACTGTGTACCCATGTACCCTATGCATGTTCTTGGAAAACAATGTCTTTTTGGGCATCTTCGTATGACATTAGCTGGATTTTTTTCTTCTGATTAGCTCTCTCTGTGTGTGTGCCCATGTGCGTGAATGTGTGCGTCTATATATTCTAGTGGAGCTGTTCAGGTGACATTAGCTGGATTTTTTTTTGACATGCTCTACAAATAGTGATAACTTCATTAAGCTTGTTATTTCCTTACATTGATGTCGCAAAGGAAATTGCTGCAGAAATGAAAAAGGGTTATCCAAAGAAGATCTATATGGATTCCATTAGGAATGTTCTTTTGTGTTTTGGTTCTTCCCTTTTCCATGGGTCTTTCAAGGACATCACCTTTTTTTATATCGACCCACGTTCATTAAAACTCACTAGTTATGTTGTGCTCTCTCTCACTCTCTCTCTCTCTCCACATGTGTGTGTGCCCGGGCATGCGCATCTATGGTTTACAGTGTATCTACTATCTATATATTCTAATTGGGCTGTTATGATGATTCTTGATTATTCGTAGAGATGATGAATTAGGCAATTTGACAACCCTCCCGTATCTTGGCGAGGCGAACCCGGATGGACTGTGATTTTGGGGAATTTGTATTTCCCCAATCGCATGCAACCGGTGAATCTGCAGCCATGTCGGGGTGGAATGTCTCTTTGCCAGCTTGAACAATTAAACAACAGATGTTGCCTCATTTACTTTAAATCTCTGTATCTGCCTTGCCTAATTAACCTTTTTACTCTTGAAGCAAAAGAAAATAAAGCCGGATTTGTTCCACGAAGCAAGGATTAGATGTGCTATGGAAACTCTTCAGATAAGTGTCTTCAGCTGACTGTCCTAACGGGTTTAACGGGTTTCTGGACTGTGTGCCGAACTTGTTTAAAAATTAAGGGTTAAAATACTTCTTGATCCTACCAAGATCTGGTGATATAACCCAGGGGCTTCAAGTTGCTACATCTCCCTTTATTCGGTTTTATTGTGATTTAAAAAAATAAAAATAAAAATAAAAATAAGAAAAAAGCTTGTACAATAAAAAAAGGGGCAATATGCCAAACACCCTTCGTTGGAAATTTAATTCTTGATAAATCCTTATTTATAAATGATATTTGAGATAAATCCATTGGGCCTGAAAAACCATATATACCCCCACTAATTATTAATTAGTATAATTATTTAATTTAAAAAAAAAATTATACCCATAATCCACACCCAAATCTTCTCTCAAAATTATTTCCCTCGTCACGCCACTTCAGTTTTTTTTTTCTTTTTTTTCTTTTTTTTTTTTTATGTTTTTAATGGTTTTCTTTATTTCGATTTTAAAAGAAAATTTTGTAATTTTTTTATTTTTTTTATTTCATTTTTTTTAAATGGTTTTCTTTTATTTTCTTTCTAGTTTTTTTAAATAAAAACCACTCTATATAAGCATGAAAACCACTATGTATAACAACTATATAATATGAAAACCACTTTGTATAACAACTATGTAAACTTGAAAACCACTCTATATAACAACTATGTCAACATAAAAATCACTATGCATATACAACTATTTAAAAATCTGTACAAAATTTATTGAAAACCACTATAAATTTATCAAAGACAAAGCCTCACATTATGAAAACCACTCATTATAAACAACTATATAAACATGAAAACCGCTCTGTATAAAACAACTATATAAACATCGAAAATCACTATGAATTCTAACAAGAAAACATAAAAAAATCTGCGAAAAAAAAGCTATAAAACCACTATAAAGGACACCATCTTCTCTCCAATGAACCCTAGAGCATAGTCCGTGTAATCATCTTCTTCTCGTTATTTGAAACGTAAACCACTATTTGAAAAAATCATCATCTTCTTCCTCCCATCAGCAATTTCGTCATAAGTATCATCCAGAACAAAAACATTATCAAAATTAAAAGAACAAAAATCAGTTGTTAAATAAAAAAAAAAAAAAGAAGAAACAAGGATAATAAATCAAAAACATGTCAATTCAATTCATTCAAAACATTTCCCTTTCCAAGCAACTTAAAATCCACTCAAATGTTATCGAAATTCACTATAAAGTTATCGAAATCCAATTATCAAAATTCACTACAAAGTTATCAAAATCTAATACAAAATTAACTTACTCCACAACCAAATTAACATAATCAACTATGTAACTATCTAAATCCACTTTTAAACTATTTGAATAAAAAAAATTCCCATCAAATAAAAAAGGACAACAAAGAAGTGGTAAAACAAAAACCTCAACATTGACTTGCAGCTCCATCAGAGACCCATATTCAATCAGGAATTGCTACATGATAAGCAAATCACGGCAAAACAAAAAAAAAAAAAAATAAGAGAGAAAAAACAAAAGAGGAATTAAATTAGGTTTATGGAAAAAGAAAAAATCAAAAGTCCTCTTAAATTTTAGTAGCAGTAATGACGATTAACAAAAAAAAAACCTCTTTTTTTAATTCTATGTTGCCACCACCCCATCGCACGTCAATGAACATTTGGTAGAAGGCGGCGAGGTCTTCGGAAATGGGCTGGCAAATAGCGTAGATCTACTAGGTGTAGCCGCAACTCTTGATGTGGATGCACAAGTCAAATCCGACAAACCGCCAAGACGAATCAGAGACGCCGTAAAAAGAGAGAAAAACGATGAGATAGAATGTAAAAGAAAAGAGAACGGTTGAGAATTATGGCTAGGTTAAAAAAATTAATTAGGGGTAAAATAGGTTAATTATGTTATATTTTAATTTAATATTAATTATTGGATTTATGTTAAAATGGGGAAGAAAAAATGGGCCTGTCTTAATGGGGAGTTTCATATGAGGGAGTTTTAGCAAATTATCCCATAAAAAAAAACAAAATTTGATACCAAACATGTTATAAATAAACGAGACTTAATTAATTCATAGTGAAAGTAGTAAGTAGATTGTAGATAAACCGACAAAAGGAAAGTGGAGTTTGGTGAAACTGGTGGTGCTGAGACGACGTCGTCGTCAGTCGTATTCAATTTCACATCAACATCAACCAAACCCCCCCATAACCACCATTATTTTTTACCCAGCTATCATTCAACACACACACACACACACACACATATATATATATATATATATATATATATATATATACAAGTACGAAATTTCATATCAGTCTATAAGCAAGCACGCTCAAACAATGTCTGCAGAGAAAGTGAGCGAGAAATTGTCGGTCACCCAAGTCCAGGTCGAATCATGCGTATTTCCTCCGGCGATCAACCCTCCCGGTTCCGCCAAGACCTTCTTCCTCGGCGGCGCAGGTTAGTTCTCTCGTTTATCTGCTGAAGCACTAGTGCAATTTCTGATATTATGGTTATTGATAACATGCGCAGGGGTGAGAGGGATGGAGATTGAGGGGAGGTTCATCAAATTCACTGCAATTGGGGTTTACCTAGAAGATAACGCCGTACAGTCACTCGCCGTTAAGTGGAATGGCAAAACCGCCGACGAATTGACGGATTCCCTCGACTTCTTCGGAGACATCGTCACTGGTAAGGATTCAATTTTCAGTTTTTTTTTTTTTTTTTAGAATAAGTTATCAATCCCTAATTGTTAATTTTTAGGTCCCTTTGAGAAATTCACAAAGGTGACAACGATACTGCCATTAACTGGCAAACAATACTCCGAGAAGGTAGCAGAAAACTGCGTCGCCTACTGGAAGAAAGTAGAGAAATACACCGATGCAGAGTCTGCCGCAATCGAAAAGTTCCTCCAAGTATTTAGTGACGAAAACTTCCCTCCTGGAAGCTCCATCCTCTTCACTCAATCACCGGAGGGCTCATTAACGGTGATCACACGTTTCTTGGGCAATTAAGATGATGAACGATGACTTGCTTTTTTTCGCCTCTATTAATCGACTCCTTTACTGTGTGTTGTTGATCTGCAGATTAGCTTCTCTAAAGACGATTCGATCCCTGAGCATGGGAAAGCGGTCATAGAGAACAAACAACTCTCGGAAGCAGTGCTTGAGTCGATTATCGGCAGGCACGGTGTATCCCCTTCAGCAAAACAGAGTTTGGCTGCAAGAATATCGGATTTGCTGCTGAAGCCGAATGAACCCGAGGAAGTTGTTGCTGCTACTGCAAAACCTCAGGAAAACTAGGCCAGGCTCGTTTTATTCGTTTCCTTTTTCTAGCAAATTCGAACTTTATTACGCTTCCCACATGTTATCTATGACGTAAAACTTTTGTTTGTTCTATTTTCAGTTGTGAATTGAATGCCTAGTAATATTATCAATTGGTATTTCTGTTTTTGCATTTTTGCATTTTTCCAAATTCTATTTGACATTTAATTATGAAATGCTGAGGATCACGGGACAAAACTACTTTCGGAAAGGTCAAATAAAATATTTATTTCCTCTAGAATAATGTCTCACACTGAAAAGATGGAGCAACATATTAGGCAGAAGCTAGCTAACATTGTTGTACAGATTTAAGCTTCGACGACCCTAGCTTTTCTAGATAAATATCATACAGTTCAGGTAGTTTCTCAGCATATCTAGTTACATACTTTTCCAGGAAAGCTTTCTCCGTAGGGCAAAGTACGCAAGTCAAGCTCCAATCCTTCTTAACTAAACCCTTCAAATACAAGACATGAACAACGGAGCACCTAGGAATTGTTCTCTTCTCCAAATTATAGAACAGAACATATGGACTTAGTGCCACCGATCTGGAATCTCGCCCCACCTTGTTGACTAGGAAATCGAGGACTTTGGATATTTTCCTCTCGGACAAAAGCATACAACCAGGATGCTTTCTAAATGCCATATCGATGTCATCTTTGGACCAGCCCCATTTAATATAAGCTTCGTAGCATTTATCCCATAAGGCTAAATTACCCTTCCCCGAGCGAGTATGTATTGCCACTATAAACATTGATTTTGACGGATCAAACCCCATTTGCCTCACCTCTTCAACAATTTTCTTAAACTCGACTTGATTTGACCAAAAGATACCAGGGCAGTGAAACAATGCTAATTCGATACAATTAGGCGGCACTCCGAGCTTCCTCAAGAAATCCACATGTGGGATGAGTTTATTCTCGAGATCGAGATTGAAAGTCCACGATCCGCGCCGGAGAAGAGTCTGAACTTTAACAGATCCAATTATATTCTCGAGGTAATCGTAAACGGGTCCTACTCTGCGGTTCAAATTTCTTGCCAAGAATTGTGGGTTACTTGCAACAGTTGTAAGAAAATCTTTCTCAGAAATCCCAGTGAGTTGCAGAAAGAAATCAATCTTGGGCAAAAGGGACTTGTTGGGATTGGACACTAAAACCTGCGGGTGTTTCGCGACAAGCTCGCCGATTTGGCTTTTGCTAAACCCCTGTTTCTGGAGAAACTCCAGAACTGAATCTGGTTTGTTTGTCCCATCAAAATGAACCTTTTTAGAAGCGGAAACTGCATTTTCTGCAGACAAACCACATGAATTCACCAAGTAGGAAATAACACCTTCTTTTTCTAGAGATTTTTCTTTCGAATTAGCAAGTGCAGGTCCGACATTTTTAACAAGGCAGAAATTGGCGGCGCCGGCGCCGGCGCGTTGGTGATTGTGAACTCGTGATAGAAGAGGTCGGAGCAGCATCGTGTTCCTGCGGTCTCCGATGGTCAACGGGAAGCTTCGCTGCTGAGGCGCAGATTCAATGAACAAGGTGAGGAAGTAGCGCGTGCGTTTCAAAACCCTAGATTCAGCGTGAGAGAGGGAACATCTTACAATTTAAAAACGTTGAAACATATGATTTTATGTTTTGTATGACAATTTCTGCAGACTAAAATAAATAATAAGAGTGGTTAATTAATAGCCTTAAACGTACTTTGGTTTGTGAAGTTGTTATAACAATAATAGATTTTTTAATAAAAAATAAAATGGAAGAAATACCCTTTTCAAATTTATTTATTATTATTTTATTGTATAATATATATTAAAAAGGAAAAATTAGACTCCTCAGCTAGTATACGACCACCCCTAGTAACATTGCAATTTATTGTTGAGTTGGATTTATTTTTAACAAGCCTCTTGGGCTTTTAGTGCTTCTATAATTAGCTCGTAATTAACTTAATATATAATTAGCCAGTCGACCAATAGAGAGAAAAAACAATTCCAATCGAAGTTCTTGATGGGAAAAAACTCCTTTTTATTCTACTTTTTACAGCAAATTATACTATTATATAATATGATGCTCTGCATCTGTTGTTTCATGTCTATAAATACATTCGTATCTCTTCAATTTTCGGTCAAATTGAACGAATACCGAATTTTATTTGCATGGTGAGCCCATAAATACTACTCAAGTTCCATTTTTTCTTAACTAAACCCTTCGACGACAAGAAAAGAATAATCGAGCACCCCGGAATAATCCTCTTCTCCATACTATAGAAGAGCACATACGGTCGAAGCGCCACCGATCTTGAATCCACACCCACCTTGTTAACCAAGAAATCAAGGGCCGTCGATATTTTCTTCTCCGTCAAAAGCATACAATAAGGATGCTCCCAGAACGCCATATGTATGTCTGTCTTTTGACCAACCCCATTTACTATAAACTTTATAGCATTTATCCCACAAGTCCAAACTACCCTTCCCTTTACGAGCATCTATCGCCAATATAAACATCGATTTCGTCACATCAAAACCCATTTCCTTCACCTCCTCAACAACTTTCGTGAACTCGTCATATTTTGCGCAGAAGAAACCGGGACATTGAAATACGGCTAACTCGATACATTGTTGGGGCACTCCAAGATTCTTCAAGAAATCGACATTCGGGATGACTCTCTCCGTTGGATCAAGACTGAAAATCCAGGATCCACTATTGAGAAGATCCTGAGCTTTTACAGTCCCGATTATATCGGCTAGGTACTCATAAACGGGTTCTAATCTCTGCTTCAGATTTCTTGTCAGTAAACTACGGTATCTCGTCATAGCTGTAAAAGCATCTTTCTCCGAAATCCCGGTGAAGTGTAAGAAAAATTCGATCTTTGGCAAAAGGGATTTGTCGGGATTGGATACCAAAACCTGCGGGTGTCTTGTCACGAGCTCGGCGATTTGGGTTTTGCTGAATCCCCTTTTCTTGAGGAATTTCAGAACGGCGTTTGCTTTTTTGGGCCGTCGAAATGCACCTTTGCAGAAGCGGCGACGGCGTTTTCTGGAGACAACCCACATGAATTCGACAAGAATGAAACAAACCTTCACTATCAAAAAAAATCCCATAGAAACAAACCTTTAATCTTGAAATCAAGAACTATAATACAAGGCAAAAGGATGAAGCAAGCGAGTTTCTACTCTCTCGTTTCTTCACTAAATCTCGTTCCATTCATCCTTTATCGTCTTCTTGCCCATACGTTTTTTTCACCGTCTTCAATGCCCCACTACAGATTCAAGCTTCTTCCCTTGATAAATATCATAAATCTGAGGTACTTGTTTAGTATATTTAGTGACATACCTTTCCATGAAAACTCTTTCTGCAGGGGCAAGCACACTAGTCAAGCTCCAATCTTTCTTGACTAAACCCTTCAACGACAAAAGATGAACAACGGAACACCTAGGAATTATCCTCTTCTCCAAATTATACATGATAATAGTTGGAAAGTGTGCCACCGAACAGGGATCCCGCCCTAACATATTAACCAGAAAATCGAGGGTTTCCGATATCTTCTTCTCGGAAAGAAGCATACAATGAGGATGCTTTCGGAACGCCATATATATGTCATCTTTGGACCAACCCCATTTACTATAAACTTGATAGCATTTATCCCATAATTCTAAAGTACTCTTCCCCGAGCGGGCTTCTATTGCCATTATGAACATCGTTTTCGTCGGATCAATACCCATTTGCTTCACCTCCTCAACAACTTCCCTGAACTTAATAGGTTCTTGGGAAAAAATATTCCCACAGTGAAACAATGCTAACTCGATACAATTTATCGGCACTCCAAGCTCCCTCAAGTATTCGACATTCGGAATTAGTCTATCGTTAGGATCAATATTAAAAGCCCAGGATCCATGTCTGAGAAGAGCCTGAGCTTTTACAGTCCCGATTACGTCCTTTGCGTAATTAAACACGGGTGCTAATCTGTGCTTCACACTACATGCCAAGAAATGAGGGTGCTTTGAAAGAGTTGTGAGAGCATCTTCCTTAGTGAAACCTGCCAACTGCAAGAAAAATTCAATCTTTGGCAAAAGGAACTTCTCGTGGTTGGCTAACAATAACTTAGGTTTTTTTCTAACGAGCTCGGCGATTTCGGTTTTGCTAAACCCCTGTTTTTCAAGGAAGTTGAGGACAGTATTTGGTTTGTCTATGTCATCAAAATGCACCTTTTTGGAAGCGGAATTAGCATCTGCTGCAGATAAACCACATGAATTCACCAAGTAGGAAGCAACATACCCTTCTTCCGCCAATTTTACTATCGACGAATTAGCATTTTCTGGGCTCGCAAATGCAGAGCCTGCGAAGAAATTGGCGAGCGATTGATGCTTACGTGATCTTGATAAAATAATAGATCGAATCAGCATTTTGTTCTCGCCGGGAACGGTGGTGAATTAGGCGACAAGGTAACGCTTTTAGAAAAACCCTAGATACAGTGTTGGCCGGTACAAACTCCTTTTATTTTTTTATTTTTTCTATTAAGAATGAAATGAGGAATTCGAATTTTCTCATAATCCTTCTTTTTTTTAATAATAAATATTTAAACCGTGAGGGGTGACTTTTTTGTAATTTACAGATTTAGATCAAACGATATTAATGTCAAATTTCTGAAAATTAACGGCAGGATCACATTGAGACAATTTTTCAATGCAGAAGGCAAATCGATGCAATCAAGTAGAATAAGAAGTAAAATGATATCGAACAAAGTACAAGGGGAAAGTGAAATTTACCCTTCTATTTTTAAACAGAAAAAATAAAAAAAATCTCATCTTAAGAGGGGGCGGGGGTTAGGCAAACTACTAAAAATTCGATTGGAATTGTTCGTTAAAAGTTCGTTTGAGTTCAACTAAAACTTGAACTCGAATAGAAAGAAAAGAAATCATACTATACAAAAATAACCAAACCTTGATTCATGTTCAGCTTAATTAAAATTCGTTCGAGCTCAACTCGGTTAATTATCAAATCAGCCCTCAAAAATAATATATAAAAAAAATAAAACAAAACTTACATTTCGATTATATAAAATATATACATAGATACATACATCCCATGTGAACAAGAAACCTGTCTTTATTGTACTTCGAAAGCATAGAACAGGCTATCTATCTGCATGCAAATCATTTTGAGAGCACAGATTGAAGAGCAGTCGGATCGTATAATGCAGGGCTGCAAGTGAAATTCTGGCAAACGAGAGCCACAACTTTGTCGGAATTATAATTGCTTTTAGCCATGAGGGCGATCTTGTCATTATGCTCCTCCCAGAATCCCATTTCTTCTGCATCTGTAGGGTCTATGTGAATCACCTGCAATGCATTATTAAAAAAAAAAATCCGACATAGTTAATCGATTTAGGACATGAATTTGGAACACGTGCAGAATGGGTACTAGGTTTTTAATTTTATTTTTTTATTACAGTTTTGTTAGGATCATATGATGCTTGAGCAGCAGCCAACATTGTCTCGAAATCCGAAGACAGCTTTCGTCCAACGAGAACAACTTGCTTTCTCGAAGGAACACCGAGCATGTCGGCCCCACAGCACATCAGAGGCACAGCCATTGCTGTTTCTTTCAACCTCTTCTCAAACACAGCCTTGCAGGAAAAAAAAAACACGGTAAATAAAATACTCGACCACGAAGTTTCCGGAACATTCCAGAATCAAAGCCTCGATAGACCCAAAAAAAAAAGTATTTTTACCAGCACACGCTCTGCAGTGCGCCTGTAATTATCGGAACCCGAAGAAACCAAGGAACCCAATCTCACTAAATTGATAATCGAAACAGAGTTTCCGGAAGGTTCCGCACCGTCATGGTCTTCTTTCACACGGAGTAAAACCGAAGGATCCTCACCTGCAGTATTGAAATACCCTCCTCCCTCTTTGTCCAGAAATAGCTCGTCCTATAATATATTTATTATACACCCAGATTGAAAATCAAGAAAATATATATGTATATATACATACATATGTCTATATATATATATATATATATATATATATATATATATATATATATATATATATATATATATATATATGTGCTATCTATTTGTACCTGCATTTGTTGTAGTTCAATAACCCAAGCTAGCCAAGAAACCGAGCTGCCGTATTCGTATAAATCAAGAAGACCAGAAATAAGGAAGGCATAATCATCTAGAAATCCAGGTGCTTTAGAGGGTCCATTTCTGAAACTGTGCTGTAATTTTTTCGTGTGTTGGTTGTAAAGATGTTTCTTGATAAAAGCTGCCGCCTTCTCCGCAACTTCCATGTACTCGTCCGGCTATTATCCACCAACGAGAAACATTAGTACTATGTCCTAAAATATTTAAAATATTTAGATAAATCGAAAATACGATCTCACATGATTCCCGTTAACAGGGAAGTAGTATTCAGTCCCTTTTGGTTCCGCCTTGAGAATTTTCGATGCCCTCGCGAACGAAGAAATTACAAGCCCATTCCACGACACAATCACCTGACCAATTTAAACACAAAACTATTTATATATGTATGTATGTGTGTGTGTGTGTGTATATATATATATATATATATATGTATGTAATATATACCTTATCATCCAAGTGAGGCCTAGGTCGTTTCGATCTCGCATCGAAAAGCTTCTGTCTACAAACCCCCAAAATCTTGAGATACTCCTCCACAGAAATATCCAGTTTCGACGCTATTGCAGAAGTGCTATTTCTCTCGATAAGGACATTTTTACCCTTGAACTCATTGTGGGGATCACTCATCTTCGAAAGATCACAATTGCCCGATTCTTTAACATAGTAGTGCTCCTTAAACAAAGGAGCATGTTCACCTAATATGTCATCCACCTATCAATATATACATAATGTGAGAGACCACAATCATTATTCTTCGGCTTAGAAAAAAAAAAAACTACGTAAAATGACAAAGATCGTACCTCTTGGCTCGTCCAAACATAAAAGGCACCCTCCGTTTTCCTCGAGCTTTCGGATTCTGCACTATCTGCATCCTCAGCTGAAAATATCTCACCGTTTGGACCAATCATATCTCTCCTCAAGTAGTCGAGAATATCACGGGACACACTCGAGTACAACGTGTCTTTCGTGATTGAAAAGACATCGAGGTAAACATTTGCAAGCTGTCCTTGATCGTACAACATCTTCTCGAAGTGAGGCACTGTATACGAGAGAGAGAGAGACAAAAGGCAATTATTACCAGGAATCGAAATACGAAACATACACGGATTTCAAAAAAAAAAAAAAAAAAAGACGAACTGCACTGAACTAACCGTGCCAACATTCGTCGACGCTGTATCTGTGGAAACCACCTCCAACATGATCGTGGACCCCACCCCTCGCCATGCCCCGCAATGTCTGCACCACCATGCTAAGGTCTTCCTTTGCTTCGCCTGGCATTTCGTTTTCCTTCAATTTCTTTTTATGGTAAAGCATTAGCTGGATTTCAACTGGCCTAGGGAATTTTGGTGCCGAACCAAATCCCCCATATTTTGAGTCGTAACTGTCTGCAAGCTGTAAGAAAAAAAAAAAAAATTTGCAACGGAGGTTTATTTCGAACATGCTACACGAGAATAACTAATTTCAGACTATTTATCGGATTTTTTTTTCTTTTTTTGCAGAACCATTACAAATATATGGGAAAAAAAATCGACCTCTTCAGCGCATTTCTGCAGTGCCTTTTCGGAAAGCCCGTCTGCAAGCTTTTCCGATCTTGCAGTAGCGGATAATGCCTCCGAAAGTTGTTCAATAGCAAATGTTCCACTTTGGACCAATGCATCCTTTTTAGTGTCCCAAGCTTCTTTAACCTTCCTATCGAACAAAAAAGTATTGATCTAAATTATCGAGAAACTGAATCGGTAAATAATTAAAAGCAAAAAGTGTCTACCTAAGTACGGTTTTAAATCCGGGCCTTCCATATTTATCCTCGGGGGGGAAGTAAGTGCCGCCCATCAAGGGCTTTAGATCAGGTGAGAGAAAGGCGCTTAACGGCCAACCACCACCGCCGTATAACGCTTGTACATATGTCATATATACCTGCAAAAATAACCGAAACACACTTTTGGATATAATATAGTGTACGTGAACGAAGTAATTGAAGAATAGTTTGCTTTTGCAAACGGACCTTATCTACGTCTGGTCTTTCTTCTCTATCCACCTGGCAGAAATTACATCTTTAGTTCTAGTAACTGAAATTGAAATTAAGGAAGAATCGAACAATGTATTGGTCGGTAAGAAGTTGAGAAGCTAAGCTTCACCTTGATACTGACAAACCAATCATTGAGCAATTTCGCAACATCGTCGTCCTCGAAAGATTCTACTTCCATTACATGACACCTTAACCAGAAACAAAATTTGTCCACTCAAAACAATGACTCTCTCTCTAGATATTACTACACACGTAAATACCGCGATCGAGAAATCTTACCAATGACAAGTGCTGTAACCAACTTCAATAGCAAGAACACCGCAAATCGCAACACGAAAACCCCACAGAGAAAGTTGTGTATCAGTTTAGTTATAAATTGTGGAAATTACATACATAGCAATACACATCGAGAAAATGAACCACAAAATTACAAATAGAGGAGGGGGTGAAAAATACTTGACAGAAAGATAGGGACATCTCTTTTACGAGCTTCGGAGAACGCCTCCTCCCCCCATGGATACCAATCAACCTATTTACAGAAAAAATTAAAATAAATCCCGAAACCATCAATAAGAATCAATTGTGCATAATTAATATTTACAGGGTTGTGGGCATGCTGAAGAAGGTACGGACTGTGCTCCGCCGCGAGGCGGTTAGTGTGCTTGTGGCTCGCCTCCGGCGGCGGCGGCGACGACGTCGTGTTAGTGGAACGATCATCGGCCATGGCAAAGACTCTGGAAAAATGAATGGGGCGGTGAAAGACGACGGATAAAGGCCAAGAAAATGAGAGAGACACCGATCTGAAAATGGGTTTGTGGTGAGAGATGACGTGGCGCGTGGACGACGAAGGAAAGAGCACTCTTTTGAACATGGTACGCGGCTCGGGCCGGGCCCCACAAGTGAGGTTTTATAGTTTGTGTTTATCTACTACACTTGTTTGAGCCGGTGCATTGAGGAAACGAACGAGAGGGTTTGACATTTGGTAGTGGTGATGCGTGCCGTCTCGACACGTGTCAACACAGTTGATCCTACTGGTGTTTGGAGGAATCGGTACTAGAATGTACGGCGTAAGCGGTTCGTAGATAAATCTAAAGTTTGTCGGATTCTCTTTACCACTGAAACTCGTTCATTGGTTAATTCAATGATAGGACAAACGACGTCGTTTCGGCCGAGTTAATATAAACAAATTACATCATAAGAAATTTATATCAGGGATATAAATGTAAAATTTCACATTTTTCAACTTGCAAAGAATTTTGAATTTTTTTTCCTCAGGAATAAGTTCATCCTAATATTGTGCTCGATAATCGAATCATTTAGTGCCAAAATGATACGAACGAACAATAGTTTCGGTAATCTAAAATTTTCAATTACATTTCGAACGGTTAATAATACAAAATTTCCCTATTGTTTTACATTAATATGAATACAGATATATCACTTATGCCTATAAAATCCCAACAGGCACATGCGAGTTGTTCACATGGAGTTCACAGACTCAGCCAGTTCCTCAAGTAATTCCTTCTGCTCCACACTAAAACAAGACTGCACACACACACACAAAGAAAACATTAATTAATTAGCATGTCAAATACCTCTATTTCCCAACCCAAAGATCATGTAAGAAAGAAATTCTCGAAGCGAAGAAAAAAAATATCATGTACCTGAACGGCTGTTTCAATATCACCATCCAGAAACGACATCAGCTCGAAATTCATTTTCAGTCTGTGATCTGTAACCCTATTGTCCTACAATTCAGTAGAGTAAAAAGTGTTGTTACATTCTGTTATTCATATTTCATTTCTATAGTATGCAGTTCCAACTCAAGACATAAAAAACTGGGAATACCTTAAAGTTGTATGTTCTAATCTTCTCTGCACGAGCACCGGAACCAACCTGCCATGTATATTAAGTGTTAGTCTAGTTTTGATACAAAGCGTGAAATTAAGCATACATTTGTTGCAGGTATAACAATATTGAAGCAAGCACGGATCAAAATGAAGATATAGTTCACAAAAAAATAATGCATTTGTGAGAGAATGAGTGCAACTAAACCTGCACTTTTCGCTGATTCCTTAGCAACTCTTGTTGTTCTCTTAATTTGATCTCATACCTGAGACAATATTAACAGTCGAGAGAAGAGGTTATAATCATCTGCACATCATACACTTGATCTAGGTGATTGTACACATGCATACGTATATTCTACTGAAAGAATACCAATTAGACAGCTGCTCGTAAAATCAGATGATCGATCTAGCATAAATCACTAACAACTCTGTTATACTGTTGCTTACAATTTTGCTCGCAATAGTTGGAGAGCTCGATTCTTGTTTTTAAGCTGAGATCTTTCTTCTGTGCAAAATATTCTTATTCCAGTTGGTTTGTGGAAAAGATCAACAGCCGTCTCCACCTTGTTGACATTTTGACCTGGATTAACAATTCATGCATAGAGGAGAGGAAAAAAAGATGCAGATAATAAATCAACAGTCCATTTTCATAAATAGTTAATTGGAAAGGCTTGGGGGGGGGGGGGGGGGGGGGGGTGCGGTCGGTCGAACAAACCCCCAAAAATTTTCTTTTACCTCCAGCCCCACCGGATCTTGCTGTTGTGAGCTCAATATCCTTTGGGTCAATTTCCACATCAACTTCATCGGCCTGACACCATACGCAGATAAGAATAAGATCGGTGTAAAATAAATCACGAATAGTCGAAGTTGAAATCAAGATAAGGAAACTGAAGTAAGATATGATATGATAGTCCCGTAATCGCATTAGTTAAGTCTTTTACTTAAGTGCTCATCAGACTGCATTAATCTATTGCATTCATATGCATACAAAGAAATTTTAAACATTTAATTAAAAACATAAACAGAGTTTTGCCCTACGTATAGAATAAATAACACTTCTCATAATTTGTACTTGGTCATTGAATAGAACAGCACAAACTGACAATTCTCTTGGTTTATGAAACCCTATTGAAATAGCGTGAATGATAAGTCGCATCCTAAAAAAATTCACCTCTGGCATGATAGCAACAGTTGCCGTAGATGTGTGAACACGACCTTGAGCTTCTGTTCGGGGAACACGTTGCACTCGATGCACACCTGACTCGTACTTCAGTTTGCTATAAACACGTTTCCCTTTTATCTCCACAACACATGTCTTATATCCTCCATGCTCAGCCTTAAAATGAGGAGATTATAAAGATGTATTCAAGATACTATCATGTGTCTTAAGCATGGATATTTATATGTGCTTACCTCAGAGCATGAGATAAGGGTGTGCTTCCATGAATTACGTTCACTGTACCTCTGATACATGCGTACCTACAATTTGTTGTGAAGGTAGAACGAACAATTTAATTTTTGTATTCACGCTAACGGATATTCCAGAGAAAACACATGTGTTCCGAAGAACAAAAACAAACATATACCTACAAGATCACCTGCCCAAAGTCCTGCCTCATCTCCACCGGTACCAGCCCTCACTGTAATTTTGGAAAATCAAACATCTCTTAGTTACATCCAAACCAGGATACGGAACATTTGACAAGTTTGTTATGAAGCATAGTTTTAAGTATCAACATGTATGTGTTTAATAAGATGTGACTTGAAAGAAAAGAATCAGCTAACCTTCGATCATTATATTTCTTGCATCGAGCGGATCCGAAGGGAGTAGTAAGAGCTATTATTATGAGAACAAAAGACCAAACGTTTAAAGTTTTCATGTTGCAAGGATACCCATAAAACTAGACTAAACTTAAAAATAATTAACCAGCATCCAAGAAGATTCAGAAACCTTTAGCTTCTCTTCAAGCTCTTTAGTTTGCTTAGTTAAGCTTTCAATTTCTGAAGTTATCATCTCGGCCATGTCTTCATCAATACCTCCCTCTTTCCCCAAAGCTGAATTTAAGATAAAAGAAATCAGCACAGATATGCAAGGAAAGAGATGGATGGAGGATATGATCAGAGAACTAGGAAAACAAAAATTAACCTTTTGTTTCTTCTAATTGCTTCACACAATCCTTAAAGCTCCTAAATAAGGACACAACCTACTAGTTCAGAGAATTTGTTATGAATGTGTTAGAGCTCAATAATCATAATATATGGAGTGAATAAAATGAGCTTGGGAAACAGATCTTAGCGGATTTCCAAAGAACAGTACCTGATCAAGCTCTGCCAATGACATTGCTATTTTCTGATATTCGCTCGGATTTGAAGCTACATCAGGATCACCCAGTTTAACCTAAAGTTTGGGTTTGTCGTGCAAGTAAATTAGTTTCCTTGAATTTTCAAAGTTGTTTTCCAAACGATAAAAGCAAAAAAAGTAGAATGAATCAAGTGGAAACTACCAATGCAGACATCACTATTTAAGACAATACTCTACTATCCAATAAGAATAAATTTCTGGTGATTTAAAGATATTTCCACATAGATATAGCAATGTAACATAAATGAGGCTGTCTTCACGAAATGCAAAATCTAAAAATGATAGTGCGGCTGATGATGGTTCTCATTGGGTTGTGTGCCCCCTCATGTACCTTATACCGAGGCATCCCGACTTGATCGTCACCCAAAACTGATGGACCACCCTAAACTGAGACTTGCATAGGAAAGACGCAAATTACATGTGGTTTCTATGTGTTCTTAATCAGTTCAAACCGAGAAATCCAGCTTAAAATTTCCCAAATATCGAGCTAATACTCCACATTTTATAACTAGTTGATAAGATTTATAACTTCTACGTGCCCCCAGTTAACTTCCAAGTAATCGTTGTATTTTCAGCCACTTTCACAATCATTTCTAGAAATAATTTATGAGATCGAGATATGCTAAACTTAACAATAATCAATACCATAATTATTTTTCAAAATCACTGACCAAATTGAACTAAATTTCGCATTTCATTGCATACAAAAACAATAATCCTGAAAATGCATCAAAATTTCAAACCAAAATTGACATCAAACACGAACTACTCAAAATAAATAGCACGTAACGAAAACAACTCATCTGAGAAGATAATATTCATTTTCCAATTCATACCGATAACTCTTTCCACGTCTTTTCAGCGGACTCTAATTTCGTAATTAAATAAGGTTCCTGCATTTGCCACCCAAAATCAAAATCAACAACACAATAAAAACACTATTATTAATAAAAAAAAATACAGAAACAGAAAATAGTTCCGTATTCCCCCGTAGCTGCCATCAACGATTCAAACAATTAATTTAGGTTTTAAGAAGTAGTTATTACCGCCGTGCACACGATTCTTCTGAGACGCTGGTGGCGTACAGGTGGTTGGACGGAAATCAAGCGCCGTGTGAAGAGGCCTTGTACGGGAAGATGGGCGGCGGGGGAGGTGGAAAGCCGAGCGGTGAAGCTCGCCGTTAAGCTGTTCATCCTGGTGGTGGTGGCCGAGTTTGGAAGATTTGGATAAACGCGCGAATGGCGGAATCTGTATTTCACTCCGCTCCTTGCGTTTCTTTGTTTTCCTTTTCACGTAAATCGTTCTTTTGGGTGAGCGATTTTAGATTGAGAAATATTTTTGGAAATTGAAAAGAAAAATTAGGGTCGGATCCAGCCTAGGAGTTGTGATAAGCGGGTTGGATCACAAGTATGTGGCTAGCCTAGCGCCTCGTGTAGGAAGGTGTGTAGTAAATAAATATATAATTTTTTTCCTTAAATAAATTAAAGAGATATATATATATATTTTTAAGTATGAGGAGAAATATATAGTTTAATTGAATGTATTAATGTCAAATTTAAGTAAATGGAATATATATATATATAAATTATACGCAAACTAGTAAAATCATTTATATAAATGGGTTTTACTCTAGTTTTTAGAGAGTAAATTCAAAATTGATAAGGGTTTTCAAATATTAAAAAAAGACCAATTTATGTATTTTTTTAAATGAGATAAAAGAAAATTTGAAAATGTTACATGGACATATGTCGGCAGTCACTATAGTATAAACCCAAAATATTAATAGACTACTCTCCCAATTTTTATTCGGTGTTGTCAAGAAAATAAATATACCCGGCCCACATGTAATGTTCTTAAAGCACATTTGTATGTTATTATAGTCTAAATTGTACGTGAATTGTTTATATGTAAGACTGGCAATCGAGCCATGTGAGTTGAATTTGAGTTGATTCAATTGTCGTCGGTTTTAGTTATATGCGTGCGTCACAAACAAATTTCAGGAGGTCGAAACTTGATTTCAGCGAAATCCACTAACTTAAAATTAAGCTTGTAATTCAAAGAAAACTCCAAGGAAATGTAAAAAAAAAATGATTATTAACATAAAAATGACCAGTGAACTCTAATTGTCAAGATGAATGAGTATTTAATATTTAAATGTTTAAGCAAATATGGGGTTGGGCTAATTAAATTTGATTAGGTTAATGAAATCCAAGTGGGCTTTCATTTAAAGCTGATTTGGGCCTAAGCTTATGCATTAGTTTTTTAGGCTAGCCTATCATAATTATTTGACATTTATTTTTTGGAAAATAAAAAAAAAAAATAAACAGCCAATGAAAACACAATACACCCCTGCCACCCACCACCCACCCACCACCCAGTCTGTATCTATAGTCTGTGTATACACACAAGAGCTACTGCTTTTAACTTGGGAAGCTGACGAAGCAATAAAGACATATAACAATAAAAACAAAAGTACTTGGTACCAAACAAGGAAATATTACAAAAAGAAATCCCCAACTTCCTAAATTGTCCAATTCTCAAATTATTATGTCCTTAAATAATTGCTTCATTCAATTGTACTCCTATGTTCTCTTTTTTTTTTTTCCAAATATTATTATAAATAATATTATAAATTAACATTAAACTATATTATAAACTCAAGTATGGGTAATATATTGCTTATATTTTGTGATAATTATATATATATATATATTTAAGTAATGATCATGAATAATTTACAATCGAATAAAAAAAAAAAAATTGAATATTCGATTTTGAAATTTGACCGTCAATTGTGGACATATTAATACGAGTGTCATCCGAGGACAAAGAAGTAATTTCAATAGACAAAGCGAGTGTCGGTCACGGCAGTAATTCCACAAAACCCCGTTTTTCTGCAAAACTCCGTTGAAGAAGAAGGAAAAAAAGGACAAAATAATTAATAAAAAAAAAGAAACTAGAAAAGCCCATTCCCAGGAGCAACTTTGCATTTAATGCCATTCCACTTTTTCTCTCACACACTTTGGCGGGTAGGCATACAAACAGACGAGTTTCTAGAGAGAGAAACACACACAAAAAAAAAAAAAAAAAAAGTGAAAGCACAAGAGCTAGAGAGAGAGAGTGAGAGAGTAAGAAAGAGAGAGTGTGACCGTACGAACGAAAAACATATTACTTTCAATTCAAGAATCAGACACTGTACAAGGAAAAAAAATAAAAAATAAAATCTCACTGTAGGAAAAAAATCTCTCTCGTGCAAAAACCGAAAAGGGCGAAGACGTGTATAGTAAAAAAACAGCCCTCGATCGTTGATCTCTCCCAATCGTTAAGAAAAACGTGGTGTACAGAAGTGGATTCTTTGGTTACTTAGGTTTTTTGTTTGCCCTATTTTTTTTTTATGGTGGTGCAGTCATAATTGAATGGAGTTGTACGGGGATCAACAGCAGGTGGAATGGGCTCAAGAATCCGGTTTGGAAGGTGGGTTTTCGGGTTTTTATTTCTTCGAGTTTGTGTCGGTATCTATCTGCATTGCCATTTTTTTTTTATATTTCTAGGGTTTTAGTTACAGTGTGGGGTTTCTTAATAATGTGTGTGTGTGGCGTAGAATCGATGCGGAGGTTAAATTTGTGGGAGAGAGAAGTGTACCCGGAGAGGCCGGGTCAACCCGACTGCGCCTACTTTATGCGAACCGGGTCTTGTGGCTACGCCGCCAAGTGCCGCTACAATCACCCCCGTGATCGGACCTCCTCTGTAAGCCCTTCCTTTGCTCAACCACTCACATTTTTTTTTCTTTTCTTTTTTTTTTTCCCTAGTATTTGCATATAATTATTGGTGATGTACATTGATGAGTTTTTGGATTTTTCCTAAATTTTATGGTGAAAAAATTGCCTGTGATCCCACCCCCACTATATGTTGCAGTTACTCTGTCGGTAGTCATATAAAATTTGGGCTGAGCTTTCTTGATAATGTTGATTTTATCGTCGTTGGTTCGGTGGATGTTTAATCGCTCTCAAGACGGGATTTTTGTTTTAACAGTTCTTGGAACTAGTTACGGAGTTAACTTATTCTTCGTTCTGCAAAACGGATTGTCGTCTGAAATTCTCTGTTTTTTTTTTTGCAATTGAGTATCTATCTTGTCTTAATTACGATTATGGGATGGTTTCTTTCACTACTCAATCGTGGTTGACAAAATGTTGTGCAGTTGGTAGGGGGAGAGTATCCCGAGCGAGTAGGGGAGCCTATTTGTCAGGTACACTCGTCTTTCGTAATCATAATCAAGAATTTTGTTTAGTTATGATTAACTCATCAAACGTTACGAGTAATCGGTTTCTCCTATACGTGCAGTACTATTTAAGAACAGGGACCTGTAAATTCGGCGCCTCCTGCAAATTCAACCACCCCAAAAACGCTGGCGGTTCATTAACCAACGCACCCCTAAATATCTACGGATATCCATTACGAACGGTAATATAAATAAATTAAAAAATCGAATCTTTTATGAAGTTTCCTCAATGCAGAGTGTTTATTCAATATTTTGTATGTTGACTTGCAAAAAATTTCACAGGGGGAGAAAGAGTGCTCCTATTATTTGAAAACGGGGCAATGCAAATTCGGTATGACATGTAAATTCAATCACCCTCAACCAGACGGCACATCTGCTGTGTCAGCATCTGCACGTCCATTTTATCCAACGATGCAGTCTCTTTCCTCTCCTTCTCCTGATAAATATGACACATCAGCATCCACCTTTAGGGTTGCTAGGCCTCCGCCATTGTTGCCCAGTTCCTACGTGGCTGGTGCATACGGTCCTATGCTGCTCCCTGGTGTTGTTCCTATTCCAAATTGGAATCCTTACTCGGTACGCACTCGTTAAATTTGAGGACCATTAATTATATTTTGTAATTCGTTCTTTTTTTTTATATATATATTTGTTATTGTTGGTTTACGTGATGCAGGGAGCGGTGAGCCCTGCACCATCACCTGGTCCACAAACATCAGTTGGAGGTGCAGCTTCTGGTTATGGACTGTCGCAGATAGGTCCTTCTGGTGCACCTGCATACGGAGGAACTTATTCTCAGTTGCCCTCGTCTTCACTCAGTGTAACGAAAGAGCACAAACTTCCGGAAAGATCCGGACAGCCTGACTGCAAGTACTACATGAGAACTGGTGACTGTAAATATGGATTGTCTTGTCGGTACAACCATCCACCCGATTGGCTTGTCTTGAATAATTGTGCTCTTAGTCCCTTGGGCTTTCCTCTTCGTCCGGTATTATATTTTATTACTTAATTTAATTTCATTATAAAAAAAAATCATTTTTTTTTTCATATTTGATTTCTAACCGTGAATTATTGATTTTAACACCATAATATGCATTGCCATTTTTTAAATAAAAAATGGATGACTAAATAATATTTATAAACTGAAATTCTTTGATTTTAAACTAGTTAACTAATTAATTAATATATTTCATGTGATTGTTTATGAACAGGGGGTGCAGGCCTGCTCTTTTTATCTGCAGAAAGGTCACTGCAAATTCGGGCGGGCGTGCAAATTTGATCATCCGATAAAATACAGTCCAGATTCATTGTATACCGAAATGCCAGGTACTATTTAGGTTAATTGGATGAATTAATTTTGTAGGTTGATTGGATGAGTTAATTTTCAATCTGTAAATTAATTCGATATGGCTAGGGTGAACATACTGCAGGTCCGAACCTCTAATTCTCGAGGCAAAGATCTCTCGACTTTCAAGTATAAACATTGGCCGAAATAAACATTGTACATATTTCCGTTTTTTTTTTTTCCTTTTAAATTTATTTATTGCTTCTGTGAAACTCATTGAGAATACATTTTTATTTCGATTGTTAGAATGTTAATTGACTGTTTATATGGTGTGTAACTCCATATCGAAAGCTATTAAAGTGCTCGAGTTAAATTTGATTCGTCGTCGTAGTTGTGAATCGAACACTCTAAGCCAGTGGCACAACCATTTTGCTGTGTTATGTTTCTTGAATCTGATTATGTTTCTTGAATTATTTGAAATTAGATTGGGCCGCGTGCCCTTTTGCATATGGGTTAATGGGCCGGTAATTAGGTTAATGGGTCATGGCTAAACGGGCCATTCTATACGGGCCCATAATAAGGGTTAATGGGTCATGTCTAAAATGTTTATTGCAAGAAACGTGGTCCTAAATTAGTAAAACCAAAACTTTTAAAAATAAGGGTAAACTACAGTCAACCCCTTGAGGTAATGTCAGATTTCGAAAAAACCCTTCATGTTTGGATCTTCTATACCATCAACTATGAATCTTCTTACACGTCCACTTTTGCAGTGTCAAATTTAGTGAAATCTTCTAGATTATGTGGAATATTCTCCAGTTTATACCCATTTTTCCCTATTCGAGCCCCGCATTTTGAAACAAGATGTGTCTATTGGTTTGTAAATAGCAGATTGTGGTGTATCGGAAACTAAATTTTTCCACAAAACGAGTACTAATTAGAGAACATTCCACGGAATCTAGAAGATTTTGTTGAATTTGACACCTATAAGGGTGGACGCGTAAGAAGATTTATAGTTAAGGAGTGATTGTAACTACCCAAACATGAGAGATTTTTTCGTAATTTAACATTACCCCAGGGGTTGGCGGTAATTTACCCTAAAAATAAATATCAAGAAATTTCCGAGGTATGATGTAGGAAAATTTGGCTGTGTTAAAGTGGTTAAACAAATGAACTTTTCTCCTGTCATTGTAGCCTCAAATATCAGACATATTTGAAGCATCATTACAACCACACTGTTTAAGTGGCTTTAACCATGATTACTCCAATAGTTATAACACCAATTAGTGTAATAATATCCAGTTCAACACACACCCACACATACCCATACGGGTGTGTGTTTTTTGTATGTGCTTAAATGTATTGTGTATGTGTATGGCTGTTATCATTAGCTCAGCTGCAAAAATTTCATCTTTATACCTTTTTTTTTTTCTAGTCCAAAGAATCATCATAGATGCTTTATTACATTTGAAGCATGCTGATATGAATAAATGGCCCCAGCTCCAACCAAATATTTTATTTCATTTTCTTTTTCAGCTTCCATCTAAAAACACAATTTTGCTGACAATCAAGATTCTTTCAACCATGTTTTCTTGTTCTTTTTGGGGGGCTGAATTTTACAGAAATAAAGTGTATGCAGAGAAATGCTCCAGAATAAAACATCATGTGTAACTGATTTCAAGATTTTGAACAAGGATCTCCTAATTAAGATTATTTATCTGGGATTTTTTATTTTTTAATTTTAATTGAGTGCTAAATAATGTTTTTTTCAGCTGATCCAAGACAAGGGCTTTTATTATTGTTTGCATTTCTTTCAAAGCAATTCAACTTGTTGCATAAACAAATACACAAATCATTGTCATCAGGAACAGATCAAGGACTTTAAGGATAATAAAATTTAGTCTTGTTATTATTATTATTATTATTATTATTAAATTTTGTTTTTAATTTTTTTTGTAGTCTTATACTAAAATCAAATTATAAACAGCAGAAAAAAAAAAAGAATCAAGATTTGAATAGCTAAGGTTGTTTATGGCAAATGCTCCGACATGTTACCTTAATTTAATGTACTTTGTGATTATTAGCATGTAATCCAACTCATGTTTGCCTTCCACTTTAATTAGCTTTACACACAATTTGTGTATTTTTAAAACTAATCTCTTGCCAACCAAGTGGTAGCCTTCATCAGCCATGATTACATCTTATTTTTTTATTTTTTTTAAAGACAGTGAAAAATAAAAAACAAAAGAAAGTCATTGTCTCTCCACCTTTCACCGAAAAGTTGACACCAATGCAAGAAAAGAAAAAAAAAACATTCTTGATTTTAGTTTAATTAGCTAGCACCTCTTTTATTATTAATGAAAGTGGGCTTTGGGAGGGGGGAGAAAATCTTTAATCTTGCATGAGTTCGTTCATGTCTGAAGTGATGAACTTTTTTCTTCCTTTTCTCCCCTAATTCAAGAAACACGCAGTTCACACACATTGAGTGTGTAAAACAGGCATGCCAATTATGCAAGAACTCATAGCTCTAGTGTGTGCTGTGCGTGTTACTTAAAAGGGGTTTCTGTACTAGTATCTTAGTACACTGTTCACAAATTAAAAATAGAAAATCTTCATTTATTTGTTTGCTGGAGGTTTTTTTTTTCAACTTCCAGATAGTTAAAGATTGAAGCTTTATTGCAGAAATGGGTGTTATTACCGTTTCTGAACTGAAGCCCAGCATATCTGGAAAGAGGTCTTTTCGTCCCAGTTCAAGTGCCAGACATATTACTGAATGGTAAAAAAATAAAAATCCCTTTTTTATTTTTTTAAATATTTTTATTTAATTTTTTTATTGGTGGGATTTTAATTGATGCTCAATTGGGGGAAAATCAAAATCCCACTTGAAAAATGTATATATCTCCAATAAGATAAGCAACGAATTTATCGTAAAATTTTCGCAATCAGTAAACAGACAGAAGTTGGATGAACAAGTACTAGATTTTTGAATGGGACAATTGGAACATGTGACATTGTCTTGAAATTTGGCATTTATTTGTGGCCACTAATTCACCTCCTCTATTTCAAGATCTTGGCTGCCTGCTAAATTAAAACAAAACAAACCACAGTCTTCCGATTTTGATAGATCTCGAGTTAGTTCGACTTATCTATCCTTTCGAAGGAGACAAGCATTAATTATATTATTAAACTTTCGTGTTATGCTAGTTGTCTTTGCTTGTACAATTTTCGATTCATCCGAACGTCGCATTCGAAAATGCCCTGCCTAATAATTGAACCAGTTTGTAGATCGAGTTCGAGTTAATGATATATCTTCTTATGTCTTATATTTATTACCGGCCCACACGTATTATAGGCTAACGAATCTCAAAGCCAAGATGAATGCGTAGGAAGAATATTCCGATTTTTCTTTTTTAACGAATTTGTTGGTTATGGATTTGATTGCACCGTTTTGATCGCATTGTGTTGTTTTTTTCTTTTTTCAGGCCAATATCTGATGTTTCTAGTGATCTAACCATTGAAGTTGGATCAGCAAGTTTTGCTCTTCACAAAGTAAGCGCGTTTTTTCTTTTAATTACGTATTAATTTTTTGCATTCGATTACATAATATAAATCTCGTTTTTCTTATGAAGTTCCCTCTCGTTTCCCGAAGTGGGAGGATAAGAAAACTACTAATGGAATCAAAAGATTCCAAAATATCTCGGCTAAATCTCTCCGGCGTCCCCGGTGGACCCCACACCTTCGAGCAGGCGGCAAAGTTCTGCTACGGGGTCAATATCGACATTTCGCTCTCCAACATCGCAACTCTCCGATGCGCAGCCCATTTTCTTGAAATGAATGAGGAATATTCCGAGAAGAATCTAGAATCACGAACCGAGGCCTACCTCAAAGATACCATCCTACCGAGCATACCTAACTCCATAACCGTGCTTCACCACTGCCAAAATCTTATCCCGATTTCCGAAGATATCAATCTTGTGAACCGGATTATAAACGGGATTGCAAATAACGCATGCAAAGAGCAGTTAACTTCCGGATTGTCCAAACTCGAACACAACTTCCCTCCAAAGCCCGTCGAAACCGAAATAAATTCCGATTGGTGGGGGAAATCACTTGCATTGTTAAACCTCGATTTCTTCCAACGGGTTCTGTCTGCCGTTAAGACAAAAGGGTTGAGACAGGATATCATAAGTAGAATTCTGATAAATTATGCCCAAAATGCCCTTGTGCCGGTGAAAGGAAGTACTATATCGGATCTTGATATGCAGAAGAAGCAAAGGGTAACGGTGGAAACAATTGTGAGTTTATTACCGACACAATCGAGGAAAAGCAGTGTTCCGATTGCGTTTCTTTCGAGCTTGTTGAAATCTACGATAGCTGCAGGGGGGTCCACTTCTTGCAGATGCGATCTCGAGCGTCGGATCGGGCTGCAGTTGGATCAGGCGATTCTTGAAGATATTTTAATCCCGGTGAATCCACATGGAAACAATCACAGCCCTTTATACGATACGGATTCTGTGGTCAGGATCTTCTCGATGTTTTTGAATCTTGATGAGGATGATGTTGATGATGACGAAGAAGATAATCGACGGATGAGAAACGATGAAGGGGAGATGGTTTACGATTTCGACAGCCCTGGTTCTCCCAAACAAAGCTCAATCATTAAAGTCTCCAAACTTTTGGACAATTATCTCGCTGAGGTGGCACTTGATTCAAACTTGTCTCCGTCGAAATTTACGGCACTATCGGAGTTATTGCCGGACCATGCTCGTGTGGTGCAAGATGGATTGTACCGAGCTGTGGACATCTTTCTCAAGGTAAACCAAAACAAAAAAAATCGGAAATTCGTAATGAAGACTATTGTTCCAAAATCGGCATGTTTCGGATCGAAATCGACGGAATTCAAAATTTTCACTAATCACAATTTGATCATTTTTTTCTCGCAGGTTCATCCAAACATGAAAGATTCCGAAAGATACCGCCTCTGCAAAACAATCGACTGCCAAAAACTCACACAAGAAGCATGCAGCCATGCAGCGCAAAACGAGAGACTGCCAGTACAAATGGCGGTACAAGTCCTCTACTTCGAACAAATCAGGTTAAGGAACGCGATGAACGGAGTAGGAGGGCACAACCAGTTCTTCTTCGGGTCGATCAACGGCCCAAACCGAGCGGGGAGCGGTGCAGGGAGCGGGTGCATTTCGCCGAGAGATAACTACGCATCGGTCAGAAGGGAGAATCGAGAGCTGAAGCTGGAGGTTGCAAGAATGAGAATGAGATTAACGGATCTTGAAAAGGATCACGTTACGATGAAACAGGATCTAGTGAGATCACACCCTGCGAATAGGCTGTTCAAATCGTTTACGAAGAAGTTGAGTAAGTTGAATTTGTTGTTTCGGTTTAAGGATGGTGGGAGTAAGGCTAATTCTGATAGCAAGTTGCTTTTCCAGAAGAGGAGGAGGCATTCGGTTTCTTGAACTTGTGTTTTTTTTTTTTTTTTTTTTTTATTTGCATGTAAATAGAGATGGAAAAAATAGAAAAAAGGGTGTATAGGATTGTTATGGATTTTTTTTTAATTATATTGTTGGGGCTTTCCTATGTTGTGTTTTATTGTAATGTTGGTGTTTTCCTATGTTGTTTTGTGTTCAAGGAAATAGTTTGTGCTCTCTATTCAATATCTTTTGTGTAAGGTTTGCCAAATAGATGGATTGTGTGTTTGCTATACTAATGAATAGTGTGTGATGTTGAGAGGGTGGTTGTAATTACTCAAAGATGATGGGGTTTAGACGAGATGTTCCAATTGGGCTGTCATAAAATAAAAATAAATATTAGGGTAAATTACACACACCCCCCTGAGGTAAGCTTAAATAACTGTAAGGTCCCTGTGGTATCGATAATTACACTCAGCCCCCTGAAACGTAGTCAGAAACTCTAATGGGATAATGAATTGGATACGTTATTCCGATAGGGTTCTAACAGACTATTGGTTTCAGAAAGTGGTGGAG